CCCACCGCTCGCGCAGCCCCGCGACGCCGCGGTCGCGCGTCGGCCGCAGCAGCGTGGCGACGCTGCCGCCCGCGCAGTGCTCGATGACGAGCCACACGGCGGGCCCGACGAGAAGCGCGTCCAGCACGTGGTTGACGTTGCGCGCGCCGCGGAGGGCGTGCAGGGTGCGCAGCTCTCCGCGCAGGTCGGCGAGCGTGTCGGCGAGGCCGGGCGCAGCGACGTCGCCGCGCTCAATGTCGATGACCTTGACGGCGACGACGGTGCCGGGGGCGGGGGTGGTTGAGTCCGAGGAGGGGGGGAGACCACGGCCTTGTAGACGCGCCCGAATGAGCCCTTGCCGATGAGCTCGGTCAGGCGGTACGGAGGAGGCGGCTGCGAGGAGGCGCGGCAGAGGGTGACGGCGGCGGCGTGCGCGCGGCGGGCATCGTCGAGGGCGCGCTGCTTGGTTGACAACACTGGGGTGGCCATGAGGGCTGGTTTGGGCTACAATGGCATACGCTCCCCTGCGTGTGTAGATGAGTATCAATGCGGAGTTATGGCGGTGAGCATGTCCCATGAGTATTTGGAAGGCGTTGAGGGAGGTGGAGAGGGGATGTGAAGTGGGTGAGGCGGCCCCTTTTGTGCGACATGGCATGCATAAAGTGATGCTATGGCCGCTCGCCGGTGATGGGGACAAGCAAACGCTAACTCCGAAATGTTTACATGCACGTCATCAATTTATCAAGCCTTAATTATGTATATAATTGTTTTTCTCATGTTATAAGTGACGGCTCGTAAAACCAGGTACATGATCATGCCCAATCAAAAGCGCATCCAGCGTACAACTTAGCCCGTAGAAAAGAAACGCGCAAATGAACCCACCGTTTTTTCTAGAATTTAAGCAGAGATCTTCTCCTTGAGGGTCTTCTTGAGAGTCTCAGCGTCGGCAGCAAACTTGCTGATGCCCTCACGGAGCTTCTCGACGGCCATCTGCTCCTCGTTGAACGCGAAGCGGAAGGTAGCCTCGTCGTTGATATAGGTCTTGCGCTCAATGTTCTGAGAGGCGGCGCCGGCGGCATCGAGCTTCTTAGGAACGGCATCGGAGCTGTTGAGAAGCTCCTCAAGCAGACCAGGCTAGCTCATGTTAGCAGAATCAGTGTTGAAATCAGGAAGAGACGTACGGAGATGGTCAGGTAGTCACAGCCAGCGAGCTCGGTGATCTCGCCAGTGTTGCGGAAGGAGGCGCCCATGACAATGGTCTTGTAGCCAAACTTCTTGTAGTAGTCAAAGATGGCCTTGACTGAGGCCACACCAGGGTCGTTCTCCTTGGTGTACTCCTGCTTGGTGGCAGCCTTGTACCAGTCAAGAATGCGGCCAACAAAGGGGGAGATGAGGAAGGCATCAGCCTCGGCGGCGGCGATGGCCTGGGGAAGCGAGAACATGAGAGTCAGGTTGCAGTTGATCTGGTGGTCGCGCTGGAGGATCTCGGCGGCCTTGATACCCTCCCAGGTGGAGGCAATCTTGATCAGGATGCGGTCCTTGCTGATACCTTGCTGCTTGTAGAGCTGTTCTGAAGGTCAGCTTGTTATAGGTAGAATCGGCCGAAATTGTACGTACGTCGATGATCTGGAGAGCCTTGTCGACGGAGCCCTTGGTGTCGAAAGAAAGCTTGGCATCCACCTCAGTAGATACACGTCCGGGAATAATTTCGAGAATCTTGCGGCCAAACTCAACTAGGAGACGATCAAGGGCGTTGTCGACCTGGGCGTCGACATCGCCGCCCTTCTGCTTGGCGTAGGCGATGGCATCGTCAATCAGCTTAGCATACTCAGCCTTCTTAGCAGCAGCGAGGATGAGCGAAGGGTTGGTGGTGGCATCCTGGGGCTTGTACTTGTCAATGGCTGCGAGGTGATTAGTGTCTGTTTTGCTGAGGGCGGCGTTTGAGGCGGGAGCTGGGGCGTCGAGAACTCGGCAGTAAAATGTCTCAATCGGCCGCGGCGAGGACGGAGAATCGGCTGGGGTATACTAACTAGCAAAGTCGCCTAGAAAAGAGAGAATATGGTCAATATGAAACAAATTGTAGCTGCCGGAAGCTGCGGGAATTTACCAGAGTCACAGACGACAACCTAAACAATGGGTCAGAACGATGGCGGGGTAGATGCGTCAATGGGTAGAGTACTTACAGTGCCGCTGGCCTTGAGCTGCTCGAGAGAGTTGGACATTTTGAGGGATGTGGATTTGGGTATTGAGAAGAGAGAATGGGAGGAGTCGTCAGAAAAGTAGTTATGAAGGGAAGAGAAATGAGGCAAAATGTATGGAGACGGAGAAGTATAAAGCGATGAAAAGGTTGGCGGGGCCTTGATGACGGAGTTGCCTATGACGAAAGATAAGGATATGTAAGGGATATGTAAGAAGGATAGGTTGCCTTGGGTTTTCAGCCTTACGGCCTCAGGCCACTGTAGGGTGAGCGGCGCTATGTACGCGCCCCACCGCTTTATTAAGCGTCTTGTGATAGTCCATTTTACTCCCTCTTCTCCTTACAAGATTCAATAACAATCCTTTCGTGGCGTCTACTCGTAGTTACCTAAACCCTCTACACAAGAGGGATAAGGACATAAGAAAACAAGCAAAAAAAAAAAATAGGACAAATATTACTGTAGTATCAAGCCATTAGTTGAAATTATAGAATCGATTTGCTGTAGAATGGCGCTTGTAAATGCTAAATGTATACAACATCAAATCATAACTAATAATGCATGGTAGCCCCCAATATCATGGTGCCGCCTATAAACATCCAAAGAATTACAAATTGGTATCGTATCGTGTAAATGCTGGTAAAGTAGGCTTTCTGAATGGCATAACAAAAGAACTCAGCATCACTTGTGCTTCTTGCAAGATACCTGGCGGATGTTGCGCTTCACGTTGCCCTTTTTGCTGACGTGAATCACCAGGGCGGTGAGGTGGCCGCCCTTGACGCAGCCTGAGTCCAGGCCAAAGGTGTATTTGCCGATTTGGAGGCCGCGCTTCGCATCGTGCCCGTAGACGACGGTGCGGCGCTCGGACTTGCGCAGCAGAGGCTGGTGGCGGTCCCAGAGCTGGGCCCATTCGTGGCCGTCGTGGGTGTCGACGGGGATGAGGTCCTTGACCGTGAGGCTGGCGTGGACGTCAGCTTCGTCGCCATAGTCACCGTCCACGTCTTCGGTGTCGTTGTCCACCTCATCAGCCTCGTCCATGTCTACGCCATCTTCGCCGATGACAAGCTCGTCGTGCAAGTCACCGTCTTGTTTGGTCAGGTGCCAGGGCGGCTCAATCAGGGAGCGCATGTACATGACGGCCCAGGGCTCCTGGCGCCACGGGCGGATGCCCGGCACCAGGCCGGCGTGGACGATGTACATGCCCAGCTCCTCGGCGGCGAGGATGAGCGGCCGGTCCGCCAGCCACGCGACCTGCTCCGCGCTGAGCTGTCGAGCCGTCTTGCGGTCGCGCTTCTTGGTGCGGCGCTTCTGCAGGCCTGGGAAGGGCACGCTGTCGGCGGCATCGTCACGCTCCTCGTCCGAGGCGAGCGCGAGCAGCACGCGGTCCTCATGGTTGCCGCGGACGGCCGAGGCGCCGAGCTCCATCAGGCGGGCGACGACGCGGTCAGAGTGTGGGCCCTTGTTGACCATGTCGCCGGCGGCGACGACGTGGTCGGTGGCGGCGTCGTACCCGACGTGCGCGAGCAGCTGGTCCAGCGCGTCGTCCTTGCCGTGGATGTCGCCGACGATGATGAGGCGCCGGCCGTTGTCGGCCGTGGGGATGACGGCCCGCGGCAGACGCGCCATCATGGTTATGTCGTCAAACTTGCGGTGGCGGCGATGGCCCTGCGCGTCGACGTCATCGGCAGCACCCTCCTCGGTTGGCCCGTCAGGCCGCTGCGGCTGAGCGGTGGTGGTGGTTGTCGTCGTCAGCGCCCAGTCGCGGAAAGAGATCATGGGGACGGTGAAAAGGTGCGCGAGGCCGATGAGGCACGCAGCAGAGAGGATAGCGACGAGCATCAGGGTGAAGACTCGTTGATGTCGCCGCGAGGGCTGCTTTGCTTCCCCAAGACGCGGCATAGTGGATGCGGTCTGCGTGCCTGCCGCTAGGTTGCCGATCCCCGGGTTAGGTTTGGTTCAAACAATAGCAGTAGAGTTTGTTGGCGGGCAATCAAGGCGACAGGAGAGCCAGGTGGAAGGAATCACAGGATATCGGCAAGACAGAATAAAAAAAAGTCGAAGCTAGGCGAGGGGCAGCCCGCTGACTCTTATGCGTTTGCAAGGGGGAATACCCCGAGACATTGTCGGACGAGGGCGGGAGAAAAATCAAGGGTCCACGCCAAGGCCAGCGCCGAGATGGTTTCGCACCTTGAGGGCCTCTGGGTTTTAGCTTTTGGGGGCCTTGGGGGCCGCCGGCTCGGGTTTTAGCGGCTGTTGGGCGGGCTTTGGGTCACGACAGAGGCCGCCAGTGGGTTGTTGGTGATCCATTAGAGGGCTGTCAATTGTCCGTTGTCCTGCAGTGGGGTGTTTAGTGGTGACTTCGGTGCTTGACAGGGCTTAGCGTTAGTGCTAGAAATGTATCAGAGACCCTTCCTACCTGTGAAACCCGTTGGGGGCGGTATTCCTTCAAAATGCAAGGAATGATATGAACGCGTTCGGGGTCACATGGGAAATTTGTTGGGAAATTTGTAAGAATTTCTCGCGACCGAACTTTGCCAAATACTCCTCGTCGGACATGCATTTTCTTCACCCTTTCCTCCAAGCGGAATGTGTTTTAGGTAGTCAACGAGAGCGGGATAGACTCGTCTTGGTTTGCCTGCAGTGTCGTGGTTAGCGCGGCTACCAGCCCGGAATTTCCAGGTTGGCTGGCACACAAATTCATTCCATCCCATGTATACATTGTGACATTGGCTCCTTGAGAATCGACGGGGTCGTTGTCCAAGAGAAAATAGCATTTGACATTTTCCGCGTCGTATAGACCAAGGCTTGTGACAAAGTCGTCGTCGCTCAAGTCCCGATTCCATAGTTACATGCTGGCAGATGAGGTTCGCCAGCGTGTCCCGTCTCTCTACTGACTTGCCTGGGATCAAGTGCGACTGGCACTTGACCAAAATTCGCTTCGCCATGGCTGTGCGGTGCCGTTCAGTTGATACTGGTAGGCGCTGTATTGAGCGAGCAATGTTGTCATTTTGCGTGCACACGGCAAACCGCGCAAATACATCCGAGCGGTAGGCCTCCGGCACACAGTCGTGTTGTTGTGATGTGTCGTGTATGCAGCCCGCCGGAAGAGGTACGTGGCGTTTTCTTACATGGCCTGACATGCCCATCTCATTCCTATTCTAGTCATAACTATTCGGAGAATACATAGTTTTGGAACATGTTTTAAATGCCTGCATGCATAATTCTTACAGAAGCAAACATATCGCTGAATGCATAAAAGCTCAGACCGCAGTAAATTTGGAAACAGCCTCCTAAACAACAAGTTGTCCAGTAGAAAGCCTGCTTCTTGCAACGATCCCTTTTACCATATTTGAAAACTGCGCTATTTCGAGTAGCCTCTGAGTCTTTGGTAGACAACTTTGGTGTCGTCATGATCTAGCCATGACGTCGCAACTCTCCCCACTCGATCTTAGGACTTGGGGATGCTTCGGCATCGACTTGCCAGTTACTAACCTTTGCGAGGTTAGGCCTTTCCATGAACAAATACATATCTGTACGAGGAGGGCAGCTGTAGTCTATTTAATTTTGACAGAATCTAAACATTTCATTGCAGTTTGAACCGTTGACAGTTCGCTCCCGCAACGAAGCCACAGGACCAACTGACAGTCTAGTCAACGAACCAACATGACTGCCCACAAAAAGCCTTGGTTGGTGCATGTTCGGAACCATCCTGGTTCGTCCAAACAAGACATCGCCAATGAACCCGATTGGGGCCGCGGGCACCAACACCGCGTGGGTTTCCGTAACAAGAGACATCGAGTTCCAGGATTCGCCCATGATGGAAATTATTCTACCCATGTCAGAAGGGCACGCGAGCTGAGAAAGGAGCTCATCGATGAGGAGACTGCGGGCCGGTTAGTCAACTTTCGTGACCTAGTCCAACACCAACCGGCAAGTCGTAATTCGACGCAGAGCAAGACAACCGCTAATTAATACACGCAAAGGACTTGCACCTGCGGCATCCCGAGAACCGATCGTTGGGTTGGCGTTATGTCATTGACGCAACCGAAGACTGGGTCAAGAATAAGCAAAGATGGCCTGCAAATATCCAGCGCGAGAAAAAAAAGGAACAGGAGAGAGTTGAAAAGGAATCGAAGCAGGAGCACGAGTGGCGACGGGACTCAGACAAGGACAAGCATCACGATGCCTATGCCACCGGGGATGGACACCAAGAAGATGGCGACGACAAGAACAGCAACGGGCAAGTCAGCGGCGACTCTGAAATGGAGACCGAGGCAGAACGGCTAGAGAGATTGTATTCGCCGCAAGAGCTTGCACTTTTGCGTGCGTTGGAGCATGAGAAGAACTACATGTCGAGTCTGAAAGAAAACGACGGCAAAGGTAAATCACCGCAGCATCGCAATCGAACCCAGATCTCCATAGATGAACAGGATCAGTTCAGCCCGGATAACTGGATTCCCCGATCCTCACATCTCATGCGCATCACGGGAAAGCATCCTCTCAATGGTGAGCCGAAGTTGGATGACCTGTACGAGGGCGGGCTCATTACACCAAATGAGCTTCATTACATCCGCAACCACGGCGCAGTGCCGCGGCTACTCTGGGAATTCCACAAGCTGGACATCGAGTACAATGGAAAAAAGCACACCTTGACCATGCCGCAACTAACAACATTCGAGACCACCAACATCCCCGTCGCGCTTGCATGCGACGGCAACCGTCGCAAAGAGCTTAACATGATTAAACGAAGCAAGGGGTTCAACTGGGGGCCTGGCGCAATCAGCTGTGCGTATTGGAAGGGGCCGCTGGTGAGAGATGTGCTGCTTGATGCCCATGTGCCTGAGGTCCTGCCGGGTATGGGAAGAAAACGATACTGGGTCAATTTTGAGGGAGCCGACGACCTCAGTGATGGCGCCTACTCGACGTGTCTACCGTTTGACTACGTCATGAATCCGCAAAACGATGTGCTCCTGGCTCACAAGATGAATGACTTGCCGCTGCCTCCGGATCACGGATATCCCGTGCGCGTAATTGTGCCGGGATACGTCGGCGGCAGGAATGTCAAGTGGCTGCGGCGGATATGGATCAGCGAAGAGGAGAATAACTCGCACTACCACATCTGGGACAATCGAGTCCTGCCCTCTTTTGTCACAGAGATGGACGGCCCGTTCGCCGAGACGCTGTTCCGCCACCCCGACACAGCCTGCAACGAGCAGAACCTCAACTCCATCATTGTAAAGCCCGCTCACGGCGAGACCATATCGCTGGCTAAAATATCAAAGGGTCAAAACTACCGCCTGGAGGGGATTGCCTATGACGGTGGCGGCCACGAGGTACAGCGAGTAGAGGTGTCGCTCGACGACGGCAAGACCTGGCTCTACTGCATCCGCACGTTCCCGGACTCGCCGATCCGCCACGGAAACAAGTACTGGGCCTGGATTCACTGGCACGTCGACGTCAAGATGCAGCACCTCCTGCGGGCGAGCAGCATCACCGTGCGGTGCTTCAACGTGTTCAAGAACACGCAGCCGCGAGACCCCGTCTGGAACATTATGGGCATGATGAACAACGGGTGGTACGTCGTGAAGCCGGAGCTTGCGCAGGCCGAGCACTCGGGCGAGGCGCAGCTCTTGTTTCGCCATCCCACGGAGCCGGGCCAGGGGACGGGTGGGTGGATGAAGCCGAGCGTGGAGAACCAGATCGCCGAGGCGAAGCAGGAGGCGGGCGCGCCGCAGAAGGAATTCACGAGAGAGGAGATTGAGAAGCACAGCACGCAGGACGATTGCTGGATCGTGGTGGACGGGAAGGTTTATGACGCGACGAGTGTGCTGGATTGGCACCCGGGAGGAGCGGCGGCGATCATGTCGCATGCGGGAGCTGTGCATCAAGAGACGACGGATGAGTTCAGTTCTATCCATGACGACTACGCACATGAGAAATTAAAGGGTAAGTACTTTTGACCGAACACTTACTTGTGGCTTGTCATCTGTGGCTGGCTGGGGCTAACAACTCGACAGAGTGCGCTTTGGGTGTCGTCACGGAAAAGGCCGCCAATTACATCAAGAAGAATGCCGAGTCGGCGGCCAAGCAGGATGCGACGTCCCAGGACGAGGACAAGGTAGCGCTGCAGAACCATCGATGGGTTCCCGTGACCCTGGCCGCGCGCAAAGACATCTCTGAGGACTCGAGGACGTACACGTTCCAGCTGCCCAAGGGCCAGCCGAACTTGGGGCTGGGCACCTGCCAGCACATCCTCCTGGGCTTCCACCTCATGGACCGCATGCTCATCCGCAGCTACACGCCGACGCGCCCGCTGTGCCCGCCCCACGACGGCGGAAAACAACACACCAACGCGGCCGGCCGGCCGCTCGAAGACGGCAGCGGCACGTTCGACCTGACCGTCAAGACGTACTTCCCCGACGGCAGTCAGCCCGGCGGCGCCATGTCCACCATCCTGGACTGCGTGCCGCTCGGCGAGCAGGTCGAGGTGCGCGGGCCGACGGGCGAGATCGTCTACCACTCCGACGGCGTCTTCGAGATCGAGAGCCGGCGGCGCCGGTTCCGCCGGGTGTCGCTCGTGCTGGGCGGCTCCGGCGTGACGCCGGGGTACGCGCTGCTGGCGCGCATCGCGATGAGTGGTGGTGACCGGACGGAGGTGCGCGTGCTGGACGCGAACAAGACGGAGAGGGACATTTTGCTGCGCGAGGAGATGGCGGAGTTTGCGAGGGGGTCGGGGGGCCGGATCAGGGTGACGCACGTGCTGAGCCACCCGGAGGAGGACGGCGGCTGGGATGGGTTGACGGGGTATGTGGATGAGGAGAAGATCCGGGGGGCGCTGTTTCCGCCGGGAGAGGACTCGGTGGCTTTGCTGTGCGGACCGCCGGCGATGATTCAGAAAGCAGCTCTGCCTGCGTTGAAATGTGAGTGCAATGGTCAAGTCTACCCATGGTTGGTTGGTTGTTGGATGGATTGCTAACAGTGACTACTAGCATGGGGGTATGTCGAGGATGAAAACCTGTTTGGATTTTGAATACGGTGGTGTACAACCAACTATTTTGAGTTACTTTATTTTCTTTTTTTCTACTCTCTTTCCTTACTTTTGGTGTCTTTCCCGTTTCTTGTCGCGTTGCAGAGCAAAAAGTTCGTGAGCCATGAGCCCACCACAAAAAGTAATGCCCAGTATGAGAATCGAACTCATGATCTTCTCATTTCACCGTATCGAATACTAGTGAGACGCTATACCACTTAGCCAACCGGGCTGGCTTCCTGTAACTGGTCTGCTTCGGCGCCGTTATTCGGTATTTGTGTGTTCCTGTTATGAATTCTGTGTAGCTTGACACGCGGCAAGATGAAATCACGGTCGGACAAAGGACGAAGCGAGCGCGCAAAGCAAACATTGGATGAAATATTGGTAGGACGAGCTTACGAAACAATTAGCTCAATATTGGGATACACAGTAGGGGCAGCTCGTGTCACGACGAGAGAGGAGGTTGTATATATTCGGCTCAGAGGGCTGGTTTGTGAGGCTGGATTTCTGATTCTGCATCACCGGACGACGACGACGACCAGCCCTGGCAACAAGAGGAATATATTTGACCAAAGATAAATGTGCAGACCAACTGGTATGTATCTTATTGTGCATCTTGATTTTTAGTCTTATTTTTTTTTTTCATAACCTTCATCGATAACCAAGGGAACTACCACCACGGAACTACCACCACGGTATGACCCCTAATAAACCTAGTCCAGCCGCGCGCTCCACCGGTTTGTCACTGGACAATAGACAAGTCGAGGCTCTCGCTTGTCGTGGCCTCTGCACAACTTCCTTCTCTCTCCATCTCCTCCGACCTTGCTCCATCTTGCTTGATTGCTTGATTGCTTGCCAACACCCTCCGCTCTTTTCCGCTGCTCTTTTCCGCTGCTCTCTTCCGCCGCAGAATATCGAGGCATTACTGAGACAAATTCATCGTGCAGCAATTCCACTTGCCCTCTGTCGCAGCGTCAATCCGCGAGAGCCTCAGCCTCGAGCAGCCGTCCGCAAACCGCGCCATGGCTGCTCTCATCGATCCCACCGTAGCGGGCAATTACCCCGTCATCCTAGGCGACGGCCTGACGGGGGAAGACTCCAACGAAATCTTTACAGGGGTCCGCTGTACGTGTGCCTCTACTATCCCACGCGTCACGACACCATGGGCCCTTCTAACCCGGCCTTAACAGACAACCACAAGCCGGCCCTCTCCTCATCAGACGGACCCGACCGCGCCCGCGTAAAACCTTCGGTCCCCGGCAAGACGTCGTCCTACGATCTCACATACACCGACGACGACGACGACAGCTACGCCTTCTCGGGGCCCCGCAGCACGGACAATGATCAGTACGTGCTGTACTTTGATCCCGCCCGGCAAGCGTTCATCCTCGACAAGGTCGACTCGACATTCAACATGAACGTCACTCGCATGCCGGGCAGTGACGACTCCGAGGAACTAAGTCGCCGCTTCCCACACCTCGACGTCGACGACCCCGCCCACCCCAAGAGCAAGCCGACGTCGGCACCCAAGCCTGCGCCCGCCACCGCCAGGCGCAAGGTTGAAAAGAAGCCTCCGAAGAACCTGGCGCTGCCCGCGGCCACGGCACCCGCGCCCGAGCCGGCCCCGGCCGCCACCTCTAAACCAAAGTCGAAGAGGCCGGCCGATGATGAAGACGAGGACGAAGATGACGATGATGACGGCGGCCTCATGATTGAGTACCCCGAGGGCCCGCCTGCCGCCGCCGCCAAGGCCGCCAGGCACAACGACTTCTCGCCCGCCTTCCCGACGCAGCGCCGCTTCGACGACTACATGGACGAGCGCGAGTCCGAGGCCGACGCGGACTCCGAGGGCGACGACATCGACATGGAGGCCGATTTCAAGCTGCCGAGCCCGGTCAACACGCAGCAGCAGCAAAATGGGCACCGGGAGGACCAGAACGGCGCGGCCAGCGAAGACGAAGACGATGAGGACGGCGGCACCGTGGACCTCGAGGCGGACCTGGAGAACGCCTTTGAGGACCTGGCGAACAGCCAGGAGGAAGGCGGCCGCGACGACGAGAGCGAGATTAGCGAGGAAGACTAAGAGAAGTCCTTGTTGATCTGGTTCTCGCGGCCTTCGAGTCCTGTCGTCCCGCTGCTGCTGGTGTACAGGCCATGAAGAAGTCGCCTGCGGAAAACAGGAGGATGTGATGGGCGTTTTCACGTTTAACAGGTGATTTTGGATCTTTTTGGGGGCGTTTGGGATTGGGGAAAAGCGAATGGGCAAGTCTACACTGACTCTAGAATCTATCTTCTATCTTGAATGCACGACAATGAATATATCACATATCTGACATTTCACCTCGGAACTCGCCTTCTTTTGCCATCCCGTGCTTTTCTTTCTTGTCAGGGTGGGTATTCACGACCTCACAACCGAACACATCCACGAACCCCCGCTGGACACAGCGCACACGCGCTCCCCGCTGCTGCGCCAGATGCCGATGCCCAGCCACCGCCCGTTGACGACGTGGTACGTGCCGACCAGCGGGTACCGCACGACCTCGCCGTCGCGCCCGAGCACCAGCTCGTACCTCAGCTGCCTCACGCGTCTCTGCAGCACCACGCACGCACGACCGTCCTCGTCGTCGTCACCCGGCGGCCGCGGCCGTCCCCGAAGCTTGGCGAGCGCCTCCCGCCACGCGGCCTCGTCCATGTCCTCGCCGAAGCGGATGCCGACGCCCTTGCCCCCGCGCACCGGCTTCAGCACGTACCCCGCCCGGTCTTCAAGAAGCCGGGCGTCGTCCAGCTCCGGGGAGCCCGGGAGGAAGGTGTGCGCCACGCCGCGCTCCAGCAGCGCGGCCTGCGCCGCGGTCAGCGCGCCGCGGGCGACCAGCGCGCCCAGCTCCTGCCGCACCACGCCCAGCATGCGCTTGTCGTGCACGAGCAGCGCGGTGCGCGCGTCGTTGACGCCCCGCAGGGCGAGGTGCCGCCGGATCGCGGGCGGGAGGGCGCGCAGCTCGCGCTGGCGCAGCTCCACGCCCACCTGGTGCATCTCCTCGACCGCCTCGCCGGCGGCCGTCCGCAACGAGGGGGAGGTGGCGGATAGGCAGCAGAGGGTTTCCCGGCCGTGGGCGTCGAGGGCGAGGCGTAGGGAGGACGGGTGGACGAGGCGCGGGGCGACGCCGAGGCGCGCGCGGGCGGCTTCGATGAACATGTGGATGTCGATGCCGGGCTCGTCGCCCTTGAGTAGGTGGATCGGGCGGTCGTGCCGGAAGAGCCCGAGCAGGCCTTCAAAGAGCTGCGTCAAGTTTTGGTCGAGTTAGGAGAACGGCTAATGGCACTGACACACACCGGTTTCGGGTTCTTCCCTTTTACGTACCTCCTCCCCGTCGGTCGCGGCGACCAGGCCGGAACCCGCCGTGGCGCCGACCATGTCCGTCAGCGCGGCGCTACCGTGCGCGACGTGCATGAAGCCGTTGAAGCAGAAGCGCGCGTTGATCTCGGAGATGCGAAAGTTCTCGGCGAGGCTGCCGTCCGCGCGCACCTCCCCCTCGACGAGGAAGTCGGGCCGCCAGGAGCCCTGACAGGAGGAGAACGGCCCGAGACGACCGGCGTCCTCCTGCTCATCCAGCCACTTTTTTTTTTTTTCATCAGTACACCTGCTACATCTTCTTCAACCTCTTCGGACCGGGGCATGTCTGTGCTTTTCACTTTACCTGGAGAAGCTCCTCCTCGTCCGCGGGCAGCGGCATGCGCTCCGGAAACCCGGCGTCCCGGTCGCGCCACCACCGCGGCACGATGTCGGCGATGGCGGCGGCGAGCGCGTCGTGCAGCACGTTCAGGTGCCGGATGTGCGCGCCGGTGAGGAGCACGGGACGCGGGCAGGACGCGCGGTACGAGGCGTGCGGCCAGGCGCGGGCGGGACACCGGGCGAGCAGCATCGCCTCGTGCGCGGCGTGCTCCTCCCGTCCTGCGGCGATAGGGCAGGGGGAGGATGCAAGACCGAGGTGGACCTGTCTCATCCTCTCTGCAGCTGGTGTGGCCATTGCGACGTGACTATGACGGCGGAGGACGGGCGGCTATGCAGTCTGCCGTATATGGCTACATGGCGTTTCTAGACGTGCAGCTCTGGGGCCTCACTAGATATATTCCCGAGACTTGCATGTTGAAAAGCAAATACGGGGCAGGGATGATGGCATGAAAACCTCGTGGAGTGATCTCGGCGTGACGGCTAGATGCGGCGGATGGGTTGGTTGTGTCGAGATTTTCATCCTGCAGCCGGCAAGGGACCGAGCTGCGATTCATGCCCGACTCTTAGCAGACATCTCTTCTATGATCCTCTTACCGTCGTTTGAACCCACAGCGGGTCGTCGCATATTCCTAATTATACGCCTAGCTGTCCACCGTCTGTCAGCCTAGGACATGCGAATATGGGACGAGCAAGGACACGAGGGGCCACTTTAGGGGACCTGCATGAGATTGGTCAAAGTAAGATGGACTCGGGTAAAGAATCAAGGATAGGTAGGCATGTGCATCCTGTGGTACGACGAGTAGATGCTACGTTTACGGGAGAGCCGCCGCGCTCTATAAAGACCACCGAGAAACCTGGCGATACAGCTGCTTATCAGATGCGCTCTCCTTCAAAGTTTACCCAACATGGAGTCACTTGCCACAACCTTGCTCCGTCCCGGCCGCATAATTTGTCGGAGCCACATCACGCCGCATCTGCGGCTTCCCGTCCTGCGACCTCCGGCCCCCCGACCATTGCATTCCGCCACCGGGCCTTTGCCTTCCCTAACGCTGCCGACCCTGCTCGCGCCGCACCTCTCCTGCAGCCAACAGGCCGAGCACGTCGCGCAGGTGGCCGCGCACCTCGAGGCCGACGGGATCCTCAAGATCACGCTGCGCTTCCCCGACGCGGCCAGCGCCTACCTGGCCGCCCTCGTCCGGAGCCTGCACGCGCACCACGGGCACCGGCTGCCCGTCGCGCACTCGGCCACCCGCGGCTGGTTCTGGGATGTGCAGCCGGACCCGCAGACGGTCGGCGGCGGCGGCGGCGGTCTCGCGCGCTCCGAGACCATGGAGGCGTTCCCGTGGCACACCGACTGCAGCTACGAGCACCCGCCGCCGCGCTTCTTCGCGCTGCACGTGCTGCGCGCCGACCGTCGCGGCGGCGGCGCGCTGTCCGTCATGAGCGCCGCGCGGCTGCTGCGCGGCCTGGACGACGCGACGCGGGGGGCGCTCGCCCGGCCCGACTTTCGCATCGCCGTGCCGCCCGAGTTCGCCAAGGACCCGGCGCTGACGTCGATCCGCGGCAGCCTCATCAGCAGCAGCAGCAGTTCGGAGGACCCGGGGCCGCCGCTCATCCGCTTCCGCGAGGACATCGTGACGCCGCTGGGGGACGAGGCGGCGGAGGCGCTGGCTCGGTTGAGGGAGGCGCTGCGGCGGGAGGCGGAGGCGGCGGCGATGCGCCTCTCGGCGGAGGAGCTGCCGGCAGGTTCGGTGCTGGTGATGGATAACAGGAGGTGGCTGCACGCGCGGAACGCGGTGGCGGACCCGGAGAGGCACCTCCGCAGGGTACGCTGGGACGCGGTGCCGTTTCTGGGGAACGAGAGCCTGGAGCGAGATGCGGCGAGGGCTGACACGGGCGAGAAGAAAGGCGTCGCATAAAAAAAGCATGATGTTACTTGGAAAATCTGCTACCTGTTGTGTGACTGCATATGCATGCATGTCTGCGCGTGCGCGTGCGTGGACAGTGCAGAGTCCACCGCGGAAGAGTATGAATACGGAGTAACTAGTTAATAGGTATTCACTTTCCGCAGTCTCGGATAATAAACCCGTGTCTCTGAGGCTGCCGCGGATTCTTGTCTAATAATCTGCACGTGTATCCGTGGCAATTACGAACTTGAAGAAGCTGATCTTGGTGGCTCTCTCGGGAATTGACTGATGGACCGATGCTCAATATGACCACGAACCTCCGGAGAGATCATTCAGGCACCAGCCCAGCTCGGCTTACTCCGAATTTGCCGTCCCATACCATGTATCAAGGCTGTGGACGGGGCTCATGCAGAGAACAAGCCCATATATAACCGGTATATATGCCTCCACCAGATCGCCGAGCAAAACCAGAACGTATTTACTCCGTCGGGATATAATATTGGACCGCCACGGAACTCGCTGGTCCCACAGGCGTGTCTATTCGTAATAATGGGGGACAGAATTCCCAACTAGCCCTAGATTGCCACTGTCTGTGCCGAGTATCCTGTGTTCCTGCATATGCATTAGACATCATCCGCAAATGCCTCACCAGGTGTCGCGAATGTCCACCAGAATTACACAGCGCCGAGTTAAGCATGCCGCGCTCCGAGATGCGTAGATTGACAGGCTGAGTAGAGGAAAACCATGATTGAGGGGGTAGCCGCATTGTGTCTGGGCTATGGAGCGGACTCAGGTGCATACCGAACTTTCCCAACTTGCCCTTCCTTTCCAGCAAGCCTCCCTTCACGGACTCCTGCATCATCCTAACGCACGTATGCATTGCATTCATATCTGTCCTCTTCGCCATGGTGTATCCGCTGCCTGTCGTCTTGGCCGTGGCCAACAAGCACTGCTTCTATGACCAATCCATCAAGTACCCCCTCCCCATAGCTGCCGTCAATGAAGTCGCACAGCAGACCGCAGACGACCAGCAGGCTGAGCAACTGTCCTCTTGGCCCCTTTTGCATAAAAAGACACTGTACGCAAGATTTCTCGGCACCCCGCACCACAGCTCCTTCCTGCACCTTCTCCTGATGAAAACCTAGGTACACGACCATCGAGCGCCTCGTCAACGACACAAGCCCTGAAAACACCTATCGGCAGTCCAGCTATGTCAGCATCACCGGCGGCGGCGGCGGCTCCACGCCGCTCTTCTTCGCAACCGACAGCACCGAGAACCGCCGGCAGCGCGCCGAGTTTGGCCGACTGATCGCCAGCACCGGCGTGCTCAGCCGCCGCGACCTCGTCGTCACCATGCACTCGGGCGGCGGCCTGTACCGGTAACGCCTTTCTCGCAATCAAAAAGTAGCTTTCTTTTCGCCCCTTGACTAACATTCCAACGCAGAGCCCTTGACTTGACGCTCGAGGTCATGGAGTGCGCCGGCGCCTGCGCCCTCGCCGCCGGCAGCCACATGTCCGCGCCGCAGGTCGTCAACCTACTCGTCCGGTACCGCGCCAACGTGCTGTCCGGCGACAGCAGCCAAATCATCAACGTGGTCAACTACCTGTCCGCGCTGCCCGCCGAGGAGCGAGGCCAGGTCCGCCTGGACAAGCTCGTCTACACGTCCGAGGTGCTCACCGCCGCGCAGCGCGCCCTCGTCCGCGCCACGCTCGGCGAGGACGTGCGCGTCTGCTCGCTGCTTGCCAGCGCCGAGGCCGGCCCGTGGGCGGTCAGCAACCCGGGGCTCACCGGCGAGCGCACCGCCGCGTCGTCCGACTTCCTCTACGACACGCGCACCATGACCGTCGAGGTCCTACCCATGCTGGAGGATGGCGGTGACGGCAAGCCGCTGCCGGACGGCGAGGCGGGCATGATCGTGCTCACGTCACTCAGCCGCCTGCGCAACCCGCTCGTGCGGTACGTCTGCGGGGACGTCGGCTCGCTGAGCGCCCTGCCGGAGGCAGCGGCCGCACAGCTGCCGGAGGCGGACCGCGCGCACGTGCGGGTACTTCGCCTCGAGGGCCGCGACCGTCGCTTCAGCTTCAGCTGGCAGGGCAACTACGTTGACTTTGCGAACGTGGCGGCCGTCGTCGAGGACCCGATCTACGGTGTGCTACAGTGGCAGGTCGTCCTGGAGGACCGGCCGGTGGGTGGCAGCGGCTTGGAGCCGCACTTTGAGCTGCGCGTGCTGCTCGGCGCGGGGAGGGAGGCGATACCCGTGGAGGAAATGGCGGCGAGGGTCAGGGTCGTGGTTGCGCTGGAGGAGGCGGCGAGGCACATGTTTGCGGTGGTGGTGGCGGAGAGTACGGATGGGTTTGAGAAGAGCAAGACGGGGAACAAGGTCGTCAGGTTTATTGACCGGCGGGAGTAGGACCGGACTAAGCAAGACCTAGACTTAAAGATTGATGCTCGAGGTCTCCACGTCAAGATCATAGTAACTTTGTTCACCCCAAGACTCCGACCAAAATACGCACCTATACAAGGTCAACCTCACACTGCACCAACGCCCTTAATCATCCCCCTGGTACCTCCTCCCCGGCAAGTGGTCCGTCACGCCCTCTATCTCGTTGACGCAGTACAGGTGCCTCTCCGCGTACGTCAGCGCCCTCCCGTACCTGCTCAGCGCCTCCCCGTCCAGCGAGCCCACGCACACGCTCACCCGGTCCTCCCCGTCGGCGGCCCAGAAGAGCATCCCGCCGCACGCCCCGCAGAAGCCGCGCTCCGCGTTGGCAGACGCCCGGTAGGTGCGCAGCGTCGCGCGCGATGTCCACACGAGGCCGGCGCGCGGCACCTTGTGCGCGCGGAAGATGAGGGCGCCGGTCTGCTTGCGGCACTGCGAGCACTGGCAGGTCGAGGCCTGGTGGCGTGTTAGCGGTGGGACGGAGGGATTGGGAGGTGAGGATAAGACGCACGGCGCGCAGAAAATCATGGTCGGGGGGGAAGGTGATGGTGTAGCGGACGCCTTCGCAGAGGCAGCCGCCGCTCACGGTGGTAGGCAGCTCGGTCGTCATGTCGTGGTTGTTGCTTTGCTTTGCTTTGCTTTGGTCTGTGTGTGTTTTTGAAGGGTGATGGAAAGTGGACTTGGATGATGAACCCGGATCTTGTCCAATGTTATATACTTGACCTGCGCAGCTGAGGTTGTCAATGGCGCCTTTCGTCGTCATAGGCGCGCATCCCCTCATTAGCGCCCACACCTCACGTTCACACCGTCTCTCTAAAATCACTTGAAATCCTGTTAATATTTTCAACGCCCCTTTGTAATTCATGACATCGTTATGATACATCCCCGTGTGTTATCCATGCTCCCACCGCGCCAGCCAGCCCACATTCTCACCCGCGTTCCGCACGATGCACAGCCTCGCCTCCTTGGGCGTGGCGCGCAGATCCAGCAGCACCTTTTCCACCGACACCGCGCCCACCGCCGTGCCCCGTCCGCGGGCCATGTTGTACGCGCCCGAGGTCACGAAACCGACGAGGTCCGCGGCGTCCGGCACCAGCGGGTGGTTGCTGGTGGCCTCGGCCGCCGCTGCCGTACCGGGCGGCGCCGTCAGTGTCTGGGCGAGCAGGCGCTTCCGGTGATGCATGTACATTTCATCGGACCTACAAGGTGCCTTCTTTGACGCCGGGGACTCTGTCGGCATTTTGGCGAGCCACTGCGCTCGTAACTTGGAGGGCAGTGCGTGGGGTGTCTCCGTCGCGCCGTCTGGAACGGTCGAGGGAACTTGTACGCTGGATGGTTCCGGCGCCGCCGTGCAGGGTCTCGGCAAGCGGTATATCCGGGCGCAGCTCTTGGCTACCCCCCGACCAAGCATGGTAATGCGGACGCTCGCAATCGCATTATCTGGTAGAGGTTGCAGCATTGTCGAGGTAAGATGAGCCTGCATGTCTGCTCTCGAGAATTGGTTCAAGAGCCCGAGGCAATCCACATCCCTCGGTGGACTTGGTGCCTGCACTGTCATCTCAACGCCCTCCATCGCATCCCCCTCTGGTCCCGCTGCACCTTTGTCATTTCCGCCCTCAGGCTTCAGGCTAAAGAGGAGCTCAAAGTCACACGCCAGACCGTCCCCGACCTCCCCCTTGCGGCCGATGCCCAGGTCCAGCGACGCCCACTCGGTCCTCTTGCTCTTCGGCCGCCTGTCGTAGTCCTTCCTGCGCTTGGCGCGCTGCGCGAGCTCCCAGCCGGCGCCCGCGTCGGTGCCCGGGTAGTCGGCGGGGAACCAGGGCACGCCGCGCTCAAAGGCCACCTGCATGGCCTCGTCGACGCCCGCGAAGCGCGGGTTGCCGCCGGATATCAGCGGGCAATGCACCAGGCTGTGCCACACGGGCAGCACGCACTTCCACGGCAGCATCAGGGTCCAGGACCCCTGCGTCTGCGTTGCGGAAGAGGATCGCGCGGCCAGCAGGGTGATGGGTATCTCTGGATCACCTGTGCCTGGCTCGATGAGACCACCTGGCGTGGTGCCGCTCCGCCGCTTGTAGATGGCCTGCTGCGTGGGCAGCCCGGAAGCCCTGTGCCGGGCATTCCTGTCGAAGAGTAGATTTCGGTCCAGTTCGCAATCGACAGGCCAGCTTGTTATAGATTCCATGAGCTTCTCCTGTAGTCTGTCGTCGTCCCAGCCTTCAAGTCGCCTCGGTGGGTATCTGAGCCGCGGGTCTTGCACAGTAAATGCCAGGGTTGCGTTTGCCGTCAGCGACGACGGGTTTGTGAGGCCGTGTAGAGATTGAAAAACTGCCCCTTGATTCCGGCTCGACCCTTCTGCGGCTGGGTGAGGCGTAAGCACCGCCAGCAGCGCCTCCGTAGACGCAGGGCCAGTGAGCTCGATGCTCCCAATCTCAAATCGCAGGTCTTCGATGTATAGCCGCGGCGTCTCCATCTTGATCAGTCGAAGCAGCTCGTCGAATACTTCCTTGAACGCAGACGGATGCATGCGCAAGAACAGCTGTCGCTGCGTCTTGTTCTCGTCCTGCACGACGGGTTCGGGATTCCACACGACCGTGCAGGGACACATTGGCCGTGGCCGTCCCTTGCGATCCCTGCTGATGACGGCGGAGCGTGAACGCGTGCCTGCTCTCCATTTCTTGCCCTTGTTGTTCCAGTATGCGTCGTCGGTGAAGCCGATCCGCTTCAGCACGCGACAGAGCCCAGCCTCGTGGCCGTAGACGCCAATGGTGCTCATGTAGCTCGTATCCCAGACCAACGTCCCCCGCTCGCCCTGCGATCGGTGAGTCGGCCGATACACCTTTTCGCTGGGCGTCAGGGGTATGGCGAACCGCCACAGGGGGCTGCTCGGGGCGGTCATCCTCGCGCGCTTGGCGTGCCAGAGATGCGTCGGCAGCCAGGTCTTGTGCGTCTGTCGTTTTCGGAACCGCGCGGGCGGCCTCGGGGGTTCGTTGAGTTGATTTCTTCGAATCTTGGGACGCGGTGCCGCCTTGTCCTTCCCTCCTCCTCCTCCCTTGTCGCCCGTCGCCTTTCGCCGCCGGGTCCTCGCCGCGAGGAGCCGCAGCCGCCTCGCCGTCTCGGCCCGCAGGCGCGCGCGCGTCGTGGTCGGCCTGCGAGCTGCGGACGGCCTTGGACGTGGCCATTCCCTGCTCCAGCGCGCGCACCTCGAACTCGTGCGCGGCCACAAACGCCTGCAGGTCGAGCTCGCCGTCGCGCAGGGCCGACTGAGCGGGCTCGACGGGGATGCTGCGGGCGACCTGGACCTTGACGCGTCGGTTGTCGTTCCGGCCGCCGGAGGAGGACGCGGCATTGGGAGTGTTCTTGCCCGAGACGGGTCTGCCCGGGCCGGAGGGGGGTTGTTTGGCGCCCATGGTTGGTAGTTGTGTGTGAAGACTGGAAGAGAGTTGAAGTCGTGGGAGCAAAGTAAAGGTCCAGTTGAACTTTTTGGTGGGGCAACAATGCTACCCTGCAACGGTCGACCAGGCACGTTTCTACCCAGTCATGAGACAAAAAGGGAGCAAAATTATGAAAGGAAAAAAAACTCTTTTGAACTCTATTACTTCAAAACACATTGGTCTCAGTAATTCAATGCCAAAATCTCCAATGTTGCCTCTACAACTTTATGTCTCCAACAGTGTCTACAGTCACTTATTAGTGAAAGTCACGTCTTTTTCTTTTTGAAGTTTCATGTTTAATAAAAGACTATATTTTTATTTTTCAAGGTTTTTGCTATCTTCTTCCAAGTCCTATCTTACTACTCATTTTCCCCAGTTGTAATGGTATTTGCAGTTTACAGTTTGCGTACTTGTTGCCTATGCTAACCTAGGAGCGTCAGCTCAACTTCCAAAACACACCTTGCCTGTGCTTAACTTGACTCCCTCTAGCTCTGACTTGAACTTGTAACTCCTTCCACCTCCGTGAGATGGACTGGAAAGGGTAGCATATCCCACACATCCATAAAATCACGAGCCCGTGAGAAGCTGGCCGCATTTTCCAGCGCCTGTCTCACCTTCCTGGCAACCCTCCATGTTACATCGTCTCTCTCCCTATCCGAAAGTGAATGATTGCAAAACTCCCAGCGCGTGCGCGGAATTTGCTCCCCCACGCCCTCGTCGGCGTTGTCAACGTCGCCGTGATTCAGCACCACGTACAAGGTCTCCAGGTCCTCCAGGTACTCTATGACGGCGGACAATATCTCAACCTCGCCGTTGTTAAACGCGGCGCGGGGAATCGCCAGCCTCCTCAGGTGCGTCCGCTGGGGGCCTATCCTCTGGTCGTAGTTCTCCGGCTGGTAGAGCAGGTCTATGAGCTGCGTCCCGAAATGGACGACACAGGGCGTCGGCAGGTACAGCGTATCGATCTTGGGATTGAACCGTCGTACGACATGAAGTGTACCGCCGGCATACCGTCGCCTGGACAGCACATCTTGCCGAGACAGCCAGTCGAGGGTGATCGCTCGCGACTCTTGGCTGGCGGAGAGCAGTCCATCTAGAGCTTGCACCCTGGAGAATAAGTTGAAATAGTAGTCAAACTGAAGAAGATGCTCTGCATGGTCGTCCCAGTACACCCTGCGGGTCATGGTGCAGCAGCCCACGCGGTAGATAAAGACCGCAGGCTCATCTTGGGCAGGAATCGCATCGATCCAGATTTGCGTACGGAGCTCGATAGGAAGGTTCGAGAAGGGATGGAAAGTGCTCATAATCGTCCTTGATAAAGTTATTGATATGTAGCCAGAGTTGGCTAGACTTGTGAGAGGCAGGCCTGATTCTCAGGAAGCCCAGCTGGCTTAAGCATGGATAGTCATCACATATGGAAGGACCAATGAGCGCCACCTACCTGTAGCCTTGCATGAATGCAACACCGCTGCCTCGGGACCAATTAGGCGAATACCGGCCTGTTGCTGGTACGCCCTGGCTGAATTGAACAGTACACTTTATTCTGGTCGCTGTTGCCTTGGAAACCTATACTCGTCCCGACGGCTGTCATACTCGAACGGGTGTGAACAGGCAGGATTGTAGATGAAGTTTCATTTACACTTGAACAATTTACATTTCAGATGATCCATGATGCATCCATTATGACACCCACTCCTCCTTTCCCTGGCTTGGACTGGGATCCGTCTTTTCCTCTGTCAGGTTGGGATCCATTCCCTCCACCGTACCCTGCATCAAGCTTTCGACGTTGACCTGGGGCCCGTGATAGTTCTTGCGACCGTCAAAGATCCACGTTCCTCCAGCGATCAGGAGGATGACGCCAAACGCGGCAATGGCGTAGTTCATGTTGCTGCCGGTAACGGGAAGCTCGGGGGGGAAAACAAAGAGGACGGTCGTGAGAATAGACCAGAGAATGCCAATCTGCGCATGTTAGCTTGTGTCAGGATTTTGCCCATGAATGAACCCTTACAATGTTCAGTATCCAGCCAAAAGGTTCAGGAATCTTGAACGGGCGGTTCTCGGGCAGCATGCGACGTCCTCGAAGAACATTGATGGCCGGGGGGATGGCATAGGTGACACCCAGGGCCACGACGGAAGCTGAGGTGATGGCATTAAAAGTACTGCTGGACCCCAAAAAGATGCACCCGAAGATGATCACCCACGCCGCGGTCCAGATGAGCGCGTTCAGCGGCACGTCGAGCGTGGGGTGCACCTTGGCGAAGACGCTGGAGAAGGGCATGCCGCGGTCGCGGGCAAAGGCGTAGCTCATGCGGCTGCTCGTACACATGATGGTGATGGCCGTGAAGAGCATGCAGACGATGGGAAAGAGGAGCAGGCACACGCTGCCCGCCTTGTTGCTGGTGGCATCCATGAAGACTTGCAGCAGGGGACCCCAGGGCGCCTTGATGACGGCGTCAATATCCTTGGTGACGAGGAGCAGGCAGGTGAGGAAGATGAATCCGGTGAACATGCCGATACCGATGCAGTAGAGCATGATCTTGGGGCCCTGGCGCTGAGGGTCTGGGATCTCCTCAATCATGTGGGCGGTAGCGTCGAATCCTTAAGGTGAGTTTATCAGTATCTAACTGTCCCCTTCAAAAAGTACAGTAGTCAGACATACCAGTCAGCGCAAAGGCACCCTGCAACAGCCCAAGCATCCAAGCTACACCGTCGGGCCAGCCGACCTCGTTCGTGAACTGGGCAAAGACGAACTCGCCGCTCTGGTAGTCGCCCGCCGAGCAGGCCAGGATGGTGATGCTGATGACCACGAAGCCCGCCAGCGACCACAGGAAGCCGGCCTGCGTCACCATCGGCAGGATGCGCGTCAGGAAGGCGTTGATCACCAGCGCCGCCAGCGTGAACCCGATGTAGATCAAAAACTGGTGCCAGGGCTTCGGCTCGTACGCCGGGTGCAGCAGCGAGATGATGTTGACCACAAAGGTGCTGCCCAGCAGGCCCGTCGTCGCCGTCAGCGCGATCCAGCCCGAGACGTTGACCCAGCCGGTCGCGTAGCTCAGGCCGCGCGCCCAGCGGCGCCACGCGACGATGGCCACCCAGTGGTACTGCCCGCCGGCGGTCGGGTATGCCGAGAGGAACTCGCCGAGGGACGCGGCCAGGCACAGGTTGAGCACGCCGGCGACGAGCAGGCCCCAGACGACGGCGCTCGAGCCGCCCGAGGGCAGCGCGAGCGTGATGGAGGCGGCCAGCGCGGTCCACGTGTTGAGGATGGCGAAGGCGAGGCCCAGCATGGAGAGCATGGAGAAGTTGCGCTTCAGCTCCTGCTTGTGCCCGAGCTGCTCGAGCACGGCGGTGTCTTGCGTGGCGGTGGCTTCATGGTGGGAGGGCCGCCGGCGCGGTGGTGCGGCTTCGACTTCCATGGTTTGGGGGGGACTGATCTCAACTATGATGGGATCATGAAGTAAGAGAGAGAGGGTCGGTTGAACATGCAAAGGGGCTTTGGATGACTAGAATAGAAAAGAGGTTATGGGAAAGGAGTAGGGGAACTGATGCATGAAAAGCAGGGAAGAAGAGCGTGAGATGGGCAGATCAGTTGGCGGAGGGCGCTGAGCCTTGTCCGGAACCCTCCAACCGTCCAACTATTCCGGACCCCAGCGCCACTGAGCGGCTGGTTCGGGGTTACGAAGCCAAACTAGGCAAAGGACTTATAGGTAGAGACGCTAGAAGGTATTAGTTTCCCACTGATAATACACCACTGATGATCAAGGTTGCGACGCTAGAGACGGATGTGCCAGCAGTGAGCGGCGTGGTATCTCGCCCGTGGAACGGCGGATACCAAGTTTACTGATAGACGCAGGCCCTTTTCCAAGTGGAGGAATTGGTGGCACAATCTACACAGAAATACCTATGAGTGATTCGATATGAAGCTGCCCTCTCACGCATTGTCCGGCAGGCAGCCATGCACTATCCTGTACTGGTCAGTCCACCTTGATAACAAAGGATGAACGCAGTAATCAATACATTGTACAGCCCGCCACCAACTGCGAGTCAGTCCTCACTCATTCATGCAGTGATCAGCCCCCACAAACCCAGCCGGTGTCATGGGGTCGCGATCCACCATTCTTTATCCAAGGAGCGAGGCCGGGGCCCCGGGCCAGAACCCAGCGACGGATTGCGGGGAGAGTGAAGCATGACTTGAAATTGCTGTAGCTTGGAAAAGAAATCGTATGCACTCGAGCAAAAGAAATCGTGAGCGACTGCAATGCCGGAAAAGGTGTCTATTTTGTTGGCGAGGGCACTCGGGGATATCACCCGGCGGAATGACCGACAAGCCACCACAGATCGTTCTTGGCAGGGCTTTCGTCGATGGCACTAGGTGGCAATTGAGGCGCTCCGAGGCTCGGCGTCCCAATAACACCACGCCTGCTATATATGCGAAATCATGTGTGATGCTTGTGCGGGCGCTCCAATCGGGCTTGTCAAGCCAAGGGGAGCACAGCTGCTCGAGAATCTAGCCCGGCTGCTGCTCTTTTAGAACCGTAAAGTTGCAAATTCAGGGCAGCGCCACGGTCAGGACTAGGACTCACTATTTCTAGAAGGCGCTTGCAGAACAACCCGATAACTTAGTTTCAACTGCCGAATACCCCAGCGTTTGAAGGTTTAGTTTATTAGTTCAAGAGAGTGTTCCACTCCCTCTCCGAAACGAAAAAGAATCGCATCATTGCGTAAGAGTAATGCACAGATTGGTATCCGGCGCCCGGCAAGTTCTTGGCGAGCCGGCTGCGTAGCCGGTCCCGGTCCCGGTTCCGGTCCCAGTTTGCCGGCTCCACGCTGGACCGGGACCCGGCTTGGTCTGCCCACAGGGCGGCGCCACAGGAACTGTCAGGTATAACGAGTGGCTTGGTCGGGGATAATGCATTTCCAGGTAATTTATTAATTAAGCATTTTGAAGTGACCAAGGGGTACTTCTCCGGACGGGTAAGCCTCACCACGTACTCGTGGCTCTGATGTGCTGGATGATGTCGGGAAGAAATTTTGGACAGTAATAGTTTTTTAATCTTCAGAAATCTAGTCTATACCGGCCATCATCACCATCTTCGTCGTCAAATACTCGTCAATCCCGTACTTGCTTCCCTCCCTCCCATAACCACTCTGCTTGATACCACCAAACGGCGCGATCGGGTCACTGATTGCTCCTGGATGTAAACTGTCAGCATCTTGCACGTAAACCTCCATCAACAAGGGCAACTTTTTTCCTCACCTGTATTCACGCCCACCATGCCCACCTCCAGCGCCTCGGCCACGCGCCAGCACCGGCTGTGGTCCTTGCTGAAGAAGTAGCCCGCCAGCCCGACCTCGGTGTCGTTGGCCAGCGCGATCGCCTCCTCCTCCGTGTCGAACGTAAACACCGCCGCTATCGGCCCGAACGTCTCCTCGCGCGCGATGCGCATCGTCGGCTTCACGTCCGCCAGCACCGTCATCGCGAAGAAGTTGCTCCCCAGCGCCGGCACCCGGCCCCCGCCGACCAGCACCCGTGCGCCCTTCGCCACCGCGTCCTCAACGTGCTCCGCGCACTTCTGCACCGCCCGCCCGTGGATGAGCGGCCCGTGCGTCGTCGCCGCATCCAGCCCGTCGCCGACCCGGAACCCCGCGACCGCGTCCGCCAGCATCCGCACGAACCGGTCGTGCACGTCCCGGTGCACCAGCAGCCGGTTCGCGCACACGCACGTCTGCCCGGACAGCCGGAACTTGCACTCCACCGCGCCGCGCACCGCGGCCTCCAGGTCCGCGTCCGCGAACACGATGAACGGCGCGTTGCCGCCGAGCTCCAGCGACAGCTTCTTCAGCGTCGACGCCGCCTGCCGCATCAGTAGCCGGCCCACCGGCGTCGACCCGGTGAACGAGACCTTGCGGACGGCCGGGTGCGTCGTCAGCGCCTCGCCTACCGCGACCGTACCCGCCATCGCCGTCACCACGTTGACCACGCCGGCCGGGAGGCCCGCGCGGCGCGCCAGCTCCGCGAGCGCCAGCGCGGTCAGCGGCGCCTCCGCCGGCGCCTTGACCACCACCACGCAGCCGGCCGCCAGCGCGGGGCCGACCTTGCGCGTGATCATGGCTGCGGGGAAGTTCCACGGGGTGATGATGCCGCAGACGCCGACGGCCTCGCGCGCGGTCACGATGCGGCAGGCGTCGCTGCTGCTGGCGGGCATGGCGTCGCCGCACACGCGCGGGGCCTCCTCGGCGAACCACTCCAGGAAGCTCGCCGCGTAGCGCACCTCGGTCGCCGCGTCCGCCAGCGGCTTGCCGTTCTCGACGGTGATGATGGTGGCGAGGTCCGCGGCGTGCGCGAGCATCAGGTCGTGCCAGCGGCGCAGGAGGGAGGCGCGCTGCCGCGCGGGCGTGCGCCGGAACGAGGGAAGGGCGCGCGAGGCCGCGAGGATGGCGGCTTCGGTGTCGGCGGCATCGAACTCTGGGCACTCTCCGAGTATGGCCGAGGTCGAGGGGTCTGTGAAGGGCTGTGTTAGAGGCTTTTGTTGCTGGCTGGGGACTGGTGAGGGGACGCACTGTCTACAGAGAAGCGCTTGCCAGAGGCTGCTTCGACCCATTTCCCGTCAACGTAGCATTGATTCTTGAGGATCGAGGGGTCTTGAAGCTAGTTTTTTTGTTACTTGAGTCACTCCGAATTATCTTGTTGCTGGACTTACAAGATCCTTGAGTGCAGACATGACGGCGGTTTATTGTACGGCTAATACGAGCACAACCTTACCAGCTACATTTTGAGGAACTTCCTTTGCCATATATCATGCAATCTACCTTTGACTTGATTCTTTCCGTAATTCCATCTTCGTCCCACCGGGCTGTCTCGTCTAGTCCCGGCTTGTCCTGCCGCTCGCCGGTCGCGGGGCGGCCAAGTGGGACCGGCAACCTCGACCGGCCCGGTTGAGCTACACGGCGTCGGTGGCCGCGCGCAGCGCAAGAGTGTCATCACTGACTCAGCTGACCCCGGTATGTTGAAATATATAGATCAATTTTGGAGGTCAGAATAATTTCTACAACAGCAGAAAGTTAATCTGGCCAGAGTCTCGTTCGAATATGACAGCCTCTACCATCATTGAGCAGGTGCCTGGACCCGTGTCCAAGGCCACCTCGGACAAGCTCAACACTATTTTCGACGCCCGAGCCGTTCACTTTGTCGTCGACTATGACAAGAGTGAGGGGACATAGTATGCATGCACTACCATGATGCTTGTCTACAGCACTCGCTAACTATGACAGTATCGTCGATGTCGATGGTAATAAGTACCTTGACGTGTACGTCCTTACCATCAACACACCCAGATGGCGACCCATTCTAACAATGATGTAGATACTCTCAAATTGCCTCCATCCCCATCGGCTACAACAACGCCGCACTCGCCGCCGCCGCCAAGTCGCCCGAGATGATCTCCGCGCTCATCAACCGCCCTGCCATCGGCAACTACCCGTCCGCGCAGTGGCACGACGTGCTCAAGAACGGCCTCCTCCGCGCCGCGCCCCCCGGCCTCGACAAGATCTTCACCGCGCAGTCCGGCTCCGAGGCCAACGAGCTCGCTTACAAGGCCGCCTTCATGCTGTACCGCCGCCGCCAGCGTGGCGCCGCCGACTGGGCGCCCGAAGAAGTGTCCTCGTGCCTCGACAACGCGCAGCCGGGCTCGCCCGCGCTCGCCGTCCTCAGCTTCGCCGACTCCTTCCACGGGCGCGGCTTCGGCAGCCTGTCCACCACGCGCTCCAAGGCGGTGCACAAGCTCGACATCCCCGCCTTCGACTGGCCGCGCGCGCCCTTCCCGCGCCTACGATACCCACTCGACGACCCCAAGAACGCCGCCGCCAACGCCGCCGAGGAGGCGCGCTGCCTGGCCGCCGTCGAGGCGCTCATCACCGGCTGGCGCTGCCCGGTGGCCGCCGTCATCGTCGAGCCGGTGCAGAGCGAGGGCGGCGACAACCACGCGTCGCCGGCCTTCTTCCGCGGCCTGCGCGAGATCACGGCGCGCCTCGGGGCGTGCCTCATCGCCGACGAGGTGCAGACGGGCTTCGGCGCGACGGGCAGGTTCTGGGGCCACGAGCACTGGGGGCTCGACGCGCCGCCGGACATGGTGACGTTTTCGAAGAAGGCGCAGACGGCGGGGTACTTCTTCACGGACCCGATGCTGATCCCGGACAAGGCGTACCGACAGTTCAACACGTGAGTAGTGATGGTTGCGGCTGCACATTGGCGGCGCACTTGGATGAAGCTTACAATGGTATAGGTGGATCGGTGACCCAGCCCGAGTTATACTGAGCAAGGCTGTCGTTGAGGAGATTCTCGACAACAAGCTGGTTGAGCAATGTGCTCGCGTCGGTGACGTCTTGTACTCTGAGCTGGAGAAGCTGGCGTCCAAGTACCCGACTCAGATCCAGAACCTCCGTGGTAAAGGACAAGGGTATGTCAAAACTGTCTTCCCGTCCTTTGCTTCTCTCCTGACCCTGTCTAACGATCGCAGAACATTTATTGCATTTGACGTCCAGGACCCCGTCGCCTTTGTTGCGGCAATGAAGAAGCGCGGCGTCAACATTGGCACTTGCGGCGTTTCCACAGTCCGTCTTCGTCCAATGCTGATTTTCGACGAGACACACAGTAAGTTGATTAAGACATTTTCGTATTGCACCCCATGTTTTACTAACAGCCGCAGTCCCTATCCTGATCAACACAATGGAGGCGGTGCTCTCTTCCTTGTAGGCAGCATACTTGTATGATTCATGTTGCCTTGTTTTTAGAGTATTAATGACCTCGAGGTGTCCATTTCACACCAGTACATATTCTTCTATCAATAGACCTTCAAGACCAAAACCATGTAAAGAAGCTGGTGTTGGTGTGTGTATTCCTGTGCACGTTACAGGCGCCTTCTAGCGTCCTCCAGGTCGTTTCTAGCGCCCAAGTCTGTTAATGGATGAGCGGCGTTTTCCAACAGCATCGGCGCTCATTTCTCGTTTAAAGATACGGATACAACCAACAGTTCGTTACTTAGAGCCATAAACTACTCACAGAATAATCTTGACCTGCACAGCCAATGTTACTTCTGCAGCTATAATTCCTAAAGTCGCTCCTCCATGGCACAGCGGCTTGTGGGTCTCGATGTCTTGAGGCATCGCCGCTCCAACTAACTAAAACCTTGTCCTTCTAACTCATACCGAACACAAAACAGCCTTTTGTAGTCCGACCTGTCTGCCGGAAAATATCGCGTCGGCTTGGCCCTCATGAACAATCAATATCGCCTCCCAGACTCAAATCGAAGCCTAGAAAGAGAGCGCAAGCGGGCCGCTCGAGCGTGCGTTTGGCCCTCATTTGTTGTTCCGATTGCGACCTGCTTGCTAATGGTGCCATAGATGCGACATTTGCCGCCGCCAAAAAGAGAGGTGTGATGGCGGAGTTCCCTGTCGGAGATGTTTTCGCTTAGGCCGGCAGTGTGAATTCACAGGAGATGTCGGGAGCGTGTCGGGGCCGGCTCGTCGCATCACGGCACGCCCGCCACCTTCATCCGTGCCAGCGTCGCATGCCGCCTCCAGCGGCCAGAGAGCCTTCGACCAAGGCTCCTATGTGCAGCAGAAACGCTTAGAATACCTCGAGAGAATTGTGCGCAGTCATACCGGGCCTGGGGTGCCCCTTGATCTGGACAGTCTCAGGAACCTGGCCGACGAGGCAGACAGTCAACGAAGTGCTTCCCTCACATCGCAGGAAGATGAAGTTGACAAGTCAATCACCATGCAATCTCTGGATGGAAACGTAACACGCAAGTTTATCCTCTCATCGATATCCACTGCCATGAATGCTAACTCGGCGCAGATTACTCCGGTGAATTTTCGCACTGGAATTTTTCCATGCGTATCAAAGACTGGCTCGACCAGAGCGTAGCTCGTCATGGACAAAATGTAGGCATCCCTGTTACATTTGCGCCACGCTTTGTGGGACTGATTGTCGTAGGAGCAGACCCCAAAAGCATCGATAGTGTTTGACGAGTATTATCGACCTAATGAGCTTCGGTCCCCAGCTGGCTCACTTGTGCCATTGTCCTCGCTGCCGCCACGCTCAATCACCGACTTTCTCATCCATTGCTACTTCCAGCACGCAGAGGCCAACTATAGCTTCGTTGACAGGGAGTGGCTATGCGGTCAAGTGGATGTTGTCTACGAGAATCCAATGGCGCTATCAAATAGAGATATCGGCACCCTCTCAATAATACTCACGATCCTCGCCATCGGGACTCAGTATGCCTACCTTGAGTCAATATCTGAAGGTAAAGATACGGCGACTACAGCTGAGTCTAATAAGTTCAGCGAAGATGCAGTCGGTATTCAATTTTACAGGAAAGCCGCCCATCTTTTACCCGAGGTCATCGCCGCGTCGTCATTGGAGAGTGTACAGGCGTGCCTGCTGATGGGCATCTATACACTACCAGTAGATGCATCAGGCCTGGCATACATATACCTGAATCTAGCCTTGAAATTGGCGATACAGAATGGCATGCACCGAAAGCATCCCGCGAACGACATAGACGCGCGTATCCGCGAAACTAGAAATCGCGTCTGGTGGGCTCTATACACTATCGAGCAGTAGGTGGTTTACCATACTTGCCTGATTTTTGGGCTGCAGGAGTATTGACATTTCGCAGACGAGTCGGTATCTTTCACGGCCGCCCAATCTCAATTGCAAGTGTGGATGTGGACGCCGATCTACCCTCTCCGCCGCCGGCACCGACCTGGGCATTCAGACATCCTGAGCTGCTACTTACCAGCATACAACTAAACAAATACTTATCAAGGGTGGCACATATAATGTAAGCTGTCGGCACGTATGAACAGAGCTTCAATGCTGACAAGGGCCGCGAGGTCAAATCTGCGCACTCTCCCAAAAACGGAAACCTCGGACTGGGTCAAGAAGCTTGCTCAGCTTCAGACCGAGTTAGTCAAATGGTGGGAAGGCCTTGGGAATATCACCTTCTATCACAATGAGCAGCCAACTTCCGATGCATTTCGGCCAAGGATGCATCTGAAGCTCGAATACTGCATGGTGCGAATGTTTCTCGGCAGAATATTCATCCTCCCGCAGGATGGTCCGCTCGACAGTGGCAGCCGCTCAACACCATCATCTGACACGCCCTCTCGGAGTCCACGGGCCGCCCTCGTACGCGACTGCGCCGAGGCCGCGCTGTCGGTGGTCGATGCGTGCCGCGTCATCGCCCGGGGAGTCGGGCTTGCGCGTGCGTCGTACACAGAGTTCAGCTCGTGCCGGGCTGCCCTCCTGGTCATCACGACACAGTGCCTGACCCCGTCGGCGGCGACGACGCAGGGCGCGGACCGGTTCCGGCAGGCGCTGCGCGACGGCGTGGTGATGCTCAAAGACATGTCGTCGGGGAGCCAGTCATGGCACTCCGAGGCCTCGCTGATCGAAGCCTTTGAGCGGGCGATTGCGGGCATGGACACGCGCGAGGCCGCCGCCGCCGCCGCCGCGGAGGGCCCCGAGGAGTCCGACTACGCCAAGTTCAAGAAGTGGGAGCAGATGGTGCAGAAGCACCCGTCGGCGCCCGAGTCGACGGCCAGCCTGGTTGGGTCGGAGGATATTGGGCCGCTGGCGGGTGGTCAGGGCTGGAGGCCTGCGGAGGCGGCGTGGAGAGAGGACGGTGGCCTGATGCCGTCGTGCACGCCGTTTTTCGGAGTCGATGGGAATTTTGCGTCGTTTCCGGAGAGTCTGGATGAGCTGCCGTCGTTTTTGGATACGAACTTTTAAGGTTGCTTTAAAAAAAAACCCTCTTCTTTTTCTTTGCTATGTCTCGGAAATGGTGTTGGAAGTGAAAATGGCTCTGACGTGGCGCATGGCTTGAAGCTGCGTGACTGTATTACAACGCATGACACCGGCGGATAGGGTGTGGTACAAGTCTGAGCTGGATGGGTCCATTGTTTTTCTACAAATTTTACTTCGATCCAACTTAAACAAAGACAAGAAGATCGAGAGAAAACAAGGGAGAAGAGACGACATCATGGGTGTAAAATGTTCCATGCGCTTCTTTGGTGATGTGGCTAGCACGCTGTGGCGTATGCGTTTGCAGGCATTAAAGTTGGTGGCAGTTGGCAGTTGGCGCGCTAAACCCAACACAGCCAGACTCTTCAAACGCTGCAGTCAGCCAGGGAAGGAGCTGCGGAACGCACCTGCTGCAAACGAAGACATGATCAATTTCAGAATTCTTCAATATTCAATCAGCCACCACCGATTCTTCCTTTTCCACCCCGCATCACATCAACCATTCCAATCTCTCTCATCATCCACCATCTGAGCATCGCCATCGCCATCGACAAACATCCCGCACCACTCTGCTCCTTCTCCCCGTCAGCCTCGTCTCCACAGCGTCCCCTACTTGGCTCTCGCCCCGCTGTCCTCTTGCACGCTCCAACGACTGCGCGCGTCATCATCACATGCACCCGCTCTGAAGTTGCTGTGCCTCACAGCTAAATATATTCTCTGCAGCGCATCCTGACACATGGGCCTCCCGCCCTGGCGACTTTTCCTCCCGCTCAGGCTTCGCTTCTTATCCCCAGGCCCGTCCGCCGATCTGTGGCCAACAGCAATCGCGCGCGCGCCACGCATTTCACATCGAAAACGTCTCACCCCCCGAGTCTCACCAGTCTAGGCCCGTTCTGTACGAACTCGCACAGAAGCCGAAGGACGCCACCACGGCTGCGCCGGATCTGTTAGCTCGCCAAAGCAGCAAATTCTGGCGTCTTTTCCTTTGGGATCCAACACGCGAGCGCACCATTTTTCCTGAACCCGCCTACACGCCTCATCCTCGAGCCCCCTCGCCAGCCCACTGCGACCCTCACCACCAGCCTGGTCCCGGTCCCGGTCCGCATTGCCATGCCACGGCGATAACGCCTACCGCAAGTCATGTCTTCTCTGAGTAAGCTGCGATGGACCCCGTTTCCCTTCTGCATTGCACATCTCTCGTCTCCCTCTGTCGCAACCTGTGTGGTCGTATCCCCGTTTTACCCCTTGCTCTGTTCGCTGTTGCCTCAAGTCCCTTGAATGCACCAGGACATGTCAAGCTGTCCCTACTCCACGCCTCGAACCAGCTGCCTCTCCCATGTTTAACCAGTCTTGAACCTATCTAACATGCATCTCCCAACAGTTGGCAAAAGTCGCAAGGTATATTTGCCACGTAAACGTTCCCGGTTCGAAGCCATTGCTGACACTCTCGCGCAAAGCCGAAGTTTGAGCTTCATCTCAAAGTAAGCCTGGTTAAATCATCGCGGAGACGTCCTAGCAATTAACCCTTTGCAGATCTATGACCTGAATAATGTCCCACTAGTCAACGGCAACTCATTTATAAAATGGCATCTGTCTCATTCCATGCACGCGGAGCATCGCGGGCGCACGGCCAAATGCCCCATCGCAAACCACAAAGTTGACTACGATTTTAGCAGAATCGTGCCGTCGATTCGCATCTCCATTGATAAGAACAACATGCTCTCTGAGTGCCCCTTTGAGCTCGAGATTCTGCAAGAATTTGCTGTTGCCGAAAAAATCACCCTCGGCCATGTCAAGCTAAATCTTAGCGAATTCGTCGAGGAAAGCGAGCCGTACAGCAGAGATGCCCTGTCGCCTCCTAGGATCCGCAAGCAAAGCACTGGTGGAAGCAGCATCAGTCTTTCCAGCTCAAACCGCCGAACCAGTTCAGAGAGTCGGCCTGCTCAGGAAGGCATCGTTCGCAGATATCTTATGCAGGACAGTAAAATCAACAGCACGCTCAAGATTGGGATTCTCATGGTCCAAATCGACGGCGACCGCAACTTTGTGGCACCCTCGCTCAAAACTGCTCCTGTATTCGGCGGCATCGCTGGTTTCATGGATCCCAACCAGATTGAGGATGACACTGGACGTGAGTAGCGCACAACGCAACGCTTCCAATATGAAGTGCTAACTTGCTCTTCAGCCATGCCTAGCTTTAACAAAAATCGGGACAACGCCGAAGTTCAGGACCTCTATCGACGCACATTAGCTGCGTCATGGACGAAACAACCCGCGCAGCTTCCTGCCGATGAATGTATTGAGGATATTTTCGCCGGTGGCAACGGATGGAAGGCTCCCAAGGTGGGATCTGCCAAGCGTGATCCTTCTTCATCCAACACAGACCCCGACGAGTTGGATGCAGACGACCTCGGCAACAACGGCACTTTGCGACCATCCGACTTCCGCCGCCTTGGTATCAGTAATCATCGTCGACAACACAGTGCCTCCTCCGACAAAAGTGTATCCACTGTCACTGGTGGTGGGCATCATCGCAACTCCCCCAGTCCACGCAAATCACATTCTCCGCTTAACAGCCGCCAATCCTCACACCTAGATGAGGACCACCACGCAGTTCGCAGCAGTCGCAGCGACAGCATGGCCAGCCTTGTTCCTACGTTGGGTAGCAGCTCTGGAACGGAGAACAACGGGCGCGGAGAGACGAGCTACAAGCACCAACGTGAAGTGGGCGAGGATGAACTTCGCGATAATTTCGTGGCCTGGCACCTCCCGGGGCAAGAGGGTCTCGCCGCATAGACAATCTGTACAACCACCTGGCTTGGGCCTTTTTATGTCCAGGTATTTTTTCTTGTGGAAATTCTTTTATTTTACACCACTGCAGCCTTGCAAAAGGCGACTTGATTTTTCTGTTCAGAAGCGATTTGATTGGCGATTTTCTTTTTCATTCTTTCGACGCTCCTTTCTTCATTTTTGTTCTCTTCACTCTCTCTTAGCGATTATTTTGACAACTTTCTTGCAATTCTTTAGGCGGCTACAAGTTTGAAGTTTAACGGATATGGACAGGTAACTGGGGGTTTGCTGGGTACAGACGGAGTTTTGGCGGTACCAAAAGGCCAAAGAAAAAGGCTGGGAAAATAGATGGGTTGGCAGATTTTGTAGTTTTACACTTTTTATATATAAATTATCCATTTCTTCTTCACCTTGACAAAGCCCCGCAGATTTTGTAAAGCCGTCTTCGACCGTCTTGAGCCTTCTACATAGCTTGATCAATCGTCGTCATACTACGAATCATCATGTGTATCTTTCTTCTTACATTGCTTAAATCAGACACCATCTGTGACAGATACGAATAGACCAAATAATTCATTTCTATAAAAACCCAGAATCGCTTTTAGGGGATGTTCCCACTCTATCCTTTGTTTTGTCGCCCCCTCTTTCCCATCCTCTTCCCTCCCATTCTCATTTCTTTGAAATTGTCCAACCTTGCGTGAGGCCTCGTCGTCGGCCCTTTTCCGACATCACCTCATCGTAATCGTCATTAAGCCAGAGACTTTGGCACATTGCGCTCCCCGCTTATGCGGCAAGAGTGCCGCGAACACCGCCCTTGCCGCCGACCTCGCGGATGGTAATGGTCACACTCAGGTCGCCAAGTACGTTTATTGTGACCTCGACCTTGGCACCGGCCTTGACCCCTTTGATGGCGGCCTCGGCCAGCGGCGATCCAATCTTCCAGAGCTTCTCGCGCTTCTCCTCGTCCTCCTCGTCGCTGTCAAAATCGGAGTCATCCTCATCATTGTCGCCGTTTTGCTCGGGCTTAGGCTCAGGCTTGGTGACCTTGATGTGCGTGCCGCCTTCGACGACCTTAATGAGAACATCACCGCCGCTCTTCGGCGTAGGAATGTGTACGGTGCGGCGGGCAGGAACGGCAGTCTCGGCCTGCATGATGGGGGTGAAGGTCTCGCCGTCCGCGCCGACGGTGACGACGCCGATGGCGTTGGCAGTGTGCTTAACGGTGGTGACGGCAGCGTGGGTAGACTGTTCAATGTCGGCGGCCTCGTACTCCTGAATCAGGGACGCCTGGAGGGCGGCGCCGCGGGCCTGGAGCTCGGAGGGGTTTATGGCGACGGTGCTGGTGGCAGGGGCGAGAATGGTGGTGGTTTCGGGGAAAATGCCAGCCAGGTTGTTGGCGACGCGGGGGGTGTGAGAGGTGCCACCGCACATGATGACCTCGTCAACGTCGAGGACATCGAGCTCGGCCTTCTTGACAGCGCTCTCAACGAGGCGGTTGAAGCCCTCGAAGACCTTGCGGCCAACCATTTCGTAGCGGACACGGTTGATGGTGCAGGAGAAGTCAAAGCCATCAGCCAGGCTTTCGACGGAGAACTGAGCGTTGGAGCCGATGGAGAGAGCTTTCTTTGCGGCCTCAGATTCGAGGCGCAGCTTCGCGAGGGAGCGGGCGTTGCCGCGGGGATCGACTTCGTGCTTCTTGATGAACTCCTTGGCGAAGTGGTCCATGAGGGCGTTGTCGAGGTGGACGCCGGCGAAGTCATAGTCGTGGACGGTGGCCAGGATGGTGTACATGCCGCCGCGCGAGGCGACGACGGTCACGTCGGAACGAGTGCCGCCAAAATCGGCGACGACAACAATCTTGTCGCTGATAACTGCCTCCTTACGGGCATCGTAGGCCAGCACAGCGGCGATAGGGTCCGAGATGAGCTGCAGAACCTCGAGGCCGGCAGCTTCAGCAGCCTTGCTCAGAGCCGCACGCTGCTTGTCGTTGAAGTTGGTGGGGACGGTGATGACGGTTGAGGTGACAGTTTTGCCGAGGTAGTCAGAGGCCGAAGTAACGAGGCGGCGAATGTAGCGGGTAGCGGTCTCGTCAATGGAAACAGTCGAGAGCTCAATCTCCTTCTCCTCCTCGTCTTCTTCTTGAGCCTTGTCCTGGACGGTGAAGGAGATATGGCCGGAGATGTCCTTGGGGTGGGCGGCGGCGTGGCAATGCGTGGGGTCGATCGACTTGAAGCTATATGGAGGGGTCAGCGATGCAAAATACGTCGTGGCGCCGGTGGTCGCGCGAGTATTGCATTGTATTGGGGGGTGTATCGACGTACTCCTTGCCGAGGAAGTCGCGGAAGTAGGCAATGGTGTTGTTGGGGTTGCGGACGAGGAATGCCTTGGCCTGGGCGCCGTAGTACTCGTCGCCGTCGACGTAGGAGAGGACGGTGGGAATTTGACGGTCTACGATATGGATCAGCATGTTTACAAGCAGAAGGGGAGGTAATCAGGGCAACATACCACCGTCCTCGTTGGCGATGACCTCAGCCTTGTCATCCACAGTGTAGGCAATGGAACTGTTGGAGTTGCCAAAGGTGAGGCCAATGACCACACGGTCGTTGGGGTCGACGGGCGCAACCATTGTGACGAGAGGGCTTAGGTAAAATTAATGTGAAGAATGCGAAAGAAGTAGGAAAGAAAAGCCAGCCACGGGAGAAGGAAAGACAAGTTGAAAAGTTGGAAGCAATGCGCAAGCCAAGAGGTGTAGTAGGGGCAAAGGAGGTTTAGCGAGGCAGGCAAGTAGGCAGTGATGGATGGTGGGGTCAAAAAATTTCAGAGCCGTCCTGCTTTTTTTCAACTTGGCTGCTTTTTGCTCTTTGGCTGGGCGAGTTGGTCGGGTCCACATTCAATTGCACCTTTTGGGTTATATCGATAAGCATCATAATCCAAGACAATTGCAGTGTAGAAAAGAGCTAGCATCGAGGAATCAAAAAATGAAAGGGGGGGATGATAGGCAACATAGAATTAACCTGTTTCGCGATTCATTTTCCAATTTTCGCAAACGGCTGCACTCTCTAGTCAAAAGCCAATCTCCGCCACATCTGTGTGGCAACTCTCAATATGATGGACCTTGCGCCAACTAAAAGTATGAAGATGAACGATTCGATAATTACATGTACCGAAAAGCAACAAGTTAATTGATAAAACATATTTTCGGTACAATAAATTTACAAAAATCCCAGGATCTAACTAAAAAAGCATTAACTGCGACGTCCCACATTCTTATCAGTGAGTGACTGTACCACCAACACAACTCTTTTCTCGCCCACTTTATCGATAAGCCTCGCATTTGCACTCTCTCCATTCAAACACCACCTCAACAACCGACAACCACATACACCAGCAGCCATGGCGTCGCACATCATTGTCCTGCCGGGCGATGCTATCGACGATGACCTGATACCGACACACCCTCGCAAGCCGCTCCGTCTCGGCCCCGGGCTGCGTCACGACCCCGCGACCAACTCTATCCTGCCAACCGTCGCGGGGCGACTCGTCAGCGACCACAACAAGAACTTGATCCGCGTCGAGACATCCACCGGGAGGGTACGTATCGCAATTCTACCGCTCCCAGGCCCGCCCAAAAAAGAGAGAGATCAAGAAGAGAAAGGCTGACTTGCTGGCTGCAGTACCTCCCCCGCGTCGGTGAGCTCGTCATCGGCACCGTGCACAAGTCCGCCGCCGACGTCTACTACGTGCACCTCTCCGACCACTCCGCGCCCGCCACCCTGCCCCAGCTGTCCTTCGAGTCCGCCACGCGCAAGACGCGGCCCGTGCTGGCCCCTGGCGCGCTCGTGTACGCGCGCGTCGCCGCCGCCGACCGCCACATGGACGCCGAGCTCGAGTGCGTGTCCTCGACGACCGGCAAGGCCGACGGCCTCGGGCCCCTGGTCGGCGGCATGCTCTTCGCCGTTTCCCCCGGCATGGCGCGCCGGCTGCTGATGCCCGGCAGCGGCGCCGGCGGCGTGGTGGTGCTGGAGGCGCTGGCGGCGGCGGGCTTGCAGTTCGAGACGGCGACGGGGAGGAACGGCCGCTTCTGGGTGGACGCAGCGAGCGTGAGGACGGTGCTTCAGGTCGGGAGGGCGGTGCAGGTGACGGATGAGGAGGGGCTGGACGCGGAGGCTCAGCAGCGACTTGTCAAAAAGCTGCTGAAGGAACTAAGCTAGGCGGTTGGAGGGACGATATCCTAGTGGCAAGGGAAATAGATTTATATATGTATATAGTTTATGCGGAGTTGTATCACGATGAAGATGCGGGCATGCAAAGAAACAGTCATTTAGGGCAAGTGATCGAACGTTAGTGTTGTTCCATAGAGATGTATTGGTTACTCAATTGCCAATTGCACGCTGTATCAATGCCCAAAAAAAGAAATGAATGCAGCAGCACCGTTATCAGCCGCTTTGCTGGTACAGATTTTCCTTGCCGAGTGATTTTCAACCTGTACTCTTTCCAAAGCAAAAAACGCCAAGCCAAGATTTCCCATGCCATGCCAACCCAAACCCCAGGTTTCCGCTCCCAAGCCATAAAAATGCGAAATGGTTGAAATAAAAGTGTGTATGTGTGTCTGTGTGTATATGTACAGATCCGAAGACGGACAAGTTTACAAGTAAATGGCAAGCTGCCTCATAGCCAGGTAGCATCTGCTCAAAGGCACGGCCATGGCAATGCAAACAAGAGTTTTGCAGGAGATCTAAATGTGGTGAGAACGATCCGGTCCCTCGCAGACTGGCAGCATCACACGCCCGTCATCTCCGCATCCACCTCGACGGGTAAGGGGAGTTGCTGCTGCTCGAGGTTGTGAATCTTCATCATGTGGCGCTTCCAGTTGTCCTTTCTGGGAAAGGCCCTACCGCCAAACTTGGAGTAGTCGCAGCCCTCCATCGAGCAATGGAACTTCTTCTTCTTTTCATGCCTATCGTTGATGTGACGCTGTAGATGTGTCTTGGTGCCGAACCCCTTTCCGCAGGCGGGGTACGGGCATTTATGGTCCTTGCTGTGATAGCGCTGATGATGCCTGCGCTTGATTAGAAGAGAGAAAGTGGCATAGGGAGGTCTCAGGAACGTACTTTAGCTTATGTGGTTGGTCAAAGGACTGGGTGCAGCCAGGTTCATCGCATTGGTACATGCCGTCCTGGTTCTTCACTGGTGAAGGCATGTGGTGCGCGACGACTCCCGGGGAAGCGCTGTGGCGGAAGTCGGAGCTGTTCTGAGACTCTGGAGATGGCGTGTCCAGTTGTGTTGATGGCGTATTCTGTGACGAGGCGTCGGTGAACCCCGGGCCTGGGAGGGGAGTGGAATGCTCGGATGGAAAGCTTGGATGGCGGCCAACAGGCTTGATATTGTCTGCCTGGAGATGGCTGTCTTCTCCTGCGACGGCCTGGTTCTGTTCGAAACGTTTATTGTCTGGCATATTCTGGTGTGCTGAGCCCATCTGAACGTCTGGCGAGCTGGTCTGGTTCGTGCTGTCTGAGGGTTTTTCCGACTCCGCCGGTGGTTGAAGCGGTTGTGGAGGGGGCGTCTCATTCGACGAGGCGTAGAGTTGATACTCTGTCCTGTGCCACTGTTCTGATTCCGTGCTTGGTGCCATGATATCCATGGGATTCACCGTTCCCGGCGCCGGGTTGACCGGCGGTGATGGCGACTTGAGCAGAGTTCTCGGTGAAGAAGTGCTCGACAAGGCAGCGTCAGGGGGCTCCGCGGACGGGCCTCTTGGTGTCACAGATGGCGGTATGCCCACGGCAGGAGATCGCGGCTGCGGGCTAGCGCGCGGCGACAGCTCCGTGGGGGACTCGGCCATGGGCTCCTCGGCGGTGATGATGCGCTGTAACGGTGTCGCGCCTTGGTCCGCCCCATCGCCGGAGGAGGACCCGACGGAGCTAAAGGTCGGATTCCTGTCGCTTTTGCGGCGAAACATGTGGCGGACATTGTGTGAAAGTGAGCTGGCCCTCGAAGTTGTCCTGGGTGGGAGCGAAAAGGGTTCGTCGGGCATGCCAAAGGCCGATGACGGGATCGAGGCGCGGTAGTAGTCTTCACTCGTGCCTTTCAGCACACCGGGCTGGTCGTCGATGACCATCTCCTTGGGCATGTATTCGACGGTACCCCGCGCGGTCTTGGGATCGTAGCGGCCAAAGTCGAGCAGGACCCTGTCCGGGTTAGGCACGCCATCCTGCTGCGGCTCGGCCTCGTCATCATCGGCGCCGGCAGCGGCGGGATCAAAGTCGTAGCCCCGCGACAAGGTGTTGGCGTGTTTGAGGGAGTCACTCGAGGAAATTCGCGGGCGAGGGCCGTCGCCCGCATCGTGGCCAATGGCACCCTCGTCATCGAGATCGAGAGGGTGCCGGCCAAGGCGTCTGTCTCCCTTGCGGCGCTTGAGGCAGCCGACGATGACGGGGTAGAGGCACAAGGCGAGCAGCAGCGAAAAGATGACGACACCAACAGCGACGCCGGCAACGGTGCCGTCCGCTAGATCTCGCCTCGTCCAGCGGTGTTTGTGTGATGGCTCGACCGCCGCGGGCGTGGTCGAGGCGGTGTCGGGGTCGGGGTCGGCCGCCCATGGCAGCAGCTGCTGCTGCCGCCAAAAGCCAGGCGGGCCAGGCATTAGTCGAAGAGCGGCTCTTGATGGCCGCCAGTGGGTTGGTTATTGATGATCGGTAAGTACACGGAAAAGAGTAACGGAATGGAGAGTTCCCGCTTGCGAGTTTAATTAATGACGGGGAATTAGGTATCCCAGATTTGAATTTCAAAAGGTCGATTGCGGTGGCTGCGACGGTCAAAACGCGCTTGAGGGGGGCCGGCCTTCGCTTCGCTGGGGGAGAGGCCAAACGAGCTAAAATTGGAGGCCGCCTGAACAACCTTGAAAATATGCGACGGGGGCGGAAAGGAGCAGCAGAGAGGGTCAGCTGCAGCGACCAAAGTGAAGGATCAGGGGCGGACAATGCCGAGCGCAGGTTCTTGAACTTCGTCGCAACCTGGATTGCCGGATGTTCTTCATGGCAGAGTCAGAATGAGAGCGTGAGAAAACGAATAATGGCTTTGATGGCCAAGATGACGGCGGCTTCCTGTTTCCTGGGGGGATGGTGTCAAGGATTGTGGCTCTGCCAGCCATGAAAGTGAGTTACGGCGGGGCTGAAGTACCAGTACTAAATTTGTGACTCTACAATAGCGTATCTCTAGCGAAGTGCTGTAATATCCAGGTAGAAGTACCGCAATACCTATGTATGTATGTACGTACCTAATTATAAACTTTGATTCCCTCACTGCCAACAAGCCACAGATTAGCCTTCCTCAGATATGTGTCTACCATCCTTAGTCAAACCCCCCAAGCTGAGAGTTCAGCGCAGTATGGAGCCATGGTTGTGAACCGCACTTTTACGGCTGAGCCATTGCGATCATCACTTACTTATTAATGGCAACCAGGCAATTTCTCGCCCCTATCCAGCTCTTCATTAGCATGGGAATTGTTTCGAAGCCTACGTCGCGACATCAACGTCCTGGGTCTGCACAAACGCCCAAACGCTCACCCAGCAGCTGGGAATGAAGGGCCCATAACGAGTGCAGCGCCGATCAACCACTGGGAATGAAACTCGAATGTTTACGCTAGTCAAAAGTTATCCTACAAACACCCTCGCATCTCACTCAATCAACGCCTCGGACCGGCGTACGGGCCGGAAGCGAGCCAGCTCCCCGTCCGCCAGCCGCGCCACCAGATCTGCCGTGTGCGCCGCGGTCGGCCGGTGAGAAATCGCCAGGACCGTGCACTGTCCAAACACCTCCATCATGACCTCCTGCATCCTAGTTTCGGTCAGCTCGTCCAGCCCTCGTCCACCACGACAATCCGCGAGCCCACGCTCTGGTGGTGCAGTATGGCTCTGCCGAGCTGCAGCAGCTGCTTCTGCCCTTGCGACAGCTCCATCTTGCCCATGTCGGCGTCCAGGCCGCCGCGCGCCTCTATCAGGTTCCACAACCCGACCTTCTGCAGGATGCCGATGAGCAGCCCGTCGGTGACCTCGAAGCCGTTTAAAAAGGTCAACGGGTCAAACGGGTTGAGGTTATATCGTATTGTGCCCTTGAACTGCACCGCAGACTGGGGAATGGTGGTGATGCGCGTTCGCAGCACATCTCGGGGCGTGATTCTTAGTTCTCGATCGTCGATGCTGATGCTACCGGAATACTGAATCAGGTTCAGAAGCGCAAGCAACAACGACGTCTTGCCGCTAAGAAATTCATTTGTCAGCACAGTCATAATGGTCCTATAGACTGCCGGCCTTCTTACCTTCCCGTGCGACCCGCAATGACAATCTTCTCTCCTGGCCGCACTTGGAGCGTGGCATTGTGAAGTGCGGTATATGGCCTGGGGCCGTTGACTCTGTCACCTCGCGCATTAGCAGGGGCAATATCGAACATGAACTTGTGCAAGGAAACCAACTGATAAGTCGCATCAACACAGTTGAAGTCAATCTTGCCATAGCGCGGCCAACCGTCAGGCAGATCTGGACCCGGCATGCACGGCTCTTCCACAGGCGTGCTAGTAGCAAAATCTCTCACGCGCGCTACTCCTCCGAGGCACGTCTCCGTTTCCACCCAGGTTTGGATGAATAGGCTGGCGGTTTCGCTGAAAGTAATGAGACTCAAAAAGGCCAGGCCCATGGCGGTATCCGAAGTGTGCGAAGTATATTTCACGGCCAATCCAACAACGGACACGGCTGCTACCGTCGTGACCACGTCAAGCGTCAAGATTAACCATTGCTGTACACAGAACAAGGCGTAGAATGGTTTCTGCGTCTCGTCCAGGACGGTGTTGAATTCTTGTGTGAGAGTAGGTTGCCAACGGTAAGCACGGATATGGACCGCTCCGGATGCTGATTCTGTAAAATGCTTGTACAGGTTCTTTGACGTATCCAGCTCCAGGATTCGCAGCTGTCGCGATGTCTGGAGGTAAAAGTGCTGTATTACGCCCACTACAATGACGATAAAGGGCAGAATTGGCGCCGCAAAACTTGCACCAGACGCGATGATTGCGATATCCATGAGGACGGTAAGCCCCATCCAGCTTGCCGGCAGAATGGCCAGAGGCAGTCGTTGCGAGATCAAAGTCATGTCTTGGCTAAATCGATTTAGCAGCGCACCGGCGTCTTCTTGGGACAAAAAGTCCAACGTGGCCCTGGAAGTGGTGTCGGCCAATTTCCAGTGAAGGGACTTTGACGCGCTCGGGTTGACGAGGTAGAAGAAGGCAGAACTCGCCATCATGTTGAACACCGGGTTCGCGACGCTGAGTATTGCAAAACCAACAAAGAACAACGGATTGTTCGGGGCTCGATCAAACCACAGACGTCCAAAGATGAAGGGCATCTTTTCCGCGACGGCAGCAATCACAATCAGGGCGAGCCAAAACGTTAGACACTGCCATCCAGCGGGACTCAGATAAAAAGAGTACAGCGAATAGTCGCCGTACTTGCGAAAGGGCAGCGTGGTGGGCTGTGCCTCGGTTGCAGCAACGGCAGGAGCTTCGTTCTTTTCATCCGCGACGGACGGTGGAAGGATCCTTTCACGCTCTGCCATCACACTAGCGGGGATGCAAGACGGGCTGATTTCGCGGCCCGAGTTGGATATTTCCCGTACGTGGCCAGTGTGGGTGATTCCCAGAGCAAGGGTGGCGTCCACCAGATGCTCTGTCGCGTTGGTTGTCATAATCAGCGTGGTAGAGTTTAGGATGGCCGTCTGTGAGAAGAGCCTAACACGGATATCGGAGGATGTCTCCGCGTCGAGAGAGCAAAACACGTCATCCAGAAGCATAATGTCCGCCTGGTCATAGACGGCGCGGGCCAGAGCTATACGCTGCTTCTGGCCACCGCTCAAGTTTCGACCATCACTACCACAAATAGTCAGGATTCCGTTAGGCAAGCTGGCCAAGTCCGCATCCAGCGCGCAGATCCAAACGACTCGTCTCAGGAAATGCATCGTACACATTTGCGCCAACGATATTGTTCTCGATTGTGTCATTGAGGATCCAGGGTACCTGGCCGCAGTACGAGACGGAACGACTCCCAAGTTTGATGACTCCTCGCCGGGGCTCAATTTCACCGAGTATCGTTTTGAGCATTGTCGATTTTCCAGAGCCAACACGACCAAAGATCATCGTCATGCTTCTCCGTGGTATCTTTACCGACACCTCCCGTAGTATGGGGGCAGATGTGTCCATGGTCACCGACACATCGCTCATCTCGACGGCAAAGCGAGGCTGCCGGCTTCTCCGTCGGTTACGGACCGTTCCTAGGCCCTGATCAGCGGTCCCTGTCGACAGCACACTGTCCAGGCTAGAGATAGAGCTCGGCCTCGAGCCCAAGCTCTGCTCGGGCTCGAATTCTCGAGTGTCACTAGGCTCCCTCTTCAGCAAGTACTGCTGAATTCGTGATATGGACGCAAAGCCGGTTGACCAAAAGGATATGGAACTGAGAACGGCAGCCAATGGGTTCGTCACCATGGTGACGACTGCAAGGATGGTAAAGAAGAGTTCAACACTCAAGGCGCCGTCGCGGCGCGTCCAAAAAATGGTCGCAGCTACCACAACTGCAGGCGTGACTGTTTCGACAAAGGCAGAGAGCGCAAATACTCCGGAAAGAGTCGCTCTATCGCGAAGTGAGGCTTTAACCTCTGCGTCATGCATTTCATGCAGATTCCTTGCCATTGCTGGTGCCAGGCCCATCATTTTCACGTCCTTTAGCTGCGCCAAGACGTTGGAGGTGGCAGCCACGCGAGACTCGATGTGCTGATTCCAGTTGATTCTTGTGCGCGACATGATTCTAGCCAATTGTGAGGAGCAAATAGCAGCAACTGGCACGTAGGCGTCAGCAATATTCGCAAAGCCACCCAGGGAGAAAAAGGCTTACTTACTAATAGCAGGTATCAAAGTAAAGACGCAGGAAGGACGAATAAATCTGCCGAGAATGCCGATGCCACTTCCTATTTCCAGGAGGCGTGCCCAACTCTCATAAGATAGCGTGATGAGTCTTTCAACACCATTCACGTCGGTGCTCATGAGCGTAACCGCTGCAGCACTGGCCAAGTCATCGGCGCCGAGCCTCAGGCTTTTGCGGTAAATGGCGCCAATGAGAATGCCACGGACGCAGGTCATGATCTGGTTCTTGTAGTGGTTGTACCAGCCTCGAGCAACCTGCCATGTGTTAGTGCGCACACCGATAAAGATCTGGCAGCATCTCGAAGGGTGCTTACTCCCTTGCAGAAGAAGACGAGCGCAGCGGCGCCGATGAGTCCACTGGCGGCAGCCGGATCCGGGGCTTCTTCCGAAATAAACCTCACCACCTCCTGCAGCAAGAACGGCTGCGCATACGAAAAACCAATGTAGAACAGCCTAGGTGGGATGATCAAAACGAAGAGCCAGGGCACGGTACAAAGGCATGCAATGAGGAGCGCATGCTTGGACTTGTGCTTGTCACCATTCTCCCAGATGCGACGAAAGTCAGTCTGGAGCTTTTCAGAGTCAAAGTGCGGGTCAAGGTTGCCGAGTGTTTTCTGCGTAATGTTTGATCGGAATCCTATAAGCAGGGTGGCATTGACCCAGAAAAAGATCGACCTGTTCCAGAATCCGGCGACGGCTTCGTGGCCCAGTGATAAGCGCAGGTACTCGGCTCGGATGAGCGAGCGCTTGGAAACCTCCTCAAGAACCACGAGGGCCAATTTGAGGACGGGGATCGGAGCATGAACTCTGGCGAGGGTCGCGAGACAGTTCCGATTGAAGTAGGTGCGGGTGATGGCCACGTCAAAAAGCAGGGAGACGCTGAGGAACAGGCCCAGGAATCCAGGTGAGTGCAGGAAGTATACGTGGCCGACCAAGACAATGACGATGATGCACGCGGCAGAGACGCAAGACATGATGCCGGCCACCTTTGCGAGGGTCGAGTCGAGGGGCGAGTTGCACCACAGGACGGCATTGGCAATGTGCAGGCCCACAAGAGCCGCAGCGAGCGCCAGCTTGGCCCAAAGTAGACTACCACATCTTACACAGGGCTTGCCTTTCCATAGCTTGTGTAGATAAAGGGGAACGACGAAGAGGATGAGGCAGGCGGGGGCGAGCTCGAAGATGGCGTGCTCAAAGAGCAGGGTGAAGTCGAAATGGCCAAACAGCCGGGGGCCAAAAGTCTCATCCATGTCCGAGGACATGATCAGACAGTTGCCGCGGTTGGCTGGGTGGTCACTCTCGCGCGCCTGGCGAGGAGGGGAGGAGGGATAAGGGCTGGCATAGGAGTAGAGAGGGTGAGAGGGAGAAAGAAGGCGGAAAGAGGTTTATGATGCGATGCGTTCTCTCGGGCCAGGGTAAGGCAGGTTGTTCTGTACTTGAACCAGGTCGAGAAACATTGTGAACCAACGCTTGCGGGGCTGCCCGAGATGAGCCAGACTGGGGAAGAAGCCGAACGGATTGGCAAATGGCTCCTTTCGGCCTTGGTCACCCGTCACCTGCCTAGTCGGGGGTACGAATGGTAAAGAAGAAGACGGACTTCTGCCAGCCTGATCGCGAGTTGGCCCCCAGCCCAGGACTGTCATCGAAAGCGGGCGACGCCAGGCAGAGCAACAGACACTCGCAAGAAGTAGCTCCGGAGCTCGCCCGGGGAAGAGTTGCTGGATCTGCGGAAACTAACTAGTTGATAACCTATGGTCAGGAAGACAAATTGTTGCTTGCCGTTATTGATCCGTCCCTTATTATTGGGGGGGCGAGAGAGGGGGGGCGAGAGAGGGGGGGCCTTATCGACCACGGAGTACCTATCCTTTCGACACACTTTTGTACCACGACGACTACCAACGACGACACCACACCAGCAAAAGCCTCTTCTTTCAAAATGGCAACCTGCGGGCTTGTGCAGCAGGCAGCCCGCAGTGCAGCAGCCCGCAGTGCGGGGGTCTTTCTCGCTTGGCTGTTGAAAGGCAAGATGGAGGTGCACTTGAACTCTCGCCGTCGAGTTGCCCTTTTCGATGATCTGTCCAGCCTGGGTCCGTCCAACCCCAACGGCAGTTGGTTGCATGGTCAGCATCAGCACAAGAAAGGCAGCTTCCAACTAACTACCAACAAGGCATGGCTCAACCGGCCAGCCCGGCGTTGCGAGCGATTGATGGGGCGGAGCGGCTTCCGTCCCGTCCGCCGATGAGGGGTGATAAGTTGGGCGCTAGGTAAGTTATTTGGTTGGCCAAGCTCAGATCAAGATGCAACAACACCCTGGTCATGTGTCATGCCACTGACCCGTACTACGACTGAATAATGCAGCGGAGGTTGAGTATTTGGCAGCCTGGCCGTACCATCCCTCTCTCCTTCCCTCGGCTTCATTTGTGTTTATTATTCGTTTGCGCATTTATCTAACCATTGCGTAGACTCCATTCGATTTGAATTCCGCTCTACTATAGATCCCCTGTCAATTCATCTAATGTCTCACTATCAACAAGAGCAGGCAGGCACGCTCGCCGCAGCACAGGGGAGCATCCGTAATGCGCGTTCATGTCTTGACGATTCACAAGCAAACAACCTCGTTTTTACGCTCCCAACGTCTGCGTCTTGTCAGCGGCCAACCTCCTCCTCGTAGGCCTGGTTCATCTGGGGCTGGCAACCGCCATCTGAGCTCTCTCGAGCAGGTTACTGCCCAAGTTGAATACTATACCCATTTGTCAGCAGACGCTGGGCCGGGAAAATTGTGCTGAAATGTTGACGCACCTGGAAAGGCCTGGACGGCGGCGAAGCTGGCCAGGGCCGCGAACAGTGCAGCTTGCGGGATCTTCATGGTCCAACTCTGGGGATGCGCGCGGCAATTTTTCCTGATATGTATAAATGGATGTAGGATAAAAATAAAGTTCGTGCCTGCACTTGCTGCTGCGAGGTATGGTGGACGGAGGTAGCTCATCGGGGTAGGCCGTTCTGGACTTTTGGCTTCTTTTATCGCCGAGGAGTCAGTTGCCAGGCTGGTCTGAACGCTGACTGGACCAGCCGGGCGTCAAGTGCCCCAACAAAAGATCACATCGCGGCGCGCACTTAGGTGATCAAAGACACCATTTCAGAAGCATCATTAGTACAAGTGCGGATAGTCACAGTGTTACTTGCGTTGTGAAAAGAGGGGTCTGCATGAAGCCGTTTCCGTCGCTTGGAAGCCCGCAGCCTTGCTACTTGGCATGCCCTGCTTACAAGCATGAAAATTCGAGGTACATTCAGGGCTTGCGTCAAGCTGTGATGGACGAGAGGGCATCTTGGCCAACTCAGGCCAGGTAGCTCTCCCCGTTGCCACATTGGCGACCAACTGACCAGTTGGCCATCCAAGATACGGAGTACTTGGGAGATACTGGCGGTTTTAAGACAGATAAGGTGGCGCCTCCTTCAATCCTTCACCCCTCCCCCGCTTGCAAAAGTTCCTCCAACCTGTAGGGCCAGTTTGATAGCCCATCGGTCTTTGCCAGGGTGACTGTTCTACATTGGCTTTCGCTATCCACTGGACCCCTTTACTGTCAGAAAAGTTGCTCGAACAGAGCGTCTTGTGATGTTTATGTGGCCAATCTCAGTCTCTAGGGGAGAACTGTTAAGCTTAGGATTGGAACCTTAAGGTTGGAAGATGTGAACCAAATGACAAGTAGTAGTAAGCTTGCCAAGAGACTCACCATACGACTGGAGTCGCCACTGTTCAACGAAATTCGTGCCCGCCCCCCAACACCCTCCGACACAAGTACACTGCAAATGTCTCAGTAACCGAAAGCGCGGGCATATATCTGGAAACCTTCCACGCATTCTGGCTCGTCCACAAATTGTGGCATGTAGTCCTTTGCCCACTCTGAGGCTAGATCAGCTGTACAGTCGGCTTTGCAGAATTCCCATTAGTCCGGATACCATCCAGATTTCTGCCAGTCTACAACAGATACGATACGATGGGGCTCTCCCTGAGATATGATGAAAGTTGGAGTGCGTGAAAACGATCTCGGCGTCGTCCGGTAGGCCTTGTCGGCACGGATCCGGCATGTCGGCCGGGTCGACACCTGGCCAATGCTCACCTTTCTCTGTTGTCAACATCGTGGAAAGCCAGCATTAAGCTCTTTCACACTCGTAAAAGGTCCAGCGCGTGGTAGAACTCCATTCGTAAAACTATATCGGAGAGAGTGTCGCGATTTACACGGCGTTGGAGTGTCAGTAGGGAACAAGACGGTCCTTCGGTGGCATCATCGTACTGAGAAAGGGTGTGTCGTAATGCTCATCGACCTTGTCTCTCGGTAACTCTTACCTTGTGCGCGGCCGAACTTGACAAGTAGGCCGAGTTTTTAATTCTCATCGTGTAGACGTTGCAAGACGCATCTCCATCGCAAAAGAGTGGCATTCAGCCAGTGGGTGATGGGAGCATCCCATCGTTTTAACATAAGAGAAACTTCCATGCATAATTTTCTTTTTCTCCTCCTCTACCTCGAAATTTTAATTATCTTTGCAATAATTTGTCGTGGTCGACTCATGCCGCATCAATTCAGTATCCCAACACAGCCAGCGGCGGATAACACCACACCAGATGAAACTCGAACTCTCGAAAGGTGCAAGGGAACTGAGAAAGATATAGCAGAATTTAGAAAATTAAGCAGTGCATTACATCAGAAAAAAGAACTGGGTGCAAAGAAGAAAGGGCAACCACCAACCCGTGAGCACGGTACGGGAACCTTCAGCAAAGAATGAAAATTCCATGTCTTGTTAGTAAAAGCCATTCAAATCTAGTATATACAATGCGCTTCGTTGGCAGTCATAAGCCTCGGAATCATGCGTCATTATCACGTAGTCACTAATCCTCATATTCGCTCTCGTCAGCACTCTGGCTGACGATATCGCCGTGAATCGCATACAGCGCCCGAATCCAGGCATCAATCGCCTCGCGCGCGTGCTCTTTCTCCTCTGTCGGCTCTTCCTCCAGCCGCTCTCGCAGCCGCTCGTACGCCTCAATCATAACCCAGACCTGCAGCCCGGCCGCGGACGCGCCGTCGCCACCGTCCCCTTGCTGTCGCCGGCGGTCGCCGGCCAAGGCCCTCGACAGCTCCTTGGTGAGGAGCTCAAGACCGATCTGTAATCGCAGCGATGCCGGTGCCGCGGGCTGCTCCCCGTCCTTCTCCTCGTCATCGCTCGTCTCAGCTGGCGTTGAGCTTGAGCGGGTCAGAGACGGGCAGCTGGCGTCTACCTCCGAGCCCGGCAGCGCTCCGTCGTCTGACGCGGAAGACTGCGTACGGCGGTGATTGAGATATGCGGCGGCACCCAGGAGATGGCCATCCTGGATCTCAACATCTCGCGTGGCTGGCCGTTCGACCATACCTTTTCCCGACAGGTATGGCGGATCCACCTCCGGCACCTCAGCAATAGCCTCGTCAGGATACACGGCCAGCTCCCGATATTCCCGCGCAATGGTGCTCACGCTGGACATGCGGTTGACGCCATCCATGTTGCCGGTCTGGAAGGGGCCCTGGTTGCTCCGCCTCCGCTGGGCCGCCTCCAGCTGGCCGACATGGTGAACGGGCGTCTTGGCTCGGCGCCTCAAGGTCGAAACATGATCGACGACGATCGGTGAGGGCGGCGACGCCAGGCCGGTGGCGGCGGCGTCCTCGGAGTAGTAGTTTACGGCGGACAACTCGGGAATTGGCGGAGGCGGTGGGGCGCGGCTCGGGGCCGGCACGGATGCCGCACACCGCGGCACGGCAGCACCCGCCGGGCCCCCGTTTCTGCTGCCTGGCCGTGAGAGGCTGGCCGTCGCGCTCTGGGGCAGCGTCATCTCCAGCTCCCGGCGCAGCTCCGGGTCGTCCCACTGGTGCGACACGTGCCGGCGAGGCGGCGACGCCAACGCCGGCGCTGCTGTCTTGCGGCGGGGGGCGCCCAACGCGCGCTCATCTGCTCGCCGGCCAGCAGAATGAGCATCGACAGGTCACGCGGTGCGGTGGTGGTGGCGGTCGTATGGTCCGCGCAGCGCCGCGCGGTCGGGCTCTTGGCCCCGGGCCACCAGTTCTTCTGGAGCTTCGCCTTGGATGGCTTCAGGTTCAGGTTGCCGAGGTTGAGGCTGTCGGGGAGGCTGATGAGGGAGCGTCGGCGGTCGCTGGAGGGCGTGTAAGTGGACTCGGGCAGGGCGCCGGGCGGCGAGCCGGGGATGTATAAGGAGAGTCGTTGTCGCTGCTTAGGCATGGTGGTTAAGTGGTTTGTTGCACTGATTTTGTGAAACAAAAAAATTCAGATGAAAGAAGAGGAAAACGGAAGAACAGAAGCAGAAAAGTGAAAACGACTGCACTTGGAAATACGACGTGCTATAATAAGTAATACGAGATCCCTCCCATGCTGTCGTCGCCGCATGCGTCGTCACTCAAGCGCTGGTCCAAGCCACCAACCAAGGAGAGTGGCTGACGCTGCACCGCCTCACCCGATGAGGCCACCACCCAACCCGGACAGGCGGCATCTCATCGCTCCACCATTTCCCGCGAGACAAAACGACAAACGCTTCTCGAAAACAAATCCCATGGTTTCAAATACGGGATTCTGTCACGGCTAGGGTTTGTGTCACACCTTCCTCTCGCGATGATTTTCTGTATTATTCGGATGCCTTCACATCGCTAACAGACGGACAGGATATTTATAGACCTGATGGCTATGCAAACGAACCACGCTGCCAAGGCTGATTTGATGATGCTGGCTAGCGAGCTAAGCCTCCGCCAAAACCTGGCGGATCAACAATCAGAAAGCCGGCAAAGTCTGGATGAATCCACATCAGACGGGAGATGATCACAGCTGCGCGTTGCTTCTGCAGCCGTCGAGGATGGATGTTTGTTTAGCCGTCGATCTTGCGGCTGATGCTTCGAGCATCGAAAGTCCAGGTGTTATGGCTAACATCGTTGCCGCGTCACCAACTGCCAGGAGGCTGTCTTGAGGATATTGACAAATCACTCAGTGCCGTCAATTGAATTCCGCTGCTCCTTGGCCCGGATTCTCTTTCAAACATCACTCGTCAGCGTCTCGCAGAGACCAAAAGAACGTTCCGTACCCCAGCTTGACCGTGTACCCCACCATGTTGGTGGCAGGTGCCTTAACATCACCAAAACAGAGGACGGCCAACAGTCAGCTACGTCGCAGTAAATCACCAGGTTACCGACTGAAACTCTTGTTCACCGTTAGCCTTAAACAACATCCTCTCAAGTCAACCAGTGTGATGGATGTTAGCCAGGTTGATATAAAAGTCCTTGGAGTAGACGCGATCCCTTCATATCACACCTTACGCAGTCGACGAACTTGAGCAAGCATAGCAGCCTAAAACGCCGGCAAAGTTAAACCAAACGGACGCTCGGAGCTCGCCATGTCGACTTGAGATATGATTCGACGCAAAACGACCACCAGCCAGTTCAACAGCGGCGCGGACCGCCAACCGTGACGGACAAGAGGCTTCCTACCCTACAGGATGATGAATCTGCCGCGTGGGCCCCCATCCCCGGCCGGGCGGGTGCTTTGGCACATGGAAACAAGAGAGTCCGTGTCTCTTTAGAGTTTCAAGGCAGTGCAAGATTATGCACCTGACAACAACAAACCATTTCCCCGTTTCAACCGCTTTTCCCCCTCAATAGAGCTGCATGAACCGACGTGAGAGGCGCCATAACACACCCGCGACGGGCTATCATAGACGAAGGACTACGCTGTCGCTGAAAGCCTGGAATTAATGGCCCGGCCTCGGTAATACAAATCCGAAGCACGTCGGCTCTGTCAAAAACCAAATGCGCTACCAGCAACAGGAAGCAGGGAGACGCCGAGCCGCCGGCCTAGTCATGCCGAGAGCAAGTTGACAAGAGCAAGTTGGAGCCTGATGGAGCAGACGATGCGACGTGGTAGCAGAGGATACGAGATAGCGACCACCGGTACCATGGCCGACAGATAGTTTGGCACTGAAGAAGCCCTGTCCATGCCGCTGCCAAAAAAAGCATCATGCGTCAGCTGGCAATGCAATACTAATATGAAGAGGAATATATTGTCTCGGTTGCAGCCTGGTTCATTGTCTGCACGGTGACTCCTCACTCCTCATTTGAGCTCGTGGCAATTTAAATTGATTCGAGATGAGATTGCAGGGCTGGCAGGAGATAATTGTCCGAGCCCCGATTTGCCGCATCTCCGGATTGACCTTGATTTGTATAGGTTACATACAATGCAACGTCGACTCCTGCACTAGCACGCTCGAGGTTGCGACAGCGCACAGGCTACTTACGGAAAAGAAAGCCAGATGGAATGGAAAGGGGGGTGCGGGCTGCGAGATAAGGTGGCTGGGCACTGGTCAACTATCTACGAATGGCAACCACTAGGAACACGAGAGAGAAGAGAGAGAGCCTGATTCGAGATTTCTCACCCGCGGAGACATTTTCAGCGGCATAACTATTTTTGATGAGGGCCAGCCACAAAAAAACACCGCTTCGATCCCGCTGCAAAACGCAAGATGAGCTGGGGCAAAGAAAATACAGAAGCGGAGACAATTCAGGTACCAAAAGGCAAAGAGGCTTGGGGCTGTTGTGAGAAGCCACTCAGCTCGCGGGAAAGCAAGCTTGCCTGGAGCTGCAGCTGCATCTGGAGCTGTCGCGGTCCACGGGCAGCGTCGGATCTACCGTGCGGGTTCCCGATGGGCTGATATGGATGAAGATGACCAAACAGAATGGCGAGAAGAGCAAGTCTTGACCCAAGACAGGCCATGCGTTGCGTGCTTGACGACTAGTAAGAAGCGAGGCATGCCCAGGCCAAAGTCAAAACCGCTAGTGTCGTGCTATCATGCCAGTTTGGGCAGTTCGGTGCTAGGCACTGCCCTATGACGTCTGGGAATGGGAAAAATTTTCTCAGGTACCGGTGTCTCGTTTGGGTTGCTGTGGTGCCAGCAACGGAAATGGCTTGGAGTGCTGACAGGGGCCTGTCGCGCTGGAGAGAAAGGGAGAGCGCGTGAGGGATTTCTCACCGGGGATGGATGGGCGATGGATTGACAGACAACAGGCGAACAGACACGAGCAGCACGGCACGGCACGGATATGCACTTGATGTGTGATGGCAACGGCGACAGACAGGGGGTTGAGGGAGGTCAAGGAGGCCAAGGAGGTCGAAGGTGTGGTGGCTGGAACGAATTGGGCAAATCGCCAACAATCTCTGCAGAGCTCGATGACGGGGATTCCAAGACATGTTCTTCGGGTAGGCTGGGTGTGTGTGTCAGCCATGCTTTCAGCGATGCCACTGCCACTGCCATTGGCCACCGTCAGCTCTACCAGTATCATACATCAGCAGAGCAGCGAGCGACCTCTGTCAGGGGACAAGACAGTAGAACAACAAGGCTGGGTGGTTCGTCGGAACGCGTCCCCGCCTTGACAAGATTGACAGGAGGGAGAGCTTGTATCCGTGCCTGGTATGGCTTGCTTCAAGCTTTGCTTTGCTCTGCCTTGCTAACTCAGGTGAAATTAAACGGGGACCGAAATTTTACAGCTTAGGTGGAGTCTCAAGAGGCTCGTGGAGACGTTGGTCTTCTTTTTTAGCCGTCCACATAGTCCACCAGTCACCGTCGTCGAGCGGCCATTCACAGTCATTCCCATTGTTCCGGTTTGGGCAACTTGGTGGGCAGTGAAAGGTAGGTCCATACCCAAGTTCCGCCAAGGGGCTTGGCTCGCCACCCGAAGAGGTACAATCACGATGACTCCGAGATGAATTTTTCGCCTTTTGCCTTTTCTTCTACTTGGTACCAAGCAAGGAGTTCAAGGATCGTAGCATGGATCCTGCAGGTTGGCAGAGTGGGAGTCAGGCTTGGGGACACAATCAGGCAAATCAGGCTCAGGCAATTTACCCATGGGCCGTTCTCGATAATATGGTCGACAGCCAAGGATCCACCAGGAGGACAAAATAAAGGACAAAAAAGGAAAAATGGAGGAAAAAATTGCTCGTATATTGGCCTGCCTGGTCCAGCCGCCTCCACCGGATAGCCAGGCACACACCCACAACGCCCACCACACCAAGACATCGTGTGCCCAGTCATCTTGCCGGAGTACGGATACATGCCATTGACTACTGGTATTGTGCCCTGACCACTGACCACTGGCGACCTGTGAGGACTAACTAACCAAGGCAAAAAGCAGGACCAGAGGATAACCAGTGGGCTGGGTGTGGCTCGTCATGTCACGTAATCCCGGTACTAACGAACTAGGCTCGCTCTTGTATTTTCCTATCAGCTTTGGGCTTGCTTGCCACCGGTGCTGGTGCTCTCCCCATGCAGGTTTCTAATAATATCGCCCCTATTCGGACGAACCGAGCAAGTCTTTCTCGTCTCTCTCTCTCTCTCTTGAGCATATAAGGCGACGTGCCCACCCCCCAAGTGGTCAGCCCTTTCTTTCCTTTCCTTCCCCAACCAACTCACTCATCTTACATTCGCTTCTCTTCAGACTCTTGTCTACTTACATTCGCTTCACGCAAAACCACCAACCACCCACCTAATTCAAAATGAAGTTCTTCGTTGCCACCGCTGCCCTCGTCGGCCTCACTGCCGCTCACAAGAACGCCACCGGCACCGGCGAGGTCGTCTGGACCACCGAGGTTGTCACCGCCTACACCACCTACTGCCCGGCTCCCACCACCGTCGTTGTCAACAACAAGACTCACACCGTCACTGAGGCCACCACCCTCACCATCACCGACTGCCCCTGCACCATCTCCAAGCCTCACACTCCCACCGGTGGTGTCCCCGTTACCACCAACCCGGCCAAGCCTACCGGCACTGGTGCCATCCCTACCGGCCCCAGCACCAAGCCCACCAGCCCTCCCCAGGTTGGTGGCGCTGCCGCCGCCGTTCCCTTCGGCGCTGCTGCCCTCGCTGCCCTCGCCATGCTGTAAATAGCATAGTACTCTTTCCTTCAAAATGAGGACATGTTATGATTAGCGGTGGATTTAATACCTTTTTTTTTCTTGCATCAATATGCGGGTTCTGTTACTAGCATAGAGATGGTCCTCAGACGCTTTGTCGGATGACAAACTAATACAAGGGCTGTTTCACGATGTATATTCTTCTTTCTGGAGTCTGGATACCTATAGACTTTTGATATTTAATCTGAATCAATGGTAATTCTACATTCATATCGACTACCAATTCCAATATCTGACGACTTTTGTGACATGTCTGCTGAGATACAGATACAGAGAACTTTCTTTCTTTGCGAGCTGCTAGTTCGTGGTGCATGTGGGCGTGATACGAGGAGGCGTCCAATCAAGCAGCGCCATCCGAGATCAGCCCGTCCCTGCAGAGGTGCCTGATTGTCTCTGGTCGTTCGAGTGTGTGTGGGCAAGGCTCTTGTTGATTTCCAAGCCGGGGGGCTGAAATATATTGGCTGTATCGGTACATGCAGACGGCGCCCTCGTATCACACACACACAGACCAGACAAGACGCCTTGTTGCTGCTTTTTGTGGCTTGGGCTCATTCTCAAAGCAGGACACAAGAAAACCGTGGCTTGCATGAAAGAAACAAGAAATGTGCCCGACTTCGTGCCGTTCCTAATAACAATGCCACTCTTCCGGAACTTGCTTGGAAACCCGCTCAGGCACGCCAGTCTGTTCGGGAGTCTGTGAGCCCCCTCCCCCTGCAGCCCACGCGGTCAGATTCTGCCTTTCTGACCAGAAAACAGAGTTAAATGAAGGCCGCCGCGATTTCCCCGTTCTCGGAGCGTTGGTTGCTCGGCGACTTTCCCAAAGCGGACGGCGAGCGAGAGAGAGGACTCGCGCTGCTGACTGATTACGGATAACGATTTTTTTTCCTTCTGAGAGTAAGAATTAGTAAACCCCCCCCCCCGTTCAAACGCATTCGTGAACAAGGCTGGGATAACGCAATCCAGCTGGAGGACCGGGCGCGCGCAAACTGCTGCGAGTTTAGCCGGCCAGCCGTTATGCTTGTCGTACAAGGCTGAGGAGAGCTATAGATGATTCGCTATGAAGTTCTAATGACATGTTGGTATTAAACCTCGTCATGTAGGCAAGCACATTCTCCTGTAAAAGACTCACATATCATCATCATCATCATCATCATCATCATCATCATCATCATCATCATCATCCCCCCGTATTGTACAACATGCCCAAAACCATCGTAGTCATCGGCGCCACCGGCAACCAGGGCGGCTCCGTCGCCCGCACCTTTCTCCAGCTCCCCGCCGGCGCCGACTCGTGGCACGTCCGCGCCGTCACCCGCTCCCCCTCCTCCCCGGCTGCCGCCTCCCTCGCCGCCGCCGGCGCCTCCCTCGTCCGCGCCTCCCTCGACGACCCCGCGAGCCTGCGCGCCGCCTTTGCCGGCGCCCACGCCATCTTCGCCGTCACCGACCCCCTCGCCATCATCGCCAGCGGCGGCGACGCCCCCGAGGACCCCGAGGAGGTGATGGCGTGGGCGGGCGGCGCGGAGACGCGGCAGCTGAGGAACGTCGCCGACGCGGCCGCGGAGGTGGACGGGCTGGAGCGGTTGGTGCTGTCGACGCTGCAGGACGCGGAGCGCTGGTCGGGCGGCAGGTACAAGGCGGTGCACCACTTCACGGGAAAGGCGCGCGCGGAGGCGTACGTGCGGGAGGCGCACCCGGCGCTGTGGGCGCGGACGAGCACGTACCTGCCGGGCTGGTTCCTGCGCGGCGTGCTTCCCGGCGGTCCGGGCGCGCCGCAAAAGGTTTGCCCCCCCCTTTCCGCTTCCTGCGCGGAGATGCTGCATGTGTGCTGACGGGATCAGGCCGAGGACGGCACGCTGCTCTTCGCGCCGGGCATCGAGTCGGACACGCGCGTGCCCGTCTTCGCACCCGAGGAGGACGCCGGCCCGCTGGTGCTCGCGCTCGTGCGGGAGCCGGCGGGCGGCAAGAGGGTGCTCGGGCAGCGCGCGTCGATGCGCTTCTCCGAGTTCCTGGCGCTCTTCGCGGCGACGACGGGACAGAAGACGGGCTACGTCGCGTGGCCGACGGACGAGGAACAGCTTCCCATGCCAGTGTTCCTGAGGAGGCCGCTGGTGGAGATGTGTGCGTTCTGGGACGAGTTTGGCTACGTCGGCGGCGACGAGAGCGTGACGCTGCCCGAAGATGTGAGTGAACCCGGTCAATGATGTGGTGTGTTTCGTGCAATTCGCTGACGGGGTGGTAGTTGACGTATCCGCCGGTTTTCGAGACGGTCGCGCAGTACCTCGAGAAACACGACTGGAACTATTGATGGGGAGGAGACCGTGGAATGGGATTATGAAGTGAACAAGGCATGAGAAGTGTCGGCAACGGGACAAGGCAACGATGTAGGTATGGACGGGAATGCAACGCAAAGGAATTCAATTGTACATCTTTTGGATTATGAACAGAGCTTGTGCTGGCTCGTTGCATGGCTATGGATACATGATGACGGCGCAGAATGACACATGAAAAGGAAGCCCAGAGCTTCTCCGATGACCGGCATGCTCCCAACTTCTCGAAATCAAGCCAGGGCGGCAACGGCAGCCATGACGCAGGGGCCAAGAATAGCACCCACCGTCTGCATCGCTCCGGCCGCCGAGCTGGGGCTCGTCGTCTTGGCCGCACCGCTGCTGCTGGCCGCGCCGCTCGCCGAAGACGCCGCGCTGGTGACGTGCGCCGAGCTCGAGCCGCTGCCCGACGCCGTGCCCGTGTTTGTGCCCGTCAAGATGGTGACCGACGGCTTCTCCGTCGACGTCGCGCTCGCACCCGACGACGACGCTGGCGCCGACGCTGCGCTCGTAGTAGTGGACGACGACGCCGCCGCCGTCACCGGCTCGGTCGCCATGACCACGGTAGTCCCGGCGCGGAGCACGCCGTCGCCCAGCGTCTTGGGGTCAACGTACGACGGCTTGTACGTGTCGGTGCCCTTGTACTGCGGGCAGCCCGGGACGGTCGTCTTGGGCGGGGCACGGCCGCCGCCGCAGTCGAGGAAGGCGCAAACCTCGCCCGTGTCGGGCACGTAGTAGAGGCGGCTCGCGTAGTCGGCCTGCTGCGTCGGCCGGATGACGAGGTCGGTGTAGGTGCAGCCGGCGAGGTCGGTGCGGGCGAGCGCGGCGGAGGCGCAGAGGCCGGCGGCGATGGCTAGGGAGCGGAGGGACATGTTGGAGGGGAAGGAAGCGAGTGAATGCGGTAGGAAGGTTTGGTGGAGAGAGACGTGAGAGAAAGAACGAATGGAGGTGTAGAAGGAAAAGAATGACGAGGAGACGAGGGAGGTTGAATAGGGGCTGTTGGCCGGGCTAAATGTGCGTGTATCCGCCCAGAGCCTCATCTCAACGTTTAATCAACTTAGTGGACGCCACCATAGGCAGCAACACTACCCTTGGAAATAGTTGGCAGTTGTACGTTGAACAGAATCTTCTTCCTTGACATAATAGCCCGGCTGTAACGTTTCTCGTCGCGCTTGAATTGAAATTGTTCGACTGCTTCAGCGGTTCCCCTTGCTAGCCGAGCTTTTCGAACCAACTTGGAGGAACTTGAACTAGCAAGTTTAGTGGTTTGCTTTTGTGTGAGGCGACCGGTGGAGGCTGTCGACTTGAGCAGTTCAATGCTGTCACTGAAGAGGAAATACACGCTTCAGGGTCAAGTTTATCGATGGTTGCTCCGTGTCGCGTTCCACAGCTCAGTTAGATCGCGACCGAATCTGATCCGGCCCTCCTGCAGGGTAGCATGATGATGCTGGTGGCATCGACACAGCGCTACGCTGTAAAGACAGAAGAAAGATGAAAATAGATGCGAGATTGTGAACTGCTATTCCGAGTTTTTGATGAGCGCCTAAATCCAACACGGCTCTATATTTCCGACTTGCTCTGAGTTTGAGCTGCTGTTAGCAAGCTCGTGGCCGGACTGCGTTTGTCGGATGTGCTTCTCGCAAAACTGGTGAAGGCGCTGTTTGATCCCTAAATGCACAAAGCTTGGCCTGGATTTGGAGGTGGGCTTATACCACTCATCGTAAAAGGCAACCCCAGCACCGCTCGTATCATTCCACTCGGCAATATCCCTAGCGTTGGCTGGGGGCCGAGATGGAGTTTGGGAACAGACGCGGATAACTCTGCAGCGAGCGCGACGAGGGGAGGTCTTGAAGGCCCAGAGCTTGTCAGGATTGAATGCAAAGGAGGTTCGAGGCGGCGTTGACATTTTTTGAAGCGGTCAGACGCTCCCTTGAGAACGATGTTCAAGTTCACAGACAACTCAAAGTGAGCTGTGCTGGTAGACTGACACTCTTGACGGGCGGTAGGATGGAGGCGAGTCCGGGTGTTGCTCGAGGAGCAGAGAGGAAGAGGGAGATGAAAAAGAGCAACAAACGAAGAAAAAAGCTAGCAGTCGATAAATTTTTTTTCAAACGGCGAATCGCCAGTTTCTCCCGTTGGCTGCGGGTGAGTCAAAGTCAAGTCGAGTGACCAAGTAAGTGACAGCGCTGTCTTTGCGGCTCGACGTACATAAATCTCTACTGAGTCCACTATGTTTACAAGTACTTACAGTACGATAAACAAGTAGCACTATAAAGACAACCCCTTTTCACTTTCAGGACGACTCTTGTTTACTATTAGGGCGGCACTTTTTTGCTATTAGGACGACGCTCTTTTACTCTTTACCGTAGAGGCAAACGGATAAGACAAGCTGTTCAAAAAGGCTTCTATAAAGAGAAATCACCCAAGTGTGAAAACGAACGTGTTCACCGAAATGCCGTACACGTGGACCTGGAGGAGGCCGTTTCAAGATTTCACCAGGCGTAAACCGACCAACAGACACAGCCGCCCTGCAAACGCGTGCCAGACGCAGCGCAACAACACTTGACAGGCATAGAGCTCGAACAACTTCATCTTTTCTTTTTCAATTTTGCTTGAGTTTCCATCAAATAATCTATTTCTTACATCCTGGTTCATCAACAACTAAGAACCTCCAAAGACGCCCCAACCCAAGCGGCCGCTTCCCACATCCATCCGTCCGTCCCACCGGCTCGCGTGCGGTGTGCCTTCTCCTCTGCTACTCGACCCGTTCTGCAGCTGCTCGGAAGCTCTATCGTGGGCCACCAAGTCCTCTTCCACATACTTCCCAAGACCTTGTTCCCCCCTCGCCCTTTTTCGAAAACGCTCCTCCGAAGCGACCGGCCCGACCGTCGAGCCGCTTCCAACCCTCTCGGTCCGTGCGGAAAAATCACAAGAGAGCCCAAAAAGCAGAGTCCTCAAGACCATCGCCACTGCGGCTCCCAAAGCAGCCTCTCCGTGCTGGTCGCCAAGTTCCGCGGCGCGCGCCGCGGCACTCTTCCTGTGCGGGTGGGCCGTCGAGTCGAGTCGGCGCTGCGCAACAATATCCGTTTAGATGGATAGGAGCTGAGAGCGTGTCGAGAATTCTAATAGGGCCACAAAAGAAATGGCCCATCGTCACGTACTGTGCATCTGTGTAAGTCGAAGCCAGCTGGACCAACAACCCCCAAACTTCGAGAGTACGTACTGAAGAGTGAGCCTTGGTGCACTGCGTGTCTAGATGCAAAACTGGAGAGACGTGTACACGAAAAGCCCGTGAAGAGGTTTACAGCTGAGGCAGCGAGGACAACTGGGCAAGGGAAGTAAGAGCTGAGAGTCAAAGCCTCAGTGGGATAGGCATATCATAAACTACAAGCAAAGACACCGTCGCCCGTATTTACGCAGGGCCTTTAAACACCGGGCTTCTAGCCTCTCGGCTTTTAGACACTCGACTTCATCGCATGGCGTCATAAACACCGCACTTGTGATCAACCCGCAGGCATCCAATGTCACTCGCTTGCTCCCCTCCCCTCAATTTTTGCTATTGTTTCTGATTCAGAAAATGCCCCTCAGTGCTCAAAAAACAAAATGCCAAGAATCCAGAATGTTGAGGTAGGAGAGTGTAAGCCTCCAACCTAGGCAAACGCCAGTAAAATGCCACCCCATGTCTGTCTAAAATGATGAAAAAGTACACTATAACTTGAAAAAGCAAAAAGAAAAAGCAAAGAGAGCTGAATTTAAGCTTGAAGATGCCCCTCAGAGGCATGAGTTGTCTGTTGGCACGATCGGCCTTACCTTCTCTTGGGCATGAATAGGCTTGGCTTAGGCTTCTTCCGCATTACGGTCGGCGGTGGTCTCTGCACATTTGTAAGCAGCTGAATAGGAACAGATAGAAGGAGTACTGACAGGTCGGGAAGGAGCCATGGACGGCCCCGACGATGATGCAGACGGTCCAGAAGGAATCGATGGTTCAGTAGGAAGAACGCTCGGCTTCGGAGGCGGCGGCCGCTCTGGAGGTGCCAAGCCCAGAGTCACCATGGCACTGGGGTCTGTTGGCGGTTTGGGCAGTGGCCGGCTGGGCCGTTGTCCAAACTTGCCAGTGAGTCCTCCGCCACGAGGCTTGTCGCTAGCGATTCTCTTGGTAACCGGCGGAGTACCGTCCGGACTACTTAGTGCTCGTTTTTTGTTGTCACCGGGAGGCGCAGACGTCTGGATCGGCGGCGGACCATGGAGAGAAGTAGCTGGCCAAGTCGGCACCACAGCGCGCTCTTCGGGCAGAGGCTGATGAGCATCAGACATGGCAACATCTCCATCAGTCGTAGCCATGGATGCGGGAGACCCTCCAGTCATGGGGCTATCCACAGGCGTTGGCGCTGCCGAAGTCATGATGCTGCCGGGTTTAGCCTTTTCCAAAGGCCTACGAAACATGCCAAGCACATCGCCCTGTGTATAGCGGTCTCTTGACCGCGCATCCTCGATGAGTTTCTTCCAGAATTCACCTTGCACAAGCGCGCGGGAATCTCCCAAAATCCACAGTGACGATTTGGCACGGGTTAACCCGACGTTCATACGGCGAATGTCCGTCATGAAACCAATACCCCCGGTAGGTTTAGCTCGGACGCAGGAAAAGATAATAATCTCGCACTCACGACCCTGGAAGGCATCCGTCGTGTTAAATTCGATGATGTCGGCGATCTCCTCTCCATATCTCGCTTGGAAGCGTCTTCGGAGCTCAAATAGCTGAGCCTTGTAGGGAGTGATGATACCAATCTTGCCCACCAGGTTACACTCACTGTAGTCCCTGCTGAAACGCTCATACATCTGCAGAGCGACCTCAAGCTCCCGGGTATTGACTAATGATTGCCCCTTGCGACCATGTTCTTGCACGCCCTGCACGTCAAAGAATCGATACGGCCCAAGTAAAGCGCTCTGGTGCCAAGGCTGCTGGCGCAGCCCGGCCATGTCCTGTCCGTCACGGAGCTGCCCTTCGTAGAATTCTTTGCTGGGGAACAAGCTGATTTCGGGATGCATACGGTACTGCATGTCAAGGAGATGGACCGACTTTGGATGATTCTGCTGCATGCGTACAAACAAGCTCTGGTTGTAGCCGAATCGGGCCGCTGATTGCGAGAGAACAGTGGGTGGCAGTTGCTTGGGATCTCCAACGAGGATGCACTTGCAGCAGCCATATTTGAGCGGGATGAGGGCACTCAGCTCGACACACTGGGCCGCCTCATCTATAATAACCGTCTCGAATTCGACATCCAGGTTTCGGAACATTTCATGACCACTACCGCTGAGCGTGGCACACAGCACGTGGGCGTTGTTCAGAATCTCCTGCTGGATCTGACGACGCTTCATCTCCACTTCTCGAGCAGCCGAGTTGCCGCTGTCCTTTTCGGCTTCAATCTGCTTGCCAATATCTCGTTGCTCACGCTTGAGCTCGTCAAACTGACGCAGAAGGCGGTTGCGATAATCTTGATCTTCCTTTTCGTTTGCTTCATCCAGCTTCGGGCGCAGAATGCCGAGCTCTTCCTTGATCTGGCCTGCGCGCTCGTGAAGCTTGTCCCTCTCGGCCTTGGCCTTGTCCTTCGTAGAGTCGCCTTGCATGCGAACGCGGACAAGTTCATCTAAAGTAACGTCTTTGACTGCGGCGCTAATGGCATCACTGCGACCGAGACGGAGGACATTGATATTCCTCGTCTTGCCACCTACAGTCTTGATTCCATTCTTCAAACGGGTAACCAGTTCGTCAACAGCTGCGTTACTTGGAGCACAGACAAGAAGCTTCTTAGGCCTTTGGCCAGTAGGCACTGGTGTATTCCCGGGTCGAACTGGTACACCGATCGGTGTACCTTTGCCAGGTGCTTGCGCAAGCTGTTCGGACAACAGGGCACCAACCATAGCAATGATAGTCTTGGTTTTACCTGTGCCAGGCGGACCCTGAATAAGGGTAAAGCCGTCGTTCTCCTGAGCGCCTAAAACGGACAGAGCTTGACCTCGGTTGAGCTGCCAATTACTCTGGTAGTTCGCAACCCTCTCGTCGCCGTAGTTGAGAATAGGTGATGGCTCGGCCTTGAGAATCTCGTCCATGAGATCGTAGTATTGTAGAGATTCGAGAGCCGCATACTCTCTTTCAACTGTGGTCATGTTGGTAATCTTGATGCCGTACATCATCATGTTAGGCATCAAAGCAGACGACAGAGGGTTGCCGCGCGATGCGACCCGAAAGATGATTTCCAGACGATCCTTCTTGTACGTCAAACGATGAACACGAGCTAGACAGTGACGGGCGGCTGGGTTATTGAGTGGATTCTCATCCTCAGAAACCAGGAGAATATCACCTTCACCGATGCCCCGCTCTCTGTTCTGAGTCACTTCTATGGTAAAGGTGACCTCCAGGAAGCTGTCAACGCTGGCTCGGCTGGCAATTTTGATGCCAAACGCCTGAGCCGTCACTTCATTCTTTGCAGTGACAAACGAGTTCCAAGCTTCCGACGCAAGGAGCGGAAAGAAGGTATCTCGGTAGGATGCTGGGTCGGTATAACTTGTGTCGACCCTGCCCGCCTTGGGCCCGTTAGGAGGATCACTTCCTTCGTGGAACATATCCCAAGCTAGAATTGCGCCGTGTAGTTTATCCATGGGCGGGATTAGACGGGCTCTCATTTCCTTGACTGAACGCTGCTGCCGAAGCTTCTTTATCGGACGCCGCGTCATGTCGCGCAGGGCTTTTAAGCGACGCTTCTCTTCTTCGTCTATTGACTGCTGTCCGCCGGTGCTGATCATAGCAAGCTGATTGCCTACATCATCGTCGCCGCTATCCTCGGATTCTTCGTCAGAACTATTAACCATGATTTCGCTTCGGCTAGCAGGACCGCCGATCGGTTCTCCGCGAAGCTGCTTGGCCTTGGCAATTGCCTCTGCATCTCGCTTCGCCTTTTCGGCCTTTTCTCTCTGCCGGCTCTCCTTGATTGCAGAAATGGCTTTGAGATCAGGACCTTTAGCTTTGGCTTTCTGTCTCGCCTCGATAGCCTTGAGGGCAGGATTGTTTAGAGACTTGCTGAGTTCTAACACATCCTGTCTGTTTGAGCTAGGCTTGCTGCTAGATGAGGATGCGCTTGTCGAAGGGGATGATGATCCGGACTTGGACCAGGCGTCCAACCTGCTCTGCTTCTTGATCTTGTCCCGAGAAGACTTGGCATCGACTGAGGTAACGTGAATGATTTGCACATCATCATCCGTGTTCCCAAGAGCCTGCAGAAGTTCAGCGCGCTGCTGGTCGCTCAAATTGGTGGAGCGTAAATATTTGCCTGGTGTCGCTGTTGGCACACATGCGTCGATGATCTGCTTTCTTGACCCAGCATTGATCTCAAGATGATTTTCGCGGAGTCGCTTGAGAATTTTGCAAAGGACTCTAACAGTCACGTCAACTAGCCACAAGTCTTTGAGTCTGATCATCATTTCCATGCCGCGAAAGTTGTCCTTGGCAGGAGCGAGAATCTTCACCATCATATCTGCCTCGCTACGACCAAGCGCTGTTGCAGACGTAAGAAGACCGTCTTCGGCAATCAGAGCCTCCGCAAACTCCATAATTTCACGGCAATATTCAGTCATGATGGCATTTGGCACATAGTAAGACCAGGACTCGATGTTGAGGCACGACTTAGAGACAAAGCGCCATTGTTCGTTCCACCAGCGGAGGACGGTAGCAGATTGCCTAGAGTCTAGCTGCCCACCTCGTAAAACGCCAGAGGAGGCCTCAGCAAGGCCACGCAAGATGGATCGATTGGCGTTCAACAGGGGACGTATAGGGCCCCAAGGATATGGAGGCTTGAGAGCTCGGTCCAGGGACCACACGGCGGAGGCCAAAGTCTGCTCAGTGTGCAGCTGGGCCAGATGCTCGATGGCGGAACTGCGGGTATCCTCAGCGGTCCATCCCTTGAGAACTTCGGCAGCAGACTCTGCTAGATCAGACTCGTCGTGGACCGAGAGAGCAATAATGACCTGAATGTGCGCTCGTTCAATGAACAGGCTATTGAGATCCATGACGTCCATGTCACCAATGCGTCCTATGATTTTGGCGACGGTATCGGCGGTCGACTTGAGGGACTCGTTGAAGTCTACGCTTGACTGGTCAAGCTTGCCCCCCGCCTTCCGCTCTCGAATTTGCTCAACCGCGCATATCGGAGCCAACGCGAAGAGAATATCCTTTGAAAGCTTAACGCGATCATTGGATGCTTCGTACATTTCGATTATAGCTGTCCAAAACTCCTTGGAGTTTCTTGGAACAGTGGATTCGAATTTGTTGGTGCTGTGAATAGCATGGTACTCCTCATTGAAGAGCTTCATGTCCAGCTTCATAGCCGCTTCTGTCAAGTTGTGTGCGGAATCGGCGACTTTAAACGTGACCCAGCCTTCAATACTTTGCTGCTTCTTGGGCGGGTTGATCTGCTGGATGATGAGGTCTTTGTATTTGGTCATCAAGTTAAAGGCCGAGTTAATATAGAGCCGAACGGTGGATGTCGCAGAAGACGTCTCCACGTCCAGGAATGCGCCCAGAGTAAAGGCAAGGGCGTCAAAACCAGCTCTCATGCAGGCTGCTTGGCCGGGTTCGCCGATTGTGGCATCTTTGACGAGTGTCTCGAAGAGCGTATGCATAAGCACCTCGCATGCATCATAGCGCTGGTCGCGGCTGATGGATTTAAGCCAGGGCGCAATCCAGGAGGTAGAAAAAGGAACCGAGTCTTTGCTGGCGCTTCCCCCAAAGTCCACAAGGGACTGGTGGAGGAGGCCCTTATAGATTGGACTTCCAAAGAGCAAGTCGGCAATCACGTTTGGACGAGCGCCACCGATCACATCCCAGATGACATTGGGTGCCTTCTCAAGTAGGACGGTCAAGATGCGAATGATGACAACCAAGACGCCTTCTGACCGACAGTACTGAATGTGGGCGAACAGCAGCTCAAAAATGGATTTAGAGACTTCCAAGTTTCGCACATGCGAAGCAATTAAGCCGGCGGGAAGTGTGCGTATGATGTCCTCGAAGCCACACCAAAACTGTTCGATTTCTTGATACTGCTCGGGACTTGGCTGGTTCAGGTCTTTGTGCCAGGTATCTTCAATAGCCATAACCAAGCCATCGTTGATAGCCCATTCAAACTGCGGCACGGTCAGAGAAGAGGTTGGTATGTTCTTCCAGTTCTCGTGCGCCCATTTTCGGCGATCCTCGTTCTTCGGATCAAACAGAAAATACGTCATACAAGGCAGGGGCTCTTTGGTGCCGAGCTTTAGATAGGTTTTGCCTTGGAGGCGCATAAACACATATTGAAAGGTGGCTCGCTGATCCGGTTGGGCCAAATAGTTCATGCAGCAAAGGGTTTCGTAAACGGTAATCAGCACATTGCCCAGATTGTCACCGAACTCTGACTTCTTAAATACCACGCCGGTGTTTTCGATTTTAGCAATGTGGTTTTTGGCCCACGTGAGGTTCTCGTCGATACGGGCTTTGTCGATTTGGTCAAGCAATTCTTGAATTTGGGCAACGGCCTCCTCATCCCAGCGCCTGCGACAGTCCATCAGGGTTAGCTGCACTGCACGTGCAGTGACTGGGTGTTGCGTATACGTACTCGAGAAATTTTTGCAGCTGTGGTTTGCGCCGCATGTGCCAGTTGAGGACGCACTCAGAGCAAGACTTGAGCGAGGCATCGAGTCTCCTAGTGAACCCTTCGAGCCACCTGCCCGCATCCTTTTTATCGAAGCCAAAGATGAGGCTGTTCCAGTACGTGATGTTGATCCGACTGTTTCCAGCTTCAATGCGCTTCTGCTTTTCTTCTTGAGTAATTTTGGAGTCGGGATCGTTCTGGCATCTGTAGTTTTCGTTGTCGTCGTCGTCGATTTTCGGGCAGAGCAGATGGACCTCAGGAGGAATTGCTTGAAAATCGTCGAACCATTTTACCAGCTCGTCGCTGATTACCGTGGACATGGCGGGCAATACAGGCTCCTCATTGTTTTGTGAGAGAGAGGAAAGACCTGTCGGCTGGATCGAAAGGTCAAGGTCGAAAGTTGAGCTCAGGATTCGATGCCTGCTCAGGAGCAAACTTGGTGTCGTCGGGAGGCAGGTAGCCGACGGCTGGGCGGGAACGGGCACGCTTCTCCACGAACAAAAGAAAGCAATCGAAATGCAAAGAAATGCAGGTTGACAATCTAGAATCCGCCGAGCGGGCTACTGGGAAGAAGAGAAGCTGGAGGTGGCACAATGAGCCTGGTTTGAAGAAGCGAAAAAAAGGTGGATGCAGTCATTTACGCGTGAAGCACCCCAAGTTACTCGCCCACGCCGCGTCTGTTCGCGCAAGCAGGCGCCGCGCACGGGCCTCTGCGATTCAATGATAACTACGTAAAACTAGCAGTGAATGCAAATCAGATGGGCTAAGAATTCAGGTTGATTCCTAGCGAGTTTGCCAATTTTTTTTTTTTTGCCTCGCTTCGCTAAAATGGCTTATTGAGTTGTCGCCGCGCCCCTCGCTTGCTGTCGGAGCGGCCTTTGCCAACTATGTATGTACGCCAAAGCAGGCAAAGTAACATGGTGTACTGAATAGGTATGTATTAGCTCACACTCATTTACGGTTAATTGGAATTTCTACTTTAATTCATTTATATTTCACTAGGCTTTTTAAGCTCAAGTCGCTCGCATGCGGAGGCTAAGCTCCTGCTGTGCTGACTTGGGCTGAAAGGGGTTCGCGAGGATCGAAGAGGCCGCGAAGCCTACCACCCCATTATTACAAAAACACAATTAAAAATAAATTCCTGATTGACTCTTCGAATTATTGATAGCCCTATGACTCGAATCCGTATTTCTCAGTTCTTGCCTGGAATTTGGATTACTGCGTACCATCCAGGCCATGCTGCCTGTCCGCCAAAAATTGGAACAGGCATCGTGAACAAATTAAGCGCGCCTGAAACAAACTCTTTCTATACCTTCAATCTCCCATCCGAAACCATTTCCCGAATCACCTTGATCGTCGACTGCACCGCGCCAAGCGCCATCTGTAGCCGCCCCCAGTTAGCCATCCCTCACCGACGCCCATTTCTACCCCAGTTAACTCACCTTTTGCTGCGCCGCGAGCGTGTCGCTCTCCTCCTTGCCCCCCTCCTCAATCTTTGGAAACTTCCATTTGAACGCGTACGTCAGGTGCAAGTCGCCGTCCGGCCCCGGCGCCAGGATGTTGTCAACCTCCGTGCCGTCCTCGAGGCGGAACTGGACCCTGTGCGGGGCGAGCTCCGTGCACGTCTCCGTCATGGCCGGCCGGCCCTCGAAGGTGACCCGGCGGTGCACCACGTTTCCTTCCTCGCGCTCGACCACGCACGACGTGATGACCGGCACGAACTGGTCCGCGTGGCGGACCTTGCGCCGGAGGCCCGCCCAGACCTGGGCGGCAGTGAGGACGGGCGCGGACCCGGCCGGGTTGACCGGAGCTGTAGCCGCGTAGTAGAGGACGACCATGGTGAAGGATTTCTTACTAAAGTTGAATGGAGGTTGAGACAATTTTAATTTAATGAAACAGTCAGAACTGGCCAGTCTCATTGGTAAGTCTTTCGTCTTTTATATTTCGGCCACGGTTGCTATGCTAAGAATGCTGATGGTTCTCTGCGGTTCTCTGCTTCTTAATCTCATATGCTGTGCTTGGTCAGCGCCGCTAACTTCTGCCCGTCACGTACTGCGTCAACGCGGGATCTATGGCGCAGGAACACCAAGGAAATAAGCAGAATCGCGTTCCGGTCGAGTCTAGCTGGTGAGCATGCAGTAGCTATGGCGTCAAAAAGTTCTGTACAGAGTAGGGAATACAGATCTTGTGTAACAGAGAGAAATACAGGGTCCATGCCAATCCCAAGGGTCGTTGGGTAACTGCCAGTAAGGTTGGGCGTGGGCGGTACACGGCCGACCAGGGTCTCGTCGGCATCTGTCGGTGGAACAGCGTGCGCAGCTGCATCGGGATGGGAAGACGAGCAGAGCAGTGATCCACACCCTGTCTACGAATAGTGGCTCGGCAGTGAGACGAGGGTGGTGCGAATGGCAAATGCATCCCGCAAGCAAAGTGGTGTGTGCCTTTTGTGCACGCGGGCGCGCGGGCGCATCTGTGGTGTCACCTCGCAGTAGTCGGGCGACGCAATCTATGTAGGTAGCCGAGAAACCTGCGAAGCCGTTGAACCTCGAGGCAACAAGAATATTCGCCGGAAAGGTTCGATGCAGAGGCATAGAAGGTGAGGGGAGCAGGTGAGGACGACGGTGTGGGCGGGGTAATCAATGCTGCATGAACCCAAGTACCAGCGGCTGTACGGAGGTAGGATTGGGCAAGTTAGGCGTGCGCAGAGAATGGTGCAGCTTGCTGGTGATATTGGTGGCGGGATATACGCCACGCACAGACAAGACGCAGATGGCAGATGGCAGAGCTGGTTAGCAGCGGGACAAGAAGGGTGACCTACAGTAGGAGAATGTGAAAATGAAAAGGCTGGGCAGCCGGGCAAGGTGAGAGGCGATAGGCGAGAGAAAACGGCGTAGTCTCCGGAGAGGGTTGCATCGTCGCTCGCAAACCGATAAACAAGGGCTGGAAACTTGACCACTAAGGTAGTTGGGGGCCAAACTTGGAACAATTTTGTTCAAGCTAGGCATGAGATAACTTGCAGCAACCGGCAACTGGTTTAGTAGCAGTAACTACCCAGTTGGTTATTCACTTGGGCATCAGGGGATAAAGACGCTGTTCCATATGCATTCTGATAAGGGATGGGCCATGTGTTTCGCCTCGCCTAGTTTGTGCTCTTGGCTTCTGGTTGGGTGGGTGCGGGAAAACCAAAAGACCGTGGGGTGGGATATTATTGAATGGGGGATGGGAGACAAGGTGAGGGTGATGAGAAGTGGAGGGCTACGGGGGAGGCCAAAAGCGGTTACTGATAGCGCAGCCTGGGCGAAGGAGAAGAAGAGATGGTGGTTGTGGCGGTGGTTTTCATGGTCATGACCGTGAGAGGACGGCCGATGCGGATCGAGGGTGGCACATTATTCACAGATGTGCTCGGGAGTCGGGGGGCGCCTGTTCACTGGCATCAGTGCCCAGCTGCTCCGCAGTCAGCTGGGCTGCAAAGACAGGACAGGCCAACTCGGTCAGTGGCAAGAGACAAATTCGGTTCACTTGCTGGGCTGGATTGTTTCTTGGTCGAGACTCGAGCTCAACGGGACGTTACAAGCCCTTGGTTATTAGCTCGAGGCTAGCGGCATGCTGGATTCAAGACGGGGAACTGCTGTTGGTGGTTGGTTCTCGAGACTCGAGGAGGCACCTAGGGGGTTGTGCAAATTAATCACCAGTGGGGGTTTTGCAGCCAACCTGATGGTGATGATGAGCATGTTGCCCCTAGTTAGTCTATCAGCCAGGTTGAGTGCATGAAAGCGGCATGGTGACAGGCCCCCGGTCCCCTTGGCCCTCTTCTGTGCATCGAGGCTGCAGGTTTGTCTTGCTATCGGTCTCGCCAACAGCATTTCCATATTGGCGAGGCAAGTCAGCAAAACGTATTTTGCGCCGTTGCAGGCGCCGGCTCCGCCCCTCCACTCCGGGGGCTAAAATAGTGATGCTGTTTGGATTGCTGGGGCACATATGTACTTTTGGCTTGCGGGCCTGGGGGTACTCAAGTGGAGGAAGGTCTTGCTGCAGGACGGGAAAAAACGAATCTCTAGGTTCTGCTTGGCCGTGTTTAACCATGCCAGGCGCATGCGGCGCAGCTAGAGTTGTCTGCGGTGTCGTGCCTGCGGTGCTCGTCTCGATTGAGAATAGGACGTTGAGAGATGCCAGGGCAACCGAAGAGAAACGAGGCCGCCCAGATCCGTGGCAAAGCGCGGCCAATCGTCCGTCACAGCCTACAATACGGGCGGCTCGCGGTGCGGGCTAGACTGGGCTGGGCCGCACTGGCATGTCTCTCTCCCCACACCCTGACGACGGGATGGATGGGACATGGGCTCCGGCAGTCAGTGGTACCTTGCAAGCTGCACGCCGCACGCTGTACACTGCAATGAGAGAGGGGCCCTTGAAATATCGACAGCTGCGGCTGCTCAAGTCAGGCCAGGTTTGCGGTGGTGGTGCTGGTGGTGGAGGAGGCGATTGTGCTGGTTGTACTGACATGTATCATCAGAAGGCTATTTATGAGCGGGATGGCGGGACCTGGCCTCGATTGGCGCAAAATAGAAAGATTGTACCACATATAGGCAAGGTACCAGTAAGCGGTTTGCAGCAGACGGGATGGTTGAAATATAGGAAAAAGGAAAAAAAAAGTCTCGGATTTATTGCAACTTCTTGCAGCTGAAGGCACCAACGATATAGGATTGTAGAGACACATGTACTACGTCGATGAGCGCGGGACTGGTTTTGGTCGTGTGCGATAGTGATGGTTGGCTGATGAGGCGTCATGTGTCGTCGGTGTGCTGAGAGCTGGTTGATCTGCTTCTTTTGCTGTCTTCGAGAGGTAGAACTTGTGAGCGTGCTTGCTTGGGATAGGTAGCTTGGCGTGGGTGGTGTCGTGAGCTCGGGCAATGATTGCGCCGTGGTTGTGGTGGTATTGGTGGCTGGCGCATGTGTGAGGCGACGGGACGGGCCATGTTGAGAAGCCAAAGGACAAGAGGGGATGTCTGTACGAGTTGAGTTATGCACATGTAACACGAGGGGGAACAAGTCTGGTGGCTTTTGGGTTCTGGTGGGTGGCTGATGGTCGCTGCCGTCCCCATGTCTGTGCCAGTGCTTGTGCCGTGTCGCTTCAGGTTCCGCACTTGATTGATGCTTTGTCCGGAGTGGGCGGGCGTGGGCGGTCCGTGGCTGGCCAAGAAGGATTTAGCGGAGGAGTTGTTGATGCTGGATGAATGAGGGAGGGGCCGGCTGCAGGTGTGGAATAGGCGTAGGTGTGTACCAGTCGATGTGTAGGTGGTGTATCTGGAGTCAAAGTGGCGCGTTTGTCGATGGATACCAGGATGAGGACGTGGGTTCTTGTATGCAGGCGCCCAGGTGTCCAGGTGTGTGTGTCTGTGTGCTTGTGTTGGGTTAACGAGATGGATTGGGAACGAGGAGAAGACAACAAGGAGGGGGAGGAGAGGAAGGTTTAGCGACAGACGAGGGAAAGGGCTTGTTTGTAGGCCATGTTGTGAGTACCTGCCACCAGATACACGCGGGTTAGTTAGTGACTGGGAAAGTGGGTGACAAAGCTGCCAGAGGCAAGACGTCGATTCGGCTGGATGTGATCTGTAGTTACTTGCGAGGTACCAAAGTTGGATATATTGGGATTACCTGATGTATAGTATGGCTTAGTATTATTACTATTATCAGCGTCAATATTTTTCGTGATAATTTGGTAGTGAGTGGAACCTTGGTTCTTGGCCATCTCTTGGTTCTTTTGGAGACTGATGACAGTCAACATACCCTGCTTTTTCCCTGGCGTTTGTTGTTGAGCGAAAATGGCCTCGTTGCAGTTTGTCAGGCAGGCTGTTGTTGGAGCCCCCGCTTTGGCTGCCAACTGCGACTGCCAGCTGCCAGCTGCCAGCACCCAACGAGCCCCCCACTTGGCCAACACCCGTCCAGGTCACACAGCGCTTCAGGCCAGACTGGCAGGAGAGTGAGCAGAAAAAAAGAGACAAGACTGGCTGGGTACTGTTGCCACGAGGCCTGTCGTATTCACCAACTCGGGTTAGTATGCTGCAACCTGCTGCATGCTTTTATTAGCAGAAAAGTATACCTACTGGTAGTTGTGCAATTGATTCCTTGTCTCCTCTTCCCTTTCATTAAAGAAGTAGAAAAAGAAAAAGATGGGTCCTGCCGGTACTGGGCTGCAGGGCCCGGCGGCGGCTTATTTGTGCCACGTCTTCTTCGGAAGCTCAAAGGTGTGTTCCCCGTTGAAGAGGATGTATCCGCAGCTTGCCTAGGTAGCAGTTATTCTGAACAATGCTGACACCGGTCTCACAGCTCATGTTGGCTGATGCCCGAGAGGAAAGCACTGAATCATAACCTTACCAATAGTTGTCTCTGCCCCCGTACCTAGCTACCTGCATCGAGCTTGGTCCTCCGTGCCGCCACAGTGTTGCATTCAAAGAGGACAAACCTACCACCACCACCGGCTGGTACATGGAACCATCAAGCCACCGCGCTCCAACTCCTCCTCCCACCACCACCACCACCACCACCACCAATAGCCTCATCCTGCCGACAAGCGGAGAATCGCCGCTCCTGGACTCACGGTACAGGTTGCAACCATTGCCCGAGCCGACCCATTGGCCTGGCCGACATGTTTATTGGCCGCCTGGGGTCTCGATGACTGCCTGCACCGACGGCTTGCATTGGTGCACTGCATTGGCTGGGGTTGTCCTGGATGGGCCATGTCGGCACCAGACTCGCCGTCTCCTACAGGTTTGCGACAAAAGGCTGCTTTTGGCTTTTTGCTATTATTCTTTATTATTATTCTTTGATCCTCCTATAACCACAATGATCCAACATTATTTATTTTAATTTTAATTTTTTTTTTAGTCTGCCCGGTCTGCCGCGTCTTCCCAGATAGTCACCGTGCATGGGTGCCTTTTGGTTTCCCCTCCTCAGGCAGGTGCTGCAGTGCAGTTTTAGGTAGTATGCACCCGTTGTACTGGCAGATAGTGTAATCCACTGTAGATTGCCCCCGCAACGTTGAAGTTATAGCGCCCTCCAGCGCCCAATTCCCTAATTTAAGGCCCTGTAGCCGCTACAACTCTCCTTCCCCCCTCCTCTTTTGGCCATCTTGGCGGGCTTTTTCCTCTTCTCGGTTTCCCCTCCTCTTTGCTCTCACTCCTCTTTCCCCTCTCAAAATAAAAGCACAAGCAGCCAAAAGCACCTCCTCCCCTCCACTGCACTTTTTTCTCCTCTCACGAGGCCATCACCACCACCACGCTCATTTTTTCCTCAGACATCCCTCCCCTCCTCCCCTCTCTTAAATCACAGAACCTCCCATCACCACATCTTGTTATTGAAGCCCGAGGCCATGACGATTGTACTCATAGGCTGCTCTTTATAGCACTCCCCAACCGCCGTTACCACTATTATTACGAGAGAGGGGAAACGGCCTAGCTATCCAAACCATATTTACCACCAACCCGACAACACCAGCGCAACTTGCTCTCCCTTTCTCACTTGTAACTATGCATAGCTACTCCAAAATTGGCGGTTCCTCCGACTTTGCCGCCCGCTACCCAACACGCATCTTGGTCGGCTATTGGCTCTACTCATCGGAGCCCGAACCAGACCAACACGCTGTCTACGGCATCCTCAGCCGCGATGGCAAGCTGCGCTTCAAGCTCGTTTCAGAGAACCGTGAGGGCAACATCATTCGCGGAAATTATCCACCTCCCTCAGAGACATGGCTTATCCATGAGGAGATTGTCCTGCTCCCCCATCTTGTCAACCTGAACCGCCTTGGTATGAAGGAATACTGCCGCGAGCGGGGTAGGCAGGTCACAGCTGGCGAGGACGCCGCCAGTGTCGAGGCCAACGTGAAGAAGGCCGTCGAGTACGCCGAGCGCATCTCAACCACCGGCGAGGGCCAGCGTCCCCGCAATCTTCGCTGGGAGCGCGAAAAGTGCGCCGACCGCCAGCGCGCCATCCGGAAGATTGGCACCGCCAGCGCCCAGGCCAAAGCTATGCACGAACAGGCCCATGGCATCAAGGCCGCCTCCCCGCCCTCAGACCTCGACCTCTCTCGCCCGGTTCAAAAGCCGCCTTCGCACCATCGCACATCGTCTGCCGCGTCCAAGAAGAGGCGTTCTGCCTCGCCGCTTCCTGACGAGCCCAGCCCCGCCGACAGAGACCCGTACAAGCCGCCATCGCCCAGGCTCCGTGGCCACCGTTTGCCCAATGACCGGCCCACGTCGTCATCCTTTCGGCCAGCCAACATCAAGGTTGACGACGACACGGACCGCCTGCCACCTCTCAAGGCCTTTTGCGCGACCAACGGCCTCGACGAAAAGGAGCGCTTGCCGCCCCTGCACGCTACCCTCGCTGGCGAGGTCATGGACCTGGACGACAAGGAGCGGCTGCCCCCCATCCAAAGCATCGCCCCCAGGCCGACGCGGCAGCCTCTACCCCAGAACCCATATGGTTCGCCTCCTGCGCCGCGTAAGGCTCTCCCGACGTCGGCGGCCCACAGGAAGAGCACTTCGACCGACGATAGGACAATTGTGGCTGCCAGCCCGCCGACGGGCGACGAGGAGGACGAGGAGGACGAGCCGAGATCGACCGTATTTAACGGTGTCACCTACGTGCGCAGGACAACTGGCTCCTTCCGGGGGAAGCTCGTCTCGCCCGGCAAGATTATTACGATTGAGGGACAGGATTATGTTGAGTACTGCGTGTTGGCGAAGCTGTCTTTTGTATAAGACGGTGTTGACTCTGATGTCGAAATGCATGAACGGTCTATACTGCATAAGCGAAACTGCTGTTTCCTGGTTTATTGTTTATTCACATCTCTCCAATTTCTTTTGTCTTGTTGCTCATTTTTACACACACATCTTGCTCGCACATTTTGCTCACATATTTGGCTCATGTAATTGGCTCGGTTCGAGGGAGTGGCCAGGGAGGCTGATACAAGGCGTGGAGTTGTACATAGGTGGCTGGCGCCCAAAATGACGATAATGAGGCACGTTGAATTCTCTGTTGGTTTTCTCGGTTGACGACTCGGTCTGCTAACACGGGCCCCCCATTTCTTTTCCCGAACAAGGCTCCAGCTGAAAGCTTGCTGTAGTAGAGGAAAAATGAAACCAATACAAGCCGCATCGACTCTTCATTCCTTCATAATGCTTAAGAAAATGAGGATTCGCTGGCAACCCATGACGCTTCGGTATTAGGCCAACACATGTGCGTAGTCTGAATCAGGCAATGCGCTGCCGGGCTCGGCCGCCAATGCCGGCGACGAGCCCCGCCGGCTAAAGTCCTGACAAAACAAAACAACAAAAAGGGTTATATGTTTCGTTTCAGCAGAAGAATGACAAGATGAAACAGGGTCTAGAAGGGAAGACAATGAACAAGACGTCATGGTTTATTTGTAAGCTGCTTTTTTTCTGCCCTGCTAATCTCCGAAAAAAGGCAACACAAGGTGGGTCGGCATCGGAGGAGGCTCCGATTATCGAAGTTTACTCCCCGTCGGCATTCGTTGGTGATTGGTTGGTTCTATGTTGATTCTTATTATTACCGTATGTTTTCAGATTTTCTTCTCAAACAGTTAATTTGTACCTCCTATCTGCGGTCTGATGATATCGGCGATTCCGTATCTCCTATGGGGCCAAGGAGACAAAAAGGCGGTGATTTGTAAACCAACCGCGGCCGTGCCGGACAATTGAAATCGCCGAGGTTCGCAGTCTCTTTTCAATCAACACTAATCACCCCATCACCGGTGCATCATTGAATACTTACTTTTCTCTCTTCCTAAAAAAAACTCTCCCCTCAACTATAATCTTCCTTCTGACGCTAGTTTTCCGGCCTCCTCCGATTGTCTAGACTCCTTAGCACACCATAGTGGCGTCACGATTCCGGAACACACCTGTTGATTCAACAACGAAGCACGCTATGCTCTCTTTCACCGTGTACAAGGGCTCGCCCGACGGCAAGCCGGTCAAGGGCACCACGACCAGGCCGAAGGAGCTCACCGGCGACCAGGTCCTGCTCAAGGTCCTGGCGTCAGGCGTCTGCGGAACCGGTAAGATCTTAACCTCGGCTCACCACGCGCGCCAATCAGAGGCTAACCGATGACCAGATCTACACTACGTACGTTGTTGCTCTCTCCCAAAAATGGACGAAGGGGAAAGCGAAAAACTTGTAACTGACACCCCGCGCAGCGTAAAAAGGACATGGTCCTCGGCCACGAGGGCGTCGGCGAGGTGCAGGCCGTCGGCCCGGAGGTGCGCCGCCTACGGCCCGGCCAGCGCGTCGGCTGGGGCTACCAGACAGGCGCGTGCGGGCTGTGCACGCCGTGCCTGTCCGGTGACGAGACGTACTGCTCGCGGCGGGAGATGTACGGCTCCGCCGCGCCGGACCAGGGCAGCTTCGCGACGCACGCCGTCTGGCGCGAGGCCTTCCTGCACGCGCTCCCAGAGGGCCTCTCCCCCGCCGACGCCGCGCCGCTGCAGTGCGGCGGCGCCACGGTCTTCACCGCGCTCCTCGGCGTGCGCCCGACCGACACCGTCGGCGTGCTCGGCGTCGGCGGCCTCGGCCACCTGGCCATCCAGTTCGCGGCCAAGATGGGCTGCCGCGTGGTGGTCCTCTCCGGGTCCAGCCGGAAGCGGGAGGAGGCGCTGCGCCTGGGCGGGCACCGGTTCATCGCCATGAACGACCTCAAGGGGAAGAAGGGCAAGCAGAAGGAGGGGGGGGAGGACGCCTGGGAGATTGACCGGCTGCTGGTGACGACGTCGGCGCTGCCGGACTGGGCGGCGGTGGTGCCGATGCTGGCGGTGCGGGCGCGGATCGTGCCGCTGAGCGTGGGCGCGCGCGACCTGGTGGTGCCGTACGCGCCGGTGCTGCTGCGCGGCGTGGAGGTGCGCAGCGCGCTGGTGGCGACGCGCGCGGTGCACAGGGAGATGCTGGCGTTCGCGGCGCGGCACGGGGTGAGGCCGGTGGTGGAGGCGTTCCCGCTGAGCGAGGGCGGCGCGGCGGAGGCGCTGGATCGGCTGGAGAGGGGCGAGGTGCACTTTCGCGCGGTGCTGCTGCCGGAGGGGGCGGAGGAGCTGGAGAAGCACAAGATTTGAGGAGTGTGGTGGTGGTGATGTGATGGTGGTGGTGGCGTTGTGGTTGGGCTCGGTGGTGATGGTTGGGGTTAGCGCGGCGCAGACGGTTAGAGGTGATTATATGGAGTTGATTAAATGAGACTGTTGGAGAATTTAGACAAACCTGGAATTGTCTCGGGGGAGTGTCCATGTCGTCTAGGATGCATCCTGCTGCTGGTTCCCCTACGCATTGAGTATCTTTTGATAAGTACATAGAACTTATACAGGATCTCTTTATCATTAAAATAACGAAATATTAGGATTGTATTTAACGTGATGTAAGTCCAATGTGGTTCATCTTTAGCACGTTCAACTTGTTGTTTCTGCTTCTTCATCCTTCTGTTGAATCAACAAGACCGGCGTCAGAATGTCCCGTCGGGAGCGGCTTACCCCACATATCCGATCCCGACGGGACTGCTAGCCAGCCCCCGAGCTTTACTAGCACTCCGTACGGCGTCGCAGCGCATCGTGGGGGCACAAGTATGGTCTTCTCCCATTGCTGGAAATATTAACAGATTTGGTGCCGCCGATGCCCCTCCGACCTTGATTTGAGGCCATTGTCGAAGGCTTAGTGTTACGATGACGTCTGCGGGGTATGGTGGGGGATCGATCCGATGTGTGATGGTCCGATTATATATATCATGTAAATGTACATATAAAATGTAGGATGCTAGACTTTTGCATTTACTACTCTATATAATTCTAACAATGATTGCTAGTGCCGTCACACTGACCCTTGCGGCGACCGCTGCCTCCGCCGCCGTCCTCTCCTACAGCGAGACAACCGGTGGCTTCCGCTCCCCCGCGCGCGGCTGGAACTCGTTCGGCCTGCAGGCCAACAACATCAACGGCGACTTTTCCTTTGACCAGGCGCACGTCACCGCGCAGTGCGATCTTCTAGCCTCGCAGCTCGCCGGCGCCAACTACACCCTGTGCAGCCTGGACTCGGGCTGATCCGTCGGCGACCACGGCGACGAGCACGGCAGGACCCTGTACGACGCGAGCAAGTTTGACGTCCCCGCGCTCGCGGAGCACCTACACGCCCACGGCCTACAGCTCGGCCTATACGTCGTTCCGGGTGCGTTACGTACAGAAGTCAACAAGACAATCCTGGGCACGGGTACCCGGATCGGCGACGTCTGCACCGGCGACGAGGGCCTCGCGCGGTGCGTGTTCGACTACACCCGTCCCGAGGTGCAGACCTGCCATGACTCTGTGGTACAGCAGTTTGCCGAGTGGTACGTTCCCCCCTTCAGACCGGTCTTATCCACCCCCCACTGACGAAAATCCCCAGGGGCGCCGACATGATCAAGCTCGACTACGTCACCCCCGGCTCGCCTGACAACGGGCAGCACCTCCCCTCGGACCAGTCCGCCGCCGTTCCCGCCTGGCGCGCCGCCATCCGCCTGGCGCGCGCCCGATGCGCCGGCACGTCTCCTGGAAGCTCGACCGCTCGCCGGCCTGCTTCCGCGTGTGGAACGCGCACGCCGACGGCATGCGCACCGACCAGGACATCAGCAACTCCGGGGAGACCAAGCTGCTCGCCTGGGCCACCGCGAAGCGCGCCGTCGACAACTACCGGCAGTGGATCGTCGCCGTGGGGGGCATCTTCACCAAGGACGAGGCCGCTGCGGGTGCGCCCGGACCTGGACAGCCTGCACGTGGGCAATGACACGGGCGTGTCGGATGGGAAGAGGCGCACGCTGGCGACGCACTGGATCGCGGCGGGCGCGCAGCCCCTGGCGGGGTCGGACTTGACGAGGCTGGACAAGCTGGGGACGGAGCTGCTGACGAGCGGGGGCGGCGATGGCGGCGGCGGAGTTTGCGGCGACGTACCCGATGAGCCCGCGGAATCCAGGGAGCGGAGGGCAGGAGGCGAGGCAGCTGCAGGCGTGGATTGGCGGGCCGGAGCCGGGGGGCGGTAGGGCGCTGGTGGTGCTGGCGAACTACGGCCCGGATGAGGGCCAAGGCGGGTTCGGGAGCGCGATGCGAGGGAGACAGAGGGTCGCGGCGTCGTGGGAGGACCTCGGACTGGATACAGGTGGCGGGTACGCGGTGAGGAACGTCTGGACGGGCGAGGAGGAGCAGGCCGAGGGGGGGTTAGAGGCCGAGCTGGATGAGGGTGAAAGCGTGCTGCTCTGGGTGACTCCGAGGAGGAAAGTGTAGTTTGATGATCTCTGACTATTTCATGCAGTCTGACGACATCTTCATATAATTGAAAGTGACAGAGACTTTGATTGCGTCATCTTCATCTTAGAATGTAAGGTTGTAATCACCAGCATCGCGCGAACCAGCATCGTCGCGGGACGGCCTGAATCCGCTTCAACTTTAATTAAGCTTTAATGTGATTAGGAAATAGCGTCGACGATAATTAACCAAAGCTGCCATGGCTGGGAATTGCCCCCCCCCCCCCCCCCCCAGCCCGCTCGGCGAATTATCCCGCCGGCGTCCCAGCCTCATCCCATCTACCTCTTGCCACCTCACGGTCAACCTCTCCCAATCTCACCATGCCGCAGCCAAACCCTGACGAGCTCGAGGCCGCCTTCCAGCGACTCGTCGCCGCCCATCCGCTCCCGCTTAGCTCCTCCACCCACAGCGGCGAGACCATCTATGACGTCCTCAAGACGCTGCCCGAGGCCAGCGCCTACCACCAGCTGCTGGAGCGGTACCCGCGGCTGGTCGCGCTGCTGGCCGACGTCTCCGACGGCGAGGTAACGCTGTTCCTGCCCGTAAACGCCGCATGGGAGGGCGCCGCCACCGCCGCCGCCGGCCTGTCCGGTGTGGACGCGGAAGCGGACGCGGACGCGGGCGCGGGCGCCGAGGAGGCGCTGCTCGCCATGCACGTCAGCCCGCACTTCCTCGACCAGGCGTACCTGCGCAGCATGACCAACGTGCCCACCATCCACGCCCCAGGCACCATCAACAGGCCGCAGGTGTTCCCGCTGCGTCTCGGCGAGGCCGGGTGGACACTCGCCGGTGGGGGCCGGTTCCTCGCGGGGGAGGGCATCCGCGCGCGCAACGGGCTCATCTACCGCATCGACCGGGTCATCACCCCGCCGGGAGCGCTCCTCGAAGTTTTGCGCTTGCGCGGCACCCACACCACGCTGCTGCACGCTGTCGAGGTCGCCGGGTTTGCGGCGGAGCTCGCCTCGCGCCCCGGCGGCACGCTCTTCGCGCCGTCCGACCGGGCGCTCGCGTCACTCGGCCCAGAGGCGCTGCGCTTCCTCACGGAGTCTGCGGAGGGGAGGAAGTATCTAAATGCGCTGCTGCGGGGGCATTTTTGCCCGGTGCACACGCACTACACGAATCTGGTGTGGCCGCAGAACGACGGCGCGGAGCGGAGAACGTCGGCGGAAGAGGACAGGGTGTACAAGGGGAGCATGCGGAGGGAGCTGCCGTCGGCTCTGTGTGTGGGAGAGCAGGCGGTGAGTCTAGAGGTTTCTATTACGAGATACATGTGTCTCATCGCGGTGGCGGTCAACGGGACGCCGGTCGTCGAGCAGGATATCGGTGGTGAGGACGGGGTGGCGCAGGGGATCGATGAGGTGCTGCTTCCGGGGGGTGTTGTTGGAAAGGGCTCTGAGGATGTGATTTCTAGGATTAAATCGGCATTGCAGCCTTATATATAGACAATGCCTGATAACCATGTTTGTATATACTCGGTAGATAGGCATCTTTTATGTAGATGACGTGTGGCCCAGTCACCCCGTGTACAATCCAAAATAGTAACAATTCAATACTATATACTCAATTGCAAACTTCAACTCCCAGTTGTTCCAAGCGAGTTCAGTCACTTGTCTCCGAGTTCATCGTCTTAAAACTGACCATTCGGCTTCCGGGCAAACCCCCAGGGAAGAGGCAGCAAAGGGCACGGAACACCTTCGCAGCCCCGGCCAACAACTTTGTTTCCCCACCAGTTGATTTCCCACCCCGTGAAGGCCAGTCCGAAGAACTGCACCGCCGCCGAGACGGCCACACCGACCGCGAACGCCGCCGACAGCGCGTAGTTTTACTTCCACCAGAACGCGAGGTACGTCCCGCGCACCCACAGCCAGGATACCGCCGCCACCGGCACCGCCGGCCACCCGTACGTCAAGTTTTACGGCGCTTACGCGAACGCGCCCGAGATGAGCACCACCGGATGCACGCCTCGCAGCGCCCTGCTCCTCGGGAACCGCCGGCCGAGAGCCCAGAAGGCGAGCACCAGCGCCACGCCTACGGGAAAGCCGATGAGTGGCGTCGCGTACGGGCTGGCCGGGCCGAACTGACGCGAGGGCCCGACGGTGCCCCAGAGCACGACGGCGGTGAAGAAGAAGTTTTCGCCGGGGCAGACGAAGCGGAACGGCGCGTGGGGGGTGCAGATGGCGGGGATGCGCAGCTGGTGCTGCAGCAGGCCGACGAAGACGAGCGTCGACACGAGCGTGGACACCATCTGGGCGTAGAAGAGCGTCCACGGCGGGATCTTGACGTAGTGGCCGAGCTTAAGGTCCTGCATTGATCGCCTGCGCGCACGGCAGGTAGCCGTACGGCTTGACGTAGGCCATGCTGAGCGCGTCGCCGTTGGAGACGGCGCCGCTGACGCACTCGGCGAGCACGTTGAGGGTCATCTGGTAGCTGGTCATGGCATACATGATGCCGATGGGGACGACGAAAACGACGCACATGAGGATGCCGAAGACGACGACGGCCGGGCTGGTGCCGGTCGGCCACACGGCCATGGAGGCGACGCCGAGCGCGGCGGAGGCGAGCAGCACGGCGAGGTACCGCCAGTCCGGAACCTCCTTGTACTTGGCCATTGTGCCGCACGTGCACGTCCGAGAGCTGCACCTCCTCGCGAGTCGCGCTGTCGGATTTGAACAAGTTGTGGACGGCGGCGCGCATGCCGCCCCAGATCTCGCCGCGGTGATGCAGCGCGGCGTACGTGATGGACGCGCTGTACACGGCGAAGAACCAAAAGTACGCCGCCAGGCTGGCTGCGGACAGGTACGGCTTCGAGTACGCGTCGTCCTGGGCCGCGTCCAGCCGGCCGCCGTCGTCGAGCACCCTCGTCACGTTGTACCGCTCGCCAAAGCGGTCGAACGGCATGTTCGAGTTGATCGGCAGGTACGCCGTGTTGTACGCGTTGCTGAACCATACGCCGACGATCATAAACATGCTAGCGAGCGCGCCGGCAAAGTAGTTGAAGGTGTTGAAGGACGGCATGTACAACGGGTCGACCCGTGTCGTGAGCGTGTTCCAGTCGAGCGTCGGCAGCGGGTTGAGGCCCAGGCCGGTGTTGGAGCTGGTGATGGCAGTCAGGATGCGGTTGTTGGCCGCGATCCACGACATCCAGGACAAGGTACCGAGCGCGGTGAAGATGGTGTTGGGGAACAAGAACCAGACAAACATGGCGGCGCAGGGCGACGAGGAAGAACCGGATCCGCGACCAGCGCCAGACGGAGCCAAAGGGGCCCGGGACCGGATGTGTGCCATCGTCGTTGGCGGGGTGCAAGGCCGAGTTGAGCGTGATGGTGGCCCGGGAGTTGGGCCAGATGCAGTGCGAGGGCCAGATGATGAAGCGAGGGGTGATGCCCGCGAAGCCGTAGCCGACGAACGCGGTGGGCAGCGCGACGCACAGCTGGTATCCCGGGCTGCGCGCCCACTCCTGACCAAAGTACTGGGGCAGCGCCTGGTTCCAGACGATCTGGTGCCTGTAGGGCGCCGAGTCATACGCGAAGCTCATCACGCTGATCAGCATGTGCTCCATTCTGTTGAACGGGCCCGGGTTGAGGCTGTGGCGGACGCCGAAGAGGGTGAGGCCGCCATGGGGGAGGACGCGGGCCAGGAAGGTGCCGAGCGGGTAGGCGAGCAGCTGCGGGAGGGTCGCGGCGACGTAGATGGCGGGGAAGCACGTTTCGAAGAAGCCGTTGATGAAGGCCATGATGCAGGCGAAGAGCGGGCCGATGGCCTAAGCACGCAGGGTCGAGGCGGCATGTCCAGGCCGTCCTTGTTGTCGACGACAGCGCGGTCCTCGGCGTAGGGCGAGTTGTTGGTGAGCAGGGCGGTCTCGATCTTCATCTCGGCGATGATGTGTTTGTGCATTTCGGGGTTGTCAAGACGTCTTCGTCGTCTGGAGATGTAAGATTGGGAGATGAGCTCATGCTGGGGGAATGGGAGACGGACGGAGAAACACTTCAATCTTGTCCATGACAGCGGCGGGAAAATTGGGATTAAATCTATTAATATTTTGTACTATAGTTATTTAGTTAATTCTATTAAAAGACCATTAGAAGATTTTAAAATAGTCTATTAGGAAGAAATATCTAAGAGAACTATAATCTATAGGCCTCGTTTTCAAAAACGCCGCGATTATAGTATATAGTAGTAAAGTAGCCTGCCATCCTATCTATCCACTATAAACTCTAGATAGTAAAATACAGTATAAGATTTTAAAAGATAGAAATAAGTACTTTTATCCCACTACTCCTTAGTAGTATACTTCGTAGGGAATTCTACTGCACTATAGCTATCTCTTCTATAGCCCACCTAGTATAGGTAAGATAAGTTTCTTCTTCACACTTATAGGTGTTTTTAATATTAATATCTATATTATTAGTCTAAAAGAAGGTCTAGATTGTAAGTAATAGTGAAAAAGACAGATTAAGTGTATAGCAGACAGTAAAAATAGAAGGCTTATTGATGGAAGTTGTAGAAAAGAAATGCGTATCTATAGAAAGAAGGGAAAAACAAATCCTTAGTTTACTTCCTTAAAATAAGTATATAGCCTATTGTTGAGAGTATTTACACAACCGCTTTTGGAATGCGAGCCGCATATCATGATCCTATGCCGCAGATACTGGCCTGTGAGCGGATTATGTGAAATGCCTCCACAAGGCCTCGGAAATGAATCCAAGCCGCGACCATGACAGCAACATGCAGTATCTGATGACTGGCCCCAAACGTGTCAAATGTATACGGAACCCAGCGCTCCGGAATCTGTAAAAGAATTAGCACGGCAGAATGTGGTGTCTAGATTCTGAGCAACATACTCGGGCAGCGTAGATGGCCGCGCCGACGAGGTTGGCCGTAGCCATCCATCCCATCCACACCAGCGACATTCGCGATTTTTGTACCTTCCACCCGTAGAGGAGCAGGCCGTGGACGACGAAAATGACGGAGCTCAGGCCGAAGCCGGCGTAGAAACCTGCGCGCCATTTGCGGAATTCGGGGGTGACGAAGCGGGGTGTGAGCGTGACAATGGTGCAGCAGAGGGCCGTACTGGTACTCTGCAGCCTGTTAGTTGCCAGGTGATGGGAGCAAAGCAAGAATCATGTACCATTGTCCAGTATACAAGCCTGAGGTTATGATTGCACATAAAACCGTAGTAGATGGTGGGAATGCCGGCTCCCCACATGAGAACGAGGATACCTAGATAATCGAGCTTGTTGCAGTAGCGAGAAACATCGTGACTGTGATTCCACAACGTGTGAAAGCTAGATGATGTTAGCGACTCCAAACGCTTCTTTCTCCCATCTCAGTCTCGAGATAGGGTGCACCTACATGGTAGAAAAGACGAAGCAGACGGCGACGCCTACGCAGTATGTCGAAACGACCAGCACATCTGCCCGCTGCCTATTGTCCTGTTGCAAGAAAATGTCGTTGTAAAAGTAAAACGGGAGCATCAGAAACAATAGGGCTCCGATGAGGTGCGAATAGGTGTTGACGGTTTGGTTATTCAGATAGAGCAGAGACGTGAATGATGCCCAAGCAGAACCAGACGTCGGCCTGTTTGAGCATGTGGTTAGTTACTGGCAGACAGCTGATGGGTAGCAATGAAGACAACGACGGCTCCCCTCGGTAGGCAGCTTTGCCAATGCGACCGACGCACCTGTATCCTGACAGGATGTGCTCATTGTCTTGCTGCCACGACGGAATCTCGTGAAAGAAGAGCAGCCTTGGCGTCTTGAACCACGTCGCGCGGCCCGCTTTCTCGTCGCCAGCCGTGGCCAGCAGCGGGGTGTCGACCGATCGCACCTCGATGGTTGACCTCGATGTTGGGGTAGCTTTTCGCAGGGACATTGTGTGTCAGGGCTGTCCAGGATAGACTAATGCCTACGTGGTAGGACGAGCGGCAGATATGAATAGATGGGCAAAGAGCAGTTGGAGCGGAAGGAAAACAGAGGACAACGACAGCAGGCAACCGCCGAGGTGACACCAGCACCAACGGGGACAAAGGGTCCAACTTCACGTGCGGAAAGTTTGCGTCCTTATCCCACCTGCAGCGAGACTAGCAACGATCCCCTGTCCCCCCTCAGCCATTGTCTTTCACCGGCTCCTCCCAATATAGTGCTATGTACCTCAACATCCTTGCTGTAGCTTTGCAGCTATAGCGGGCGCGATAGGGACTACTAAAAGAAGAAATGCCCCACTCCAGCCACAGGCTAGCTGGCCTGTAAGGCTCACAGACAGGGCAAAACCCGCTGTTCCCGGTCTGAGATTTGTGGTATTGGCCAACCACAACGACTGAGTAGCCGCCCAATGGTTAACTTGCAGTACGTACGGTCGCATCTTGGTGTGGGTGCACGACGGTGATTGACCAACATGCGAGCCAGACCTAGTTTTGTCCGAGGTCCCCGCGGAGCTGAACAGGGGCAATGGCGGCGGGTCGGGACGGCCCATCCTGACCAAGCTCCCTTTCATTCGCTCTCGTTATATGGTGCCAAAGAACAAATTGACAAGGCTAAAAATACCTGGCATGGGTATTGTATTTTCGTCAGCATCATGCATGCTTTGTTTGTTGCCATGATGCAGGTCGGACGCCAAACTTGGGGCCGGGGGTGCGGTGACTGTACTAAACACCAGCGATGGATGCGAAGCGCCCGGAGGGTTGTTGCCAACACAAGGTGGCTGATGCAATCTTGTAAGACTTGGGAGCACCGAGACCGCTCACCCGTGCTCCCTCTTCTTTGCCCATTTCTTTATCTTTTGTACGACCTTTGTCAGGTCCGCCCGCCTTGTACTACCCTCCTCCCTGCAGTCGTTGCTAACCCCGTGTCATATTATTTGTGTATATACATATAACTGCCCAATTCAGACATGTCTTTGGAAGTGCAACACCGTACCTTTACCAATTCCACCTTGGTTGGCTTTGTCGGCGAGCCCGACGGACGAGGCACGCTTTCTTTGGTGTTTTCTTGCGTTTTTACCTTGTTCATCTGCGTCTGGTCCGCAGTGCACCTCAATCTCCCCAGCACCGACGAGAGTCCGTCAGAGTATTCCTATCGATACCTCAAATGGAGCATATTGGGCATCTTTGGCCCAGAACTGGTCATCTGGGCCGCTTGGCGCCAGTATTTGTCCGCACGGTGTCTGACGAAAATGATACGTGAGGTACGTATAAGACGCGGGAAGGCGACCACAGCAGAACAAAAACCAAAGAGCTAACCGAGTCTACCACAGAATGATAATCCAGAAGCCCAGAATGATGTCTCAAAGCAATGGACGATGGTGCACAGTTTCTACGCTGGCATGGGCGGCTTTGTCTTTGAGCTCCCCGACCGGACCCTCGAAAAAGCAGCCCCCTTCATCCAAAGCCACAGGCGCCTGCACATAACGCCGCGCGGAGTGCAACTTCTCGCCAAGTGCGGGCTGCTTCCCCGCATCACCACAGGCGACATAATGGACAAGAGCAAGACGGACGGCTCCGGCAAGGTCATTTGTTGTGCGCAGGTGCTGTGGATGGTCATCCAAGCCATCACTCGTGTGGCTGTCGGCTTACCCGTGACGCCGCTGGAGACAAACACCATTGGTCATGTTGTCTGCGCTCTCATCAACTACATCCTCTGGTGGAATAAGCCTCGGTGGATCAAGGAGCCGACTGTGCTTCGCGGCGAGTGGACGCACCCTATGTGCGCCTTCATGTACATGTCGAGCCAAGTGAGCGCCGAGCACAGAGTCGATCGCGACCTCCTGCGCGACTTTGGCGTAAAGGCAGAGATGGCGTCTGTCCTTTACCTTCCCGGTGACGACAAAAAACCTGCAAATGGCCAGGTGAAATCCCAAGAGGCTAGCAATTCCATGTCTCGCAACAGTTCTGTTTCGCAATCGACATGTACTGCAGTGCAGACTCGTTTGGATTCCGGACCGTCATTTGACTCGCAGATGAAGAGAGGCCACATGGTGCCACGAAGCAATTTCAACCATGGCAGCGAACAACACAACGTGATGAAAGAAGCTGCCGCCAAAGTCGCCGAAGAAGTCAGACAGCGACGGTGGTATCTGGCCTGCAAAGCACTCCAAAACCATCAAGCGCTCAGGGAGCGACTTGAGCCCAAGGAGCTCAACGAAGACGACTTGAGATACCGGGACGCTTTGCGCCTGTATCCTGAGATGCCTGATCGAGTCAAGCAGCAGTTCGAGCGCCGCTGCGACGAAGAGTCCTCGGCCGCTGGCGCTTGGCCGTGCGAGGCTATGGTGTGCAGATTAGAGGAACTCGTCGTCGAGCGGCCGCGGAATTGGCCCGGCGACGACCTCGTCCGTGACATGCAGGGACACATGATGGGCATGGTGCTGTGGAACGCAAGCACCATCTATGGCGCCATCCATTTGGCCGGCTGGAACGAAATCTTCCCTACAGCCATCGAGTCGTGGTTCTGGAAGGCGTCAGCGGCGTACATCATATTTAGCGGCGTGCTCTGGTCGCTGCTCAACCTGCTGGGTCACATGTCGGGCAAGATCTGGTGGTACTGGTACGAGATCCTGGCGGGCGGCAAGAGGCGACGCAGCCATGTATTAATCTACGTGCTTTGCGCTATTGGGGGCACATTGTACGTGGTCGCGCGCACGTATCTGGTCGTTGAGGCTTTTGTGTCGGTGCGCGCGTTGCCAGCTGCAGCCTACCAGTCACCGTCGTGGGTGTTGACTGTTCCGCATGTATGATGGCTTCGATCTAAAGTTCTAGACAGGTGCAAAGAGATGAACAAAAGAAGGAAAACACATGTGGAAGATGTTGATAAACAAAGTTGTTTCAATGAAGTATACCAAAGCATAGGAACACCCTCTTGAAGAGCCTCGACTGCAGCCTTTCAGTTACCACAGTTACCGCATTGTTAGTCCTCGACTCTTGCTAGCGCGTGTGTCGAGTTGGTCTTGGGCTTTTGCGATCAGGAGGATCTCGGCATCGGCGAGAGGGTCGTCGGCTCCTTGGTCCTCGGTCGCAAGCGGCGCGGAGCGGTTCCTGCTGGGCAGTTGCTGCTGTTTTCCGATCGTTCGGATATTTTAGAATTATAAAAGGATTATTTAGACTACTTTTTTAAAGTAAATTTCTTTATTAATAACTATATAACTAAACTATTCTTTTAAAGACTTAATACTAGCCTCATTTTATCTATATTATATTAGTATTATATAGGAATTTATTATAGGGGGTGGCCGACGTTAAACTCTACTCTTACGGTCTACGACCTTCGTCTGGTCCGCCCGCCTTGTTCATCTTGTCTTAGAGGCTCCCGTCTCTTGGGTAATTAACAGAGCATGTCCGTAGCATGGCCATTTTATAGCCCAGTTGTATGTAGTCATCAACGTGGCAGCTTGCAACGGGGAAAATAGCGGTACAATATACCGCCTGTCAATTAGCGCTTTACCATGTCAAGGCAGGTCACTTGCATTTTAATAATTTCATCGGACTTTCAACGTGGCTTGGATAAAGCGAGTCATTGCTCGGAGAGTTGGGGCGTTGTAAAAGGAAGCTCCAACTCGAGCTATTTAGGTTCTAATGTCGGCCTTTTTTTCTCCCACGACACTACTGCTTAGTCTTAGAACCAAGATGTTCGTTGATAAAGTCAATGTAACTGCCGACTCTGGTAAACACCCCGGGAGTCTGGTTGCACATTTCCTCGTCGTTGTCCTTATCCTTGGTAGCCATTGACACAACACCGAGTAGCTGTCCCGTTTTCGCGTCGAAAAGAGGACCACCGCTATCCCCTCCGCAGACATTCTTGCCTCCTCCACCGGCACATATGATAGTGTCTCTCTCACCTACATTCTCGTACTGGGCGCAGTCCTCGCGTGCGCGAATAGGAAGAACAACCTTCTGAAGCCAAATGGGCGATTCCACTACATTGGCAGTAGGCTTATCCGGTATGTCACGTCCCCTGTTGTGCAGGTTAGTTAGTGTCTTTCCAAAATATAAAAGGCACATGCTAGTGCTCAGCGATAGCCACTTACCAGCCTGCAGCTGTTGCGGTTGAATTGACTACGGCATCCGAGCCTGCTGGAGGCAACGTGGCATAGTCAATATCGCTGCTCTTGTCAATCGGAGTTGCTAATTTCAAGATTGCAATGTCATTGTGTTGCTGAGGGCCGGGCATTATCATGCCGTATTTGTCATAGCCGGCACGATAATTGGGGTGCTTTATAATAGATGCAGGTTGTGCGTCTACTCCACCCCCAATTCCCCTAAACTATACAATTATTAGCTCTATGCCGCTTTTTTAATCTGATCAGAGTAAAAGGTGACTAGAATACTTACCAGTATTCCAGCTTTTATTGAGATGGGATTGCTGTGGTCAACGCAATGAGCGGCAGTAAGAACCGTAGTGCTGTCTAGCAGACTGCCTCCGCAATAACACTCCCCGTCCTGCTCGCAAAGGGTAACGATGAATTTAATTTCACCAAAGTCAGCATCTTCTCCATTGACAATTCTCTTGTCAACAGTTGCTGACGATGCCAAAATAGCAGAGAACGAGATGGCTAGTGTAATGGCGGCCTTGAGTGACATTATAACGACAATGCTGTTAGATTGTTGATGATCAGGATTGTAGCAAATATTTCGTAAGAGGGTTGAGGGAAGTGTTGACTGTTGACTGTGAATAGGGTTTCAATAAGCAGCTTGCTGTATTTATACTCGCAGGGACAAGCAGTATCAACACTGTAGTTCTGGCCACTTCGTCTGTGCCGCATCCCTGTAATTTGAAAGAGTCATTTAAGTAGTCCGGTAGATTGCACTGAGTAGGTTAACTGTCTCGTTATATAATAATGGTCTGATGTTACGTTTTTTTTTTGGCCTACTAAGCCATTCGTATCCCGACTTTCACTACTGTTGCCCTACTATATCTGGTGAGCTGGGCATTTAAGGCACACGAGTCGAGTCAGTTTTATCACCAAAAAACTCAAGACCAGCGCACAATTTACAATAGTTGCATGTTGACCAATTACAAAGCCTATCAAGAACGGCCATGGGTCCCATATCCTTCCTTAGATTGCACACGGCATGTCGTAACAATCAAATTTATTTATACGCAGCCCATGTCTTCTTATCTAGCATTAAATACACCTGGCCCTGTAGTAAAGCTCTGCTCTCATACAAGTCATGACCGACACCGCGACGAAGCAAATGGTTGTCGAGCCGCGGATGGTAGGTCCGGAAATGCTCGGCGAACGGCGTGGTGGCGAGGTGGTCCTGGTAGCACGTCGCGCAGACGGGCGCGCTGCGTAGGGAGCCTCTGGCGATGTGCCAGCTGATAGAGTCTGACTGGACCGCTTCGCCGGTGCACTCGGGGAGTTGCAGCCGCGTAAAGGATGCTTCAATGAAGCCCTGCCAGTCGTCGTGGCCTGCCTTGGAGGTGGCGATGCGGCCGACCGTCTCGCTGCGCAGCTCGTACGTGTCACCGGCTACGACGGCCTGCGGCCAGAGCACCTTTCTGACCCGCGGCGTGTAGAAGCAGCACCGCGCGGACGACTCCTCCGCGGCGAGAATCGCGGTCCAATCCCCCGCGAGCGCAGTCGGCGCGACGAGGTCCTGGTAGCAGCGCGTGCAGATGAGCGTCGCGGCGACGCTCTCGGGCATGCAGGCAATGTGGTACCATGTCGAGGTGTGGCTGACGATGCGCGCGCCGGGGCAGAATTGGACGTCGGAGAGCGGCGGGCCGGACGCGCGGATGGCGCGCAGCGGGATCGGCCCGGCGGTGTCGGCCGGTGCCGGTGCCGCCGCCGCCGCCGCCGCGGGCTCGAGACCGAGAGTGTCGAGTTTTGCAGCGAGTGCGCTCAAATCCTCGTGCGATGCATCGTCCACGGCTACGTCGGCGTTGCCTGCATCGGTATTTTTGTTGCCTTGACTCGTGGCCGTTGGGTGGTACACTTCCCCGGTCGCACGGTTCTTGACGGCGAGGCCAGCGTCTCCGGTGATGCCGCACATTCCTGCATTGTGTTTGATGCACGCCAAGGTTAATTATTTTCTTTTTACTCGTGGAAACCTGTTGCTTCTTTTCTTTTACATGGGTTCAAGCACATGATGAAAAATCAAGTTTACAGCACAAACTTTCCGAGGAGGCCCCCGGGCGCTGCCCGCACAGGTGATGTTGATAAATGGGCGAATAAGGCATATTTTACACAAGCACCAAATTTCTCGCGTTAGCTACCAATACGCATTTTGAGAGATTCAGCCTGTGCCGATGTGCCGAAATAGTTCAGCTAGGCGGGACGGGCCGAGGCATTAACTAACTTAGTCCGCTGGCAGCCTCGCGAGGCGTGCTCGAAATCGGTGTTTCTAGTTGTGTAGGCACAGCACAGTAGTGAATACTCGGAAATGATGATGCAACTCTTTGAAAAGGTTGAGCGTGACAAGGGGGAGCAACAACGAGTCTTGCACTAGGAATGATTAGGTCCGGAGGTGGCGTGACCTTCCGACAGTCAAAGAATGCAGATTGAACAAGGTCCATTTGTCGGAACTGCTGATGGGCAATAATAGGAACTATTACTTAAATCTTAATAGTAGTACCTCTTAGTGGGTAAGAAGACCTTCTAGAGCCTTAACACAGCCAAAGGAAACGAGATAATAATGCATCTAAAACAGATAAGATCACTTTAGTAGTATAATAGATAGCTAGGGTTACAGCTCATGTGTACCTTAACTATAGCTTATCTAACCTCTAAGTAGGGCTTAACCCTAAAGGTCATAAGTAGACTCTCTCTATATTACATATATAAGATATATATATAAGATATATATATATAAGGCCTACTTTTTAATATACTATAGTTAAATAAATAGTAACAAAGTAATAACTTTGAATGTTTCAAAATATAAAGATGGGAATGCCACGAACCCTGTGGCACGAGGGGTACTAGGTCAACCTATAGCTGTACCGACGACGCTTGCACGTTACAGATAGCAATGTAATTACGCGGCTAGCCACACAGAAGGTGTCATGGAGATTGGGCACCTGGGCAAGGTGAATGGCTGATTGTATGCCGGCAAACCTCATTCATATCAACCCTCCTAACTTACAAAAGCTCTCTAATTAGGCTTGGAAGTGTGCTTGTGGTCCTTGCCACACTTACCATGAAAGATGAAAGTAGGCTGATTTCGGTCAAAGGCGAAGGCAACAGGATGAACTTGTTCTGGCCATAAGCGTTGCTCCCATTGCTGGGTACCACAACGCTGGCGTTTCTAACATTCAGCTCCAACCAGTCGCACTTGGCAAGAGTTTTGTTCTGGCATCTACTGGCGGCCAGAGCAGAAAGAATTCGGCCACAAATCCGGGCGAGGGACTAGATGCCGCAATCCAATTGATAAGTGCATTGTTAGATAGAATGGAAACTAACCAACATGTACCCAGTTCGTGGACGTTTACCAAACGAGGGGTCGGACTTACCCAGCAGGCATAGAGGCAAACTCCATGGGGAGCAACTTGTCATCGGACGTCATCCACGTAGTTGGAACGATCTTGTTTCCAAAACTAGTGATATCATTCATTTCCGTAGTATTCATCAAGTGCGCAGTGCGTTCAACCTTGACACTTCCAAGTCGGTTCGTGCAAGACGATACCCTAGCTCAGAAGCAAGGTGAGCAACTTCACCGCCTTGGACTTGCAAAACGCCCATCCTGGCCAAATCGTGTAGATCCCTGTAAACAATGGGCTTAATAACAGTGAAGTGACTTGCCAGGTCAGGCTGCGGAACCGGAACGTCGAGCCGCAGCCGCCCAACTCTCCGGCCGGGAACTTCATCACTCATGACATTGTACAGGGTAATTCATTTCATCATTGGATGACTTTGGAAGTCTCATCAACCACGCAGAGCTTGTGAAACGACCGCCTCCGATACATCTGCATAGTCCTCATACAACGTCCCAACCAGGTCCAGCTCCGCGTTAAGCGCCTCCTGCATCCTTCTACACCAGAACCGCCCGGCCTCGCAGCCCATGTGATCATGACCTATCGCCGCCGCCAGCTTCGAGTACACCTCCACCACGCTCTCCCGCACGTCTGCGGCTTCGGGCAGCGGCCACAGCGCCGCCGCCTGCAGCAGCGATCGTAACCGCGCGCACGTCGCCAGCCGGCAGCGCCCCGGGTCGGTTCCGCCCCGCACGGCGCCGAGGCGGGACCATCGCGGGCTGACCTCCAGGACGAGCAGCCTCTCGAGCACGTCGCTGGTCGTCGCGAGGAGGGCCTGCAAGGATCGCGAGCGGATCTGGGACAGGCGGTCTAAGAGCTTGTTAGACAGGGATGAATGGAATGGGAATCTGGGGGGGGGGGAGGTTCGTCGCACCCATGACTGCGGTTGTTTTTGAGCTTCTTCTCCCAAGGCGAGTGCTTTGAACGGCAACTTCGTTGGTGTCCAGCTCGACTACCACACGATGTGCCATTTTCCGCAGCTCATCTCGCAGACCAAGATCCCAGTACACCCAAAACATGGCGAAGATGTCGCTCCTGCGCACGGTGCCCTGCGCTGCGGGCATCCACGAGTCGATCCAGGGCGCGAGCATCGCCGTGCACTTGTAAGCGGACATCAGGGTCGTGAGGTTGTGCATCTGAGTGACGGTGAGCGTGCGAGGAACGGCCAGGAACCGCGAGTGCGCAATGTTGAGAAACACGGCCAGGGACTCGTCGTCGCTGCCGCAAATTTGCAGGACCGCGTCTTTGTCGTTCGCAGCGCGGTGATGGCGCATCTCGGCGCGTAAGACTGGTGAGGCGCGCGCCAGAGCGCGGGAACACACGGTGTACGTGGTCGCGCCGGGCACTTGGCCTTTCAGCCGGACTTTTACGTCTCCGTGTTTGTCGAGGATTGTCGCTTGCTCATTCATGATATCGAAGTTGAAGTTTGTTGGCCGCCGCAGACGACCGCCGACGGCGGCCTCTTAACTAGACGGAGCGGGCGAGCGCGTCCAAGCACTGCTGCCCACGATAGAGGTCCATCCTGGGCATTCGTTAGAAGCTGCGCACGAAGCTTGCGCAGCTTGGATGAACCATGAACCCGTGCAGCTTGGATCATCGACAAGGTTTTGCGCGATACGAGGGGGTCAACTTGTCGGTAAACTCCTACCCCGGCGCCCCCCCCCCCCCCCCCC